ATATGCCGATAGCCTATATTAAGGGTTTTATAGCTTCCTATTACATTGCTAAACAGTCTAATAGAGACACTATTCCTATTCCGAAGAGCTATAAGGAGGCGACTTAGTTACTATATTAGCTATAATAGAAGGAAGCCTATAAGGCTAAATACAAGTTACTAATCGACAACTATACGTAGGTACACGTTTCTCGACTAGAAGTGCCTAAAAGTCGCAAGGTTATCCGTAGCCGATAGGTCTTTACTATTAAGCGAGACGCTAATAGCAATATAAGCTGTTTTAAGGCGCGCTAGGTCGTCCGTAGCTTTATATAGGTCGAAGGATAGGATTATAATAAGGCCTATACGGCTGTTGCTAAGCCTTATACGCTTCGAGCCCTATTTAGACTAATTGCTTATTACGACCTAGAGGCTAAGCAATACGATATTCTAACAGCCTTCCTTAATGCCCTAATTAGCGATAAATATAAGATCTACGTTAAATAGCTGTGCGGCTTTAAAGAGCGTAGTAGCAAGGGCATAGTTTGCCTATTACTAAAGGCACTATATAGTCTAAAGCAGTTACTAATGCTGTAGTATAAAGAACTTCGGAAGTACTTAAAGAGCCTAAACTTTGTACTAATAATAACTAACGTCTATATATTTAAGCACGTTAGCGGCTCGATTATTGTTATCTACGTCGATAATACAATTATTATCGCCTATAGCCTATTAGCACTAGAAGCTATTGCTTAGTTACTAAAGGAGCGCTTTAATATACGAGAACTAGGCGACCTTTACTACTATCTCGGTATACGTATTATCCGCGACCGTAATAAGCGCACTATCTACGTCGTTTAGGACGCCTACTTAAATAGGCTCTACGAGAAGTATAGTATACGTAGCCGTATCGGACTAGCTACTCTAATAGCGCCTCGTTACGTTAAGACATCTATTTAACGCGTACCTAAAGGCTATACAGCTAGTGCCGCCTTTATGTGTCTAGGTGTTAGGGTCTATTACGTGCCTAATGCCTAAGGCTACAACTGCCGCACTTTATCTTTAGACTTTCCGTAGATAGTCCTTCTTCTAAATACATTAGTTACATTAAGTTAAGATAGAGATTCCCGAGTATACGACGAGGGTGCGAGCTTAGTCTAGAGGTGCCGTCTAGAGGCTAGTAGCAGTATCCGCGGCTTTAGTAGAGTTACATGCCGCTCGCGAAGCGAGCGGTCTATACCTATTCGTAAACTATCTTCTAAACCTATTACCTATCCGTAAATTTACATATACTGCATTAAATAAATTATTTAATACTATTATAATACTATTAGGAAAGCGAAAGTCGAAGAAACGCGTTATACGGCCCTAGCAAAAATCTACTACCGAGAATCGTCGTAAAGACGCCCGAGTCGCGATCGAATTAACTAAAATACAAGTATATAAGCGCACCTACTAAGCACTCGTCGACCTAAAGGCATAGTGCCGCGACAACCGATACGAAGATATATATTCTCGCCTCTACTACCGCTATAATAGCCGTAGTAGCCGTAGTAACTATACCGCTTTATACGCTCGACTTAATCTATCTTAAAGCTTCGCTCTTCTCGAATACTGCCGTTCTCGAGAACAGATAGACCTAAGCCTTCCTATATTACTAATCCGCGCTACCGCCGAGTTAATTATGCGAAGAGGCCTCCTAGATAATAAATAGGCTTTATTTAAGCTATTAAGTAAGATATAGCACAAGAGATAGATATAGAAGAATAGGGTTAAAGAGATTAAGCGGAAGAATATCGAGGTAGTACGGAAGGAAGTATACGACCCTTAGTTTATCGGTGCTTAGTTTAAGAAGCTATATAGCTTAATATAGACCTATAAGATTACTCTCGACAACTGCTAGAATATAGACGAGACTAGCTTCTAGATTAGAATTAGAGGCATAGAATAGGTAGTTATAATAGACCTAAAGCGCCGCTTATAGGCTACAACTAACACCTATCGGAAGCATATAACTTTAGTAGAAGCCGTTAACGCTTATAGACGATATATTAAGCTAATGCTTCTAGTATAAGGCAAGGTCTTGCTAGAAGCATAGTTTAACAAATTGCTAGCGCACTATCTAGTTAGAGTAACTAAGTCTAGTTATTTAAACGACGATAGGGCCTTCTACTAGATCTAGCACTTCGAGAGGCTTACGAAGCCTATAGATAAGACACAATATCGCCTACTTATAATAGACAACTTTAGAAGCTACGACTTCTTCGAGTTTGTCGACTTCGCTCGTAGACACCGTATTCTAATCTTTACACTGCCGCTATATACCTCTTATTTCCTATAGCCGCTAGATGTAGTCTTATTCTAAGTCTATAAGCATTACTACCGGAAGGCCGTTATTAAATATATAAGGCTCGGAACAGGCGAATTTAGCGTCGCTTAGTTTATAGACGCTATCGATAGTATCCGGCGGAAGACCTTTAAGAATAGCAATATTCGGTTAGCCTTTAGGAAGACCGGTATTGCCCCTATTAACGTATAGCGAGCCCTCGACTTTCTCCGTAACGAGTACGGCACGTATATAGTCTAGTACGTAGAGCGTAAGGCGGTAGAGAAAGCAGACCTTCTTATAAGGGATCTTAATAGTATCTATAATAGCGTAGAAACCGGTCGGCTCTTCGAGTTCTCGCATTTGCTAGAATTGCCGCCTCTAGTCGATACAGACCTATTTAACTCTACGCTTACTATTCGTACTATAAAGCGACAGATTAATGCCCTTAATAAGCGACTTACGAGGTATAGACCGCCTTTATCTCTAATATAAGGCCTTCTCGAAGGAGTTACGAGCTTAGTGCTATTCTATACTAACTAGGGCGCTTAGGCGTTATATAACCTCTTAGAGATAGAGATTGCTATAGAGGCGAGGAAGGCACGTAAGGCTAATAATAGCAAGCAATAGAAGATAGGCATCGCTTATACGTATAAGGTTTATACTCGAGTCGCCTATCGAGAGCTTACTACTATTAAGAAGGCTTAGAAGTTAGTAGATAACAAGGCCTATAAGATACGGAAGCAATAGAAGTCCTATTATAAGCGATAACGGAAGGAGCTCGGTACGATAATAAGTAGAAGGGCACGTATAGAAGACAGGAAGCGGCCCCTTCTTAAGCGCACTATTTAGTTACTAACTAAGCTATTTCTATTACTTCTAATAGGTATTTATAAGACTAGACCGCTCGCTAGTTACTATAAGTAGAGGCCGATTAAGAAGGTATATTAGATTAAGAAGCGTAAGTAATAGCTAGTTTAATATAAGTTAGTTAGCCGCTATCTTCCTAACGACCTTAAAGACCGAGCGCCGCTAAAGGTCTTTAAACTAGCAAATCTATAGTATAATACTAAGTCTATTAGTAACCCCTTCCCCTATTTTACTACCGCTATACCTTCGAGGCTACTACGTAAAAAGAAGGCGGCTCGATTTATACTAGTAAAACCGTTGCTATTAGTATAGCGAGTAATGCTAGAAGATAGTTAATAGGCGTAGCTTATAGCGAGCGATAAAGCTATACTAATAGATATACTCGAAGAAGCTAGTTTCTACGGTTATTGTCGCTATAACTAGTAGCTAGTTAGCCTCCGCTATAAGAACGAGCCTCTTCTACGGCTAGAAGGTAACAAGCGTAGATTATCGGATAAAGAAGACCTACTATACGAGGAGCATTATAAGAGCCTGTTTCTATTACGTATACGACCGAAGGATATAGCTAGAATTGCTAAGCAGCAATAGTAATAGCGTACGTACGAGGACATTATTAAAGAAGAGTCCGATAGTAACGTTAGTAACCTATTTAATATAACTATAGGCCTTAGTTCTTAGTTATAGCCGTATAAGTTAGATAACTAGGAGATAGATTTAGGGTAGGTACTCGATCTATTACTCGCGGAGGATACGGAGCTACTAGAGATACCCGAGGATATAGAATATATATAGATACTACCTTATTTAATGCTTCTAAACATATAGTATTATCGCGGTAGAGCCGCTATCTCTCGTATAGGTATAGGAAGTAAGAAGTCCGTATTCGAGTCCTTTAAAGCCCGCTAAGCCCGAGATACCGGGCTTTACGAAGGTGCATTAAACACTACCTATACTAGCTACTTATATATATATACGATACGAGGTATTAATCTACTTACTCTAGGCTTTTATATAATATAAAAATTATATATATACGATGCGTAGTAGTAATATAAATAGTAGGTAAATAGCGGTAGTAGTATTGTGCAAAGCTAGCAAGAACTCGAATTGCTAGCACTATATAATAACCCTATTACCTTATATAGTAATAGAACGTTCTAGCACTATTGTAATAATATAGAATCGAGCGAGAGGGCTATTTACTATGTAAAACACCTGTTTTCACCGACTATAGGTCATTTCCGGATGGGTGATAGGTTTAGTTGGTGGTTTACGGATGGGTGTAGACTGCTCGCGTAGCGAGCCGCGTTTGCCTCCAATTCAGCTGCGGATAGGTGAACTGAAACGCGACTGGCAGGCAGGCAGCTTGGTGCCCGCGCTTGGCCCTGTCAGAAGGTGGAAGTTTGTTGTGGCCAGGACAGCACAACAAGTCAACAACAGGCTCTCGTCCCTCTCCGCGATACATCGTTCGGGTTGTTGTCGCCACCAGCAACCTCCTGTGACTCACGCGGAGCTTGGCTGGGTACGTCAGTGAGATGTTGTCAAGGCGGCATCGCCAGTCCCGTGTTTTGCTGTCCTGAGAAGGAGCCCTCGGTGACTTATGCACGCACGGACCGTGAGCAAGTAGAGTGGGGAAGGCGCTGTCGCTGGCCCTTCACACATTATTCCAACACACAACGCGAGCCTCTCTCCACCACTCCTCTGCTGGTGCATGACTGCTATTCCCGCCATCTCACGGCACTGAGCCCGCCCACCGCGTCACTCGCTCTCCATCGCCTTTGTTGTCACAGCGCCGCTGCACCTTGGACGCTCCCCCGTCCGCCGCCCCACGCCCAGGGACCACCGCCCTGCGCGCCCTCTCTCACCACGCCTACGCCTATCCTTCTGATTCAGCGGAAGATGGGTGAGCGTGCATTGGTGGCATAGCCGCCCTGCTGTGTGCCATTGGCATACGGACCCGCTACAGGCTGCAAGACATCAAGCAATACAACGCGCAACGACACAATGCCAGAATCCGGGCAGCCGCAGGCCACGCTGCTGCCGCCCGCCGTCATGGCCCTCAAAGAGGACGCGGCTGTGATGACTCCCGAAAAGGGACAGATGCTTAGAACCATCTCCATGGACATTCGGGAGGAGCGAGAGGATCTCAAGAAGGCTGCCGAGCAGTCCCTCAATGCTATTCTCGAATTGGATCTGGAGGGCAAGGTGCGATGGGTGAGCCCTTCATGGCGCGATGTCACGGGTAGTGCCGCGAGCAGCATCATTGGACGGCCTATCGCTGACATTGTTGTGGACAACGCCAATGTCTTCGCTGACTGTGTCGAGGCAATGCGCAAGGACGATTCCAAGAGCCACTTCATCCGATTCTCCGTAAACGCCCCATCTGGACCCGAAGGCTCGCAGTCAGGAGATGACGAGACTCCGGTCGAGCCCAAGTCTGGTGTCGACACCATGCCTGAAGGGGAGCTCCAGACAGGCACCAATCCGGACACCGAAGAGCGAACGATCGAGCTTGAAGCTCAGGGCATCATGGTCTACGACAGGGCCACAGGAAACGAAAGCCACACCATGTGGATGATCAAGCCTTGGGTCTCACGCGAGATCACCATCGACTTACCTCAGGTTCTGGTGGATTCACTGGGAATAGGTGCAGAGATGCTCGCCAACTACCTCACGCTGCTCGCAGATGTAGGAGTTCACGATCCAGGCAATCATCCACCACCTCTTCCTGTACTATGTCGCATTTGTGAACGTCAAATTACGCCATGGTGGTTCGAAAAGCACACCGAGCTGTGCTCGCAGGAGCATCGCGCAGAGATGGAAGTTCAAATGGCCCAAGAGTCTCTCAATGAACAGCGGTCGGCGCTTGTGAAGGTTCTGGACGCGTTGGAAGCTCAGTCAAACCGTTTGTCCAAGTCACCGTCTCTTGATGGAGGATCTCCAAGTCCGGCGCCGAAGGCAGAGTACAAAGGTCTCTCTATTGGTCCGAATTCAGCTCCATCGTCAGGATCTACGTCAGGCCGCGCATCGCCAGCTCACGCCTCGAGATCGCGAGAATCGTCAACCAGCGGCCTAAGCCATCACCGAGCACGATCTTTTGCTGTGAGGCGACCCTTAGCCCGCATTGTCGAGCTGGTCCTGGATCTTTGCGACACGGCAATGGAGATCAGTACACCATCCATCAAAGAATCCAAGTCATATGCGCCAGGCGAGCTGCGAACACAGTCGCCGCAGTCGGAGAGTCGAATCCAGCAGGTACTCCAATGGCAATCGCCAAGCGCTGGCTCTTTGGAGAACGAGCAAGGTCTTTCACTATTGTGCGACGACACTGCTCAGCTTGCTAAGACCAAAGTTGAAGCGGTCTTCCGGCATCGCCGAATTCTGGAGTACGCAGAGCGGATACGCGTGGAATATGATATCTTGGTACAGGAATGCATCGAGGCTGCGCTTCAGAAGGCTGCCCGCATAGCAGCGGGCGAGTTGAGTGATTCAAGTTCTGGCGAGGACAGTGACAACTATGAGGTGTGCGAGCATGAGCAGGGCGCAGATTCGTCAAACGAGGCGAGTGTCGACCCTGCTGAAATGCCACCCGACGAGATATTCGGCAGCTTGAGCTCACTTCGATCCTCTGGCAGTCCCTCTGCGATGGCCATGGCGCTGCGTAACATTTCCGATCCAATGCTCCAGCGACCGCCGTCTTCCGCTGAATCGTCTCGAGCAAGCAGTCCGCGCGGTGCTACGACTCCGAAGTCGTATGGAGGGCCAACCGAGCCATTTCCGCTTCACATGCATAAAAGAGGCTCGATCGCTCTTGAGAGTGATACCGGAGCGGAGAGTGATAGCAGCATGCGGTCTTCCGTTGCAAGTGGTAGTAACAGACGAGCTGACTCGCCCGGAGCAGAACTCAGTCTCAGTCGCGTTGCTAGTACCCGATCTCGCGATCGCAAACGCCAGAGCCTGATATTGCCAAGCCTGTCTAGTGCTGGGAGACACCACTCTCCTGGCAGAGGTCCGCCTCCACCATCTTCCCCATTACGCATGGCGAAACCCAGGATTCCCAGCAGCGCCGGAACTGATAGCTTACCATCTCCAATCACCTCGCCTGTACTGACGCAGAGTGAGTTCAATTCGCCGGTCATCAGAGCTCATCACCAGCATCACCATCACCGACGACAATCTTCAGCTGCTCTTTCCGAAGCGCTGGGCCGGCCAGCATCTCCACGCTTGAGCGCCGTTGTCTCACATCCGCAGCCGCGTGCAGTGCAGACTTCCATCAAGGACTTTGAAATTATCAAGCCAATCAGCAAAGGCGCCTTTGGCAGCGTGTATCTGTCGAAAAAGAAGTCTACCGGCGACTATTATGCCATCAAAGTGCTCAAGAAAGCCGACATGGTTGCCAAGAACCAGGTCACCAACGTGAAGGCGGAACGAGCGATTATGATGTGGCAAGGCGAGAGCGACTTTGTGGCAAAGCTATACTGGACATTCTCCTCCAAGGACTACCTTTACCTTGTGATGGAATACTTGAATGGTGGCGATTGCGCGTCTCTCATCAAAGTTCTTGGCGCATTACCGGAGGACTGGACGAAAAAGTATATTGGCGAGGTTGTACTTTGTGTGCAACATCTTCACAGCAGGCAGATCGTTCATCGAGATCTGAAGCCCGACAACCTTCTAATCGATGCCAAAGGCCACCTTAAGCTTACAGACTTTGGCTTGTCAAGGATGGGTCTCATTGGACGACAGAAACGGGCAATCAACGCAAAGCCTGATGATGCACCACCCGATCTTCTGAAGGCAGGGCCGTTCCGACGTGCTCCTTCTGTCACCAGCTCGAGATCGACTTCATTCGACTACCAAGGGCACACTCATTCACCTGCACAGACTCCCTCGATGACACCGGCTCTGAACGACACGAATCAGCCCTCATACTTTAGCCTGTACCGTGAAGGGTCGAGAGAGCCTTCGCGGCGTACATCAGGACACCGCAGCGACAGCGGCGATAGCGATGCTTTGGCAGCAATGTTCCGCAGATTCTCTGTTGCAGACGGTCGAACACTTATTGAAGAGGAAACCGCCGACGAAGAAGATCGGGACTCACCAGATCCATATGCCTTGCAACCGGTGCATAGCAACATCAGTACAAGGACAGATACTCCGCCACAACAGCCACCATCGCAAATGCCGCCGCCGATGATGGCGCTCTTCGATCCAGAGGATAGCAATCGACGCTTTGTTGGCACCCCCGATTATCTTGCCCCAGAGACCATCAATGGCGCAGGACAAGACGAAATGAGTGATTGGTGGTCTTTGGGCTGCATCTTATTTGAATGCTTGTACGGCAGACCTCCTTTCAATGCTAGCACACCAGAGGAAGTGTTCCAAAACATCCTTGCTCGTAATATTCACTGGCCGACAGAAAAGGAGGAGGATGACGTCTCAGAGGAAGCCAAAGACCTCATGAATAAATTGATGTGCCTAGATCCCAAAGAACGGCTTGGGTCGAACAAAGACGACAAGTATGCCAGCGGCGGCGATGAAATCAAAGCACATCCATGGTTTGCCGAAATCAATTGGGAAACTCTCCGAGAAGACGAAGCATCTTTCATCCCTGCAAGCGAGAACCCAGAAGACACAGAGTACTTCGATGCTCGTGGCGCGACCATGCAAAACTTTGCCGCTGAGTTTGAGGACCAAACGACTTCGCCGGTACAGACGCCTGGTGCGGACTATCCAGATCGCCCTCACGATGCATTGTCTCGCGTTAGAAGCCAAGTCAACTCCATCAAGCGCAATCTGATGCCGTTGCATATTCCGCCTCATGTTCGTGACGGGCGCTCTCGCAGATTGAGTGAGCCTGTGGTGGCTGATGACTTTGGCAATTTCCAGTTCAAGAACTTGCCCGTTCTCGAAAAGGCAAATAAGGATGTCATTCAAAAGCTGCGCGCTGATGCCATGCAGTCTCAAGTGAAGGCTGCAGCGGGTGGTATTTCAGCGCCCACGTCAGCGCTAGCATCGCCATCGCCAGCACCGTCCTTAGAGTCGAGCCCGGTTGTTAACGGTCCTCTCAAACGTACACTGTCGACAAGCAGAGCTGCCAACCGACCGCAATCACCTTCTATTACCAGTCAGGCGAATTCCTCGCCGAGCAGAGGCTCACAGCCATCATCGCCACTCCTCGTGTCCTTCAGCGCAGGTCAAAACCAAGAGCGCCGCAAGACTTCGAGCGGCTCCTCAAACCTGTCTGGGCACAACAACGGCGCCGCGCAATCAGCACATGTATTAGATCAAGCTCCCAAGCTGCCTGTGACCTTCAAGGCAACTTCAAGTGCGCCATCGCCTATCAAGGTGGGAAAGACGAATTCGGTACACCTGCCTGGATACGAGCGCGGTACACCAACCAGTGGACTCCCAAGCTCGTCATCTCCGAGACAGCGATCCCAGACAGTTGGCTCTCAAGACACCGACGGAGATCTCGTGCCAGAGATGTTGGCAGCGCATCATCACAAGCGAAGAAGTGGTGTGTTCGACGTGTCACCTTCCTCATCAGACAATGAGGAGACGAGGCATCAAGTCCTGCTCCGAGTGCAACGGAGACGCCAGAGCTCCAGGCGACTCTCACAAATAAGCCTTGCGGATGGCCCCACCTTTCGCACCTTGGATGTGTTGGTGTGCGAAGATCACCCTGTATCCCGCTTGGTCATGGAGCGACTACTGGAGAAGCTGCGGTGTCGCACGATTGCTGTGACCAACGGGTCGGAAGCGATGCGTTACGCGATGAGCGAGGTCAAGTTCGATATCATCATGATGGAATACAAGCTCCCTCAAGTGAACGGTGCGGATGTTGCAAGAATGATTCGCGACACCAAGAATGCAAACTCTCACACGCCAATCGTCGCAGTCACTGGTTACCTGAAAGAGCTTCAAGCACCACACCACTTCGATGCTTTGGTGGAGAAGCCACCAACGAAAGAAAAGCTTGAAGAAGTGATGGGTCGCTTGTGCCAATGGCGGACTCCGCCTGAGGGATGGAGAGCAACGCCGCCACAGCCTATCCCATCCAGCCTCAAGCATCACGAGTCTATGCCAGTGGAGAATAGCCCCACCACGACAGCTTCTTCCGGCTTCAACACAATGTGGTCTAGAGATCCAACTCGGGAGAACTCCGTTGGCTCAAGCTCGCTTGGCGAATCTGACAGCCACTTTGAGAGCATTCCCAATCTGATCATCTCTCGCCAAGTGACCAACGATTTCGAAAGCGATCTGGAACGCAACTTTGGTGGTCTGGGTATATCGAGCACGACAAGCGCAGACCAAGTGACCAGGAAACCTTCAGATCCTTTGCACGCTACGCTGGAACATCAAACGTCGGCGCCGGCCGCTTTAGGAACGCCTGATCGTCCTGTGCCTCGCAAAGTGCCTTCCACTGAAGCCATCCAAGCCAAACGCCAATCGCTGGAAAAGGTGCGAAACGAGTCCGCAGCTGAAAGTGGAGATGACGAAGACGAGGAGCTTGGCCATATACAAGTTCGTCAGCGTTCACCTAAGGGGAGACACGTCAAACGAAGCTCAAAGCTTGGCACGGAGATGATGCGTACAAACAGTCAAGGCAGCGTGATTTCTGGAGAAGATGTTCCGGCTCCTAGGTGTTCTGGGAATGAGCTTGAGCGTAGCATTGCCGAAGAGCCTCCTGCAGAAGTTGTCGCAAAGGGTCATCTGACTCCACCCGTTGTGTTCACACCAAAGCCTTTGGGAGACCTGGCCGTCATGGACATGGCCGCGCCGGGCACTCCCAGTGACGCAGACGCAACACCAAGACCACAGCACGCTGCGGAGGAGCCAGACCCCGATCCGACTCCGAAGCCGGCAACATCGCCTCAAGCACAAGACTGAGGCAGAACATGAACACCTCACCACTCACAATTCCATTCGACGATCTGCACGAAGCCATCTATGCAGATTGCATACATTCCTTGTGTTCCTACGCCGTTTCGGCGAAGCGAAGCGTTTTCTCATATGTTTCACCCAGCAACAACATGACGACTTTACGTATATTTTTGATTTCTGTTTTTAGCGCGAGACGAGCATGGTGTTGGGGGAGTTGAAGCAATAAATACGCGCTGGAAAAGCGTGTCTACCTTTGGGTTTACTGTTTTTTTTTGCTTTTGAGTATTGATCTCGCAGAACGTGTATGAGGCTGTCTTTTCTAGGACGAAAATCAGGGGAGTCTTCGCTGCTTCAAAGATTGTGAAAGAGATGTAAGAGACACACAGAAAACGGGCAGGATTTAAAGAAGCATGCCGTTTCTCAGAATGAAAGATTTTGGGGGTGTTGGTCGTTTTGTGGAGTGTAGCATACATGGTTGTCTATCAGCTTCAATGACATTTCACTGAGCTCGAATCTGCTAATGCTGCCTTTTCGCGTATTCCATGCTCGCTTCTTCCATCGCATTTGGATTTCCTCGGGAAAAGAAAATTCCGTAATCCATACCCAGCGCCGTCGCTAAAATTTCAAATGTTCTCGTGTTCCTCCTAGTCTGGGTGACGATCAAGAAAAGTCGCGTAGCTTCGAGATCTCATTCAACGTATTCTCCAACTCCTCATCACTAATCTTGCCCTCGAGCGATGGAATCAGAGTCCTCGCTTCCTCGACTGAATCACAACACAGCGTCGCTGCGAAGAAAAACAACCACTATTAGCAAGTCCTTGCCCTACCCAAGTGCTTTCGAGAGCAACTCACCCAATTGACACCTCTCAAACTCCACAATCCCCAATCCCCTTGCCGTCAAATTCGACGTGATCTGATTCACCTGCGTAATCGCCTGATTGTCACGGAATCTTGAGAATGTTTTGCAGTATTCTTTGGTTTTGTAGTAGACTTCGGTGTGGTTTTTGTGCGGTGCGGCTTCTTCCAGGCGTTCGAGCATCAGGGTTACTTCGGCGGGGGATAGGGCTTGTTCGTGCGTCATGTTGCCCAGTTTTAGTTGCGTCGAGGCTTCTTCGTCGCCTGTTGGGGGTGGGCGGCGGCGGGAGGTTCGTTGGGGGAGGTGGCTTGCGGTGGAGGGGCCGGCCATGGTGGATGGGTGATGGGGTGTAGGTGAGTTGAGAGGGAGGGGAGGGAGATGCGCTGGAGGCTTGAGGTTGTGGTTGTGTTGCAAGATTGATCGCTCGTCGCTCGAGGGTCCTTGTGGTGAGGGCGCGATAGTTTTGTGATTAGTCTTGTGCTGGTGTTTTGGTGATTGAGATGGATGTTCAAAGTCGCGACTCGCGAGTCGCTGCAGCGGCGATATTTCGGCAAAGCGCAGCCGCCGGATCGGGCCTCAGAGGTCACGTGTTTTTGTGCTTGAAAGAACGGTTCACCTTTCTCGTGCTCACGCATTGACGGTGATTGCAATGCAGCAAATTGCATGATGCACATTTTCGCACGGCATTGTCGAGCGCCAAAGTCGTCTATCTCAATCATGATGTAGGGCAATCATTGCATGGCAGCTGAGAGAATAATGAGCGCTTGAATGGCAAATGAAAATTCGCTTCAGCCCGTTCAATTGATCGTGTGCATCGTGATTTGTCGAGATGGATAGATGGATGGCAACAAGTCTTTCTTGCCCTCAGGCTCGCTTCAGGTATCGACGACGACGACGGCAGCACTGTGGCTCAGCGGCGGTGTTCACTTTTGCGTGGGCGTGGGCGTGGGCGTGACAGCCGCCATGCCATCCTTCAGTGGTGCAGGCAGTTGTAAAAAGCGGTCGTGTGGTGTTGTTCGTCCGTCATTCCATATCGAAGACATCCATTGCCCAAGCCTGAGGACACATCGATCATTTGTTATCAGCAGTCGTAGTGCCAGCACATACTGCTGTTTATATTGCCCTTTGCAGTGTGCAGGCACTGCATGTACACTATTTCAAGCCACAGTGCTGCACACTCCGACTCCGACAGCACGCAGCACGCATCGGGAGAGCCTTATTAGCCTTATTGGTGCGTGTTTCAACTCCATCGCCTCCGCCAGCACCACCACCACCACCACCACCACCACGACGAACGCCAACACACTTGCAACCTCCGGCACTGTCAGATCGCATCGCATTGCCGACATCTCCCACGCCCATTTGCCCGCACCTTCTCGCCGTCGCCATCGGGACATCGGCTACTGTGCGCTGTTCGACGTCGCCTCCGCCATCCCATCCGCAAACCTGGCCGGGGCACTACCACGAACCTACAACACCCGCCGAACCACATCCGAGTGCACGTCGCATCCCCGAAACAGCCCTGGACCGCGCGTGAAAATATTAGCAGCATTGCGGCGCTCACAGTAACCAGCGAGCGCCGGCATGGCCGTGCCGACGGAAGACAGATCCAAGCCGGGCACATATTACAATGACGACCCTTCGTTGCCTCCGCAGGACCAGTCGCCGATATCGAATGGGCAGACCAGTCTCTCCATCAGACCGCACGACCAGACAAATACCGACACTTCGTCACCCGCTACACACGAACGCAAGCCTCGCAGCTCGACAGACCCACAGCATGAGCCCAGCAGCGAGAAGCGGTCAAAGTCGAGCGGGAGGAGACCGAGTGGCCAGCAGAGGACGTGTGGAAAATGCCAGCGCCATTTGACTGGCCAGTTCGTGCGAGCATTAGGAGACACATACCATTTGGAGTGCTTCACGTGTCACGTAAGTTCTCTGCCATGCGTGGCGATAGGGTGTGAGTATGCTGATGACATGTTAGGATTGTGGCAAAATTGTCGCCTCCAAGTTCTTTCCTGTACCGGACCAGCCACCGAACCAGTATCCTCTGTGCGAGACCGACTATTTCAAACGCCTTGATCTTCTGTGCTACGCGTGTCGAGGTGCATTGCGAGGATCGTATATCACGGCTCTGGATCGCAAGTACCACATCGAGCACTTCACCTGCTCAGTATGTCCGACGGTATTTGGCGCGCAGGACTCATACTACGAGCACGAGGGCAGTGTGTACTGCCATTACCACTACTCGACCAAGTTCGCGCAGAAGTGCAATGGGTGTCAGACAGCGATTTTGAAGCAGTTTGTAGAAATTTTCAGAAATGGCGTTAACCAGCACTGGCATCCGGAGTGTTACATGATTCACAAGTATTGGAATGTGCGACTACATGCTCCACCTCCGCGAGGCTCGGAAGAGGAGCAGGCGCTGGAAAGGCAGAGACAGCGACAGGTGCAGGAAGAAGGAGATGCCAGTGAAGAGCAACGGAAAACAGTACGCAACGAAGAAGAAGCCGTCGAGTACAAAGTCCACTGGATATGGCATACCCTGTCATCTTTCGAAGAACGGTCTGCAACGCGAATATCGGACATGTTACTGCACGTTAGCAACGGCGCATACATGGATGGTGTGGTCGCCGCGAAAAAGTTCATCACCCACGTGGACCTTCTTTTCAGTGCAGCAGACGATCTAGATCACAGGTTACAAGTGCGCCCTGCGAGAGGAGCAGAAGGCGTGCGAACGTTCGATGCGATTGTCCACCCTGGATTGAGCTACAGCAGGGAGGCAAAGCTACTCTGCAAAAAGGTAGTTGCCTTCTTCCAACTCCTAGCCGAGAACCAGGACAATGGGGTTCGGAGACTGGGCGTCACACAAGAACTCCTATCTTTGGTCACTGGTCTCGCGCATTACCTCAAGCTAATGATTCGGATATGCCTGTCCGGAGCTCTAAAATTGGAGCGTGAGACTTCCAGCGTCGAAGGACTGGAGAGCTTCCTCGAGGACATCAGCAAACTGGATGAGCGGCTGGATGCTGAAAGTCAGCGGGATTCCAAAGCCGATGCTGAGGCTTATGTGGACAAGAGCGCTGACACCTGCGTGGTCTGCAACAAGGCTGTGGAAGACAAATGCTATCGTCGAGAAGGTCGAGTACTGCATACGCAGTGTGTAAGTTGTGCCAAATGCGGGAAGGACTCCAGTGATGACCCGGGAAATGCACGCTGGAGCGAGCAGACGGAAAGAGTGTGGTGCGAAGCTCACGCTCCATCAGATGCAAGATCAGGTGGCTTCATTCCAGTCACAAGATTACAGCAATATGTCCACTTGCTACGAGTCGCCCATGCAAGGCTGCTTGCCACTCTGAGAACCAGTGGTGCGTTGCCACACACCAGCGACGACCCGAACTTGGCTGGATACAACTCTCGAGAAGGGCACACGCCGTTGAACGAAAATGAGCAACCAGGCCTCCTTCGCACAAATACCCGATCAAGATCTTATGGTGGGCGATCGCCAGGCCAACAAGGCCGAGGAGAACCCAGCTATGAAGACACGATGGGTGACATTCGTCGTCTTAGGAGCACGAGAATGGACAAGCATCTGTCTAATGCCACCAAAAAGGCACGTACATCGCGAATCATTGACGGTCCTGAAGGCATGCGACCTGGTAGTGCAGACGCAGCCGACAGCAGAAGGCGGCAGAGCGCCTTCCAGATTGTGGAAGATCGTGACGGTGCAGGCGACACGGTCTCACAGCTCACGTTTGGCAAGCAAGATGCCATGACACTGGACGACATTCCAAGAATAGTTCAGGCGCAGCAGACGCGCGAGCAGAGACCCAACGCCTCGAAATACGCCAGGCAGCATATGATTCCGCAGGAGCCGAAGCCGAGACTCATCAATGGCCACACGCGAGACTTCTCGGATGAAAAGGTTGAGACCAGGCCACCAGGCGCCAAGAAGTATTTTTCTGAGCTCACTGCCCTTGAGTACTTCATCGTTCGACATGTTGCTGTGCTGTCGATGGAGCCATTGTTGGAGGGTCATTTCAATCAAGAAGAGCTATTGGACTTGATTGAGACGAAGAGACCTACCTTCTGGAGCAAGTTTGGCAAAGCATTCCAAGGCAAAGAGAAGAAGCCCAAGGGTGCCAAGACACAGATCTTCGGTGTGCCTCTTGAGCAAGTATTGGAACGCGACTACGAAGACAGCACTGATGGCGTCGGGCCTGGTTCGCTTAAGATTCCTTCGGTGGTCCAGGAGTGTATCAGCGCCATGAAGAGCATGGACATGTCCGTCGAGGGCGTCTTCCGAAAGAACGGAAACATCAAGCGGCTCAACGATGCAAAGGAGACTATTGACACCAAGGGTGCCATCGACGTCGACCTCACCAAGGAGAATCCTGTGCAGGTCGCAGCTTTGCTCAAGAAGTATTTGCGCGAGCTTCCCGACCCGCTGCTTACCAACAAGCTCCATAAACTTTGGATAACATCCCAACGGATTGACGACAGCGAGCGAAGGCGAAGGGTCTTGCACTTGACGTGTTGCCTTCTACCCAAAGCGCACAGAGACTGCATGGAAGTACTCTTTACTTTCCTCAACTGGGTGTCCAGCTTCAGTCATGTGGACGAGGAGAGCGGAAGCAAGATGGACATCCACAACCTTGCGACCGTTATCACGCCGAACATCCTTCATGGTGGCAAGGACAACGTACCTGTGGACGAGAGCTTCCTCGCGATCGAGGCTGTACACAGCTTGATCGAATGTAACGAAAGCATGTGCGAGGTGAGCATAGTGCATACTTTGCAAAGCTGATTCGCTCATTACTGACGTCTTCACAGGTACCGGAGGATCTTGCGATGATTCTCAACGACTCCTCGCTGTTCAGCAACAACGCCGAGATTACGACGAAAGAGATCCTCAAACGGTATGGTGACCGTGCAAGGCCACCCACCGTTAACAGCGGACAGCCAACGGTCACTGCACAGAACGGCATGACATCGCCACAGAACACAGCACCCTTGGTGACGAGAGTGGACACAGATCCGCACCAGCAGAGCGCCTGGCAGAATGAAAGCTCAGTCAGGCACGTTGGAAGCGAAGCTGATCAAATGACACCTCCAAACCTGCCGTATGCGAATCCTAACGCGAGCTCAGAATCGCATGGCAGTCCAAATAGGATGAGCGGGAGGTATACAGGCCAGCGTGCCATGATGACATGATTCTAATTGCGTTGCACTGCGGCATGGCGATCCACATGGGGAAACGGCGTTCTGATGACCACAGCTTTGAAAGAGGCCCGCCACGGCTGGAGATGCCTCGATTTATCTATTTTGTGATTTGATTCCCTTGCGTTTATCAAAGAAGACACCTGCCGAGAAGAAGTCACGGCTGAGCTGGAATAGCGAGCTTGACTACCGTGTCGATCTGAGCAGGATAAGGATGAAGCAGAAAAGGCGTTCTGCGCAGAAAAGGCGTTCTGCGCAGAATAGGCAAGAAGCGACTCCAGAGAAGAGCCCTCGAGCGATTTCGAAAAGTCGAAGTTCGGGTGGATGGGGAGGCCAATGTGTTTGCCTAGCGGTGATTGTGGGAGGAAGTTGGCAAGTCGGGAGATAGTGTCCAGCGAAATCCAGTGAGCAAGGGATGGAATGTGAGGAGCAAGAGAACTCCCTTTATTTGCAAGGTCTTTGACCATTTTCTCCTTTCCAGAAGCTCGTACATGTCGCTCGCAATGGATGACTGGCACCGCTCCTGATTCCATACACCCGCAAGCGCTTCGTTGCTTGAGCTGAACAACGGAAAGGTTTGCTCCTTGGCACGCTCGCGGCATGCCCAAGATCAGAGTGGGATGACATCGCTGTGCCTGCAGTCCATCTGAGTGCCAAGCAGCGCCATCGCACTTTCCATACAATGCGGCTTCCGAGACCAAATGCCACCAAAGCCAAGGAAGCAGCCATCGAAGCACCCAACCCCAGTGATATCAGAGTCGCTTTCGGACCTGCTGCAGCAAGCCAAGTCCCCTGCCTGGCATCTACACCAATGTCCGTCCACAATCACTGGCCATGTCATGACGCGCCAGGTCCGGTCGAAGATGCTTTGACTCCAGCCGACGGAGAAGAAAGTCACAGCTCGCGAGTTCCTACGCTCCGTACCCTCCTAGAAGGAAGGCAGCACTGAGAGATGGGTTCTGGCGCAATGAATTACTCGAAATGGAAAAACAGAATCTATTAAGACCCAGCGATTCACACACCATCCATCCATCGATTCCGCTTGGCTTACGTTTCACTGGAATGCTAGCTACAACGTCTGCGCCAATCCGCGGAACGGAAACCGGACGAGTTGGTGGTGGGGGGGGAATTCTCGTACAGGTAGAATTAATTACCTAGGTAAGACACGAAGCGTAGGTATAGTATAGATATGGGTATAGTCCATCACACAAAACTCGTCATGAAACTCCGTATCGCATGATCGATAATAACTTCACTTCGCTTCCCTTGCTTGGTTTCGTGCTTGCTTGCTTGTGCCATGCATGGTCCTCATAAATCGACTTGGGAAAACGCCAGATGGATGCTGTGCAAATTTCTCCCCCTCCCCAAACACACTAAACACTTTTGTCGCAGCAAACTCTGCTTCTTTTGCCTTTTCTTTAACCCATGACGATAGCAGCGACGGCTCCAAATACGAGCGCGATCGCACTGCCGCCTGCAGCGAATGTGGATGCGGAGCCGCCGGTTTGGCTGGGAGAGGCACCAGTGGTGGTGCCTTGGAAACCTGCGCCAGTGGTCTCGGATGCGGTTTGACTGGCGGTGGAGGAGGATCGGGTGAGAGTTGCGGGGGTCATGGTTGAGTTGCGAGTCATAGTGGTCATGTTACCAGCAGAGACTGGGTAGGTTGCGGTCATGGTAGTCGATGTCATGTTGGCAGTCGCGGTGGTCGTGGCAGACATGCTCGAGGTCATAGAGCCATAGGCCCCAGCAGTGCCAGATGAAGAGGAGCCAGTCTCGGTTGAGCCTTGGATAACGAACGGTCCAAAGTAGTTTGGCTCGTTGCCATCCTGTTTGATTTCGAGGGCATAGTCGGAACCGTTGTCCAGGTCGTTACCCGGGGTCCAAACGAACGATCCATCGCTTGCGGAGGTGGTGAGAGTCTTGACAATCTGAAGGTTGTTGGAGTCCTGGGTTGAATGTCAGGATTGAGATCTGTGATCTTGGAAGATGTCGGGAGGACTTACACCACGACGGAGCAGGATAGTAACAGGGGTTTTGTTGTCGTTGGTCATGTAGGTGATGACATTCTCCTTTCCCACGGTCACAGGGTTCGGCACCTTAGTGAAACCGAGCGGGTTCGCAGCAGTCGCAAGGGCTACGAGAGCGCTGACGAGGAGTGATTGGAATAGCATTTTGATCGATCTGATTAAAGCGATATGGTGGGATTCAAAGGTATTACTTTCGCGGTGCTGTTTGAACCGTGAAAGGGCTGTTGAGTAACGAGTGACACGTCTAATGACGGAGTAGTTGATGAATGATGTACGGAAGTGTGAAGAAGGCGACGAAGAAGGCTCGTAGAAGAAGTGCTTGCACCCAAGTCGCCCAACAACGTCGAGGCGTCGAGGCTGTTGTCTCAGACCAGCCGTCTCCCCGCGCGGCTCCATCTAACTCATGCATCAATCTCCCGTGGCCTATCATGGGACAGCATCAGGCAAGGATATTTGTCTTGATGTTGCGCGAGCGTTCCTGCGCCGCTGCTTGGCTGTCGCCTGCTCTCTCTTCTGGAGTGTATCACATGTTGACTTCCTTCAACGATACAGCTGCCTGGGAGTCTCGCACATGCCGTCGAGATTCTTCTCAACGCCAAGCGCTCGAGGCCGAGTGAAGGAAGAAGCCGCGCAAGCTCCGGTGCGCCACCGTGCACGGGTTGAAGCCTTGAATTTCCATGTGTCACGGTAGGCTTGCCATCAGCTAGCCCGTCCAAGGAACAGGCCTGGCGTTATCGACGGCTCCAGGGGAAGCGCAAAGCCTCCCAGGATCTTTTGCCGTCCGGTAGAGTTGAAGCGGGCCGTCAACGAAGAAGATCTGCTCTGCATGACACACGTGAAGAGCTGTCAGCTGACCTTGAAGTTGCGACATCCGAATGTAGCCGGCCGGCGCACACAGCCGAGCATTCCCAATAAGCCTCGCGCGCCAGAAATAGCTCGATTCGCATGGACATTGAGGTGCCTCGTGGACGGCGAAAGGCAAACAGGAAGGCGCGAGTCGTTGAAATAATGGAGTTCATCAGGAACTCGGCCGGTACTGATCTTGACCTGTGCGGATCATGTGGATATACGATGGATAGTGGCGTGCTTGCCAGATTTGGCAGGGCAATTTCGCTGCGCTTCTTGTCGGCAGTCGCAAACTGTGCTCGAGCAGCTGGTGCAGGACAGCTTGCTACGGACCAGCACCAACGATTGACCGCTGGGTTGCGCAAAGTCTCTCCAAATACGAAGGTAGTCTCAGATAGTCAGCTTGGGCAGGCAGGTACGAATAGGTGGCAACGGCGAACAAGGTTTGAACTTTGCTCTAGCTCCAGCGTTATTGCCATCAACTTGTATCGACAACCGCCAGCCTCGATTGGACACTGTACAGATGGACAGGGGTGCTTCAGAGAGGTCTGTACGCTGACATCTGCTGGTCCTTCATCTCACTTCGTATTATTATTCTATAACGTTACGCGTCCAACGACCCTCGTTCAAAGGAACTCTGTATTATACTATCGCCCTCTTGCATCACCTCCTCTAATCCTCTTTCACCCCAATAATAATAATGTACTTCACACGCTCGTTGCTCATCGCCCTCGGCGCAGCCATTACTGCCTTTGCACAGGGCACTGGCTCTCAAGCGAACCCCTTCAACATCCCAACTACTGGCCTCCAAGCTACTGCTGGCGAGCCGTTGACCCTCTCATGGAAGCCCACCACCTCTGGCACCATTTCCTTGATTCTGCGCAGTGGCAGCAGCAATAACCTTGCTGCCGGAACTGTCATCGCATGTTCGTTGCCCACAGCTTCTTGTCTTCGCGTCTTTGACTAATGCCATGCAGCCAAAATCGCCAACACCGGATCCTACACATGGACTCCAGACAAGGACACCACTCGTGGTTCCGACTACACCATTGAGATTGTCAGCGATAGCGATTCATCCGCCACCAACTACACCCCATACTTCGTTCTTCAGAGCGACAATACTGTCGCTGCCACGACCAGCAATGTGACCCTCGGTGCTCCAAGCTCCACCCTCTCTCTCTCCACCGCCGCTGTTACTGCCAGCCCAAGCGCTTTCCCAACTACCAACATGTCCGGCAGCATGACCACCATGACTGGAACCTCCTCCGGATCAAGTGAGTTGTCAAAAATACTCGCATTCTTCCGATTGTGCCACTAACCTATTCCGCGCGCGCAGAGACCACCGAAACTGCCCGCGCATCCGGCTCCAAGTCGTCCGCCAGCGCGACTGGTTCAGCGACATCCGCAGCCGGTGCTGCTCGCGCTACCGTCATGGCCGGTATGCTCGGAGCCGTTGCTCTCGGTGCTCTCGTTCTGTGAAGAGGATGAATATGTAATGCGACGGCCTGCTGTTGTGTGAGCGTGCTGCACATGTACAAAGAGATTCGAGAACGTCATGGAGACAATATGAAGTTTTCGAAGTGCTTCTTGTAGATATATTGGAATACGAAAAGATGGAGGTTGCGAAACTCTTCATTTTCTTTCTCAAGACAAACAAGTGTGTGCTCTCGAATGAATCAATGATAGAGATTGAGAGAATCGGAATTGTCGACCCTGGGGGTATATACTCAAATCAGCCTGCGATCGGTTCTGTGTTGAGATCAGGACAGCGTATGATTGCGAGGCCAGCAATGGATGGGTTTGAGTGAACGTTGATGGATCCTCCGAACATGACTTGCGAGCGGAAGTGCGGCGCAAGGACGAAAAATAGATGTGAAGTCAAAAGGAAAGAAAGACGAATGCAAGAAACCTCAAATGTGGTCCACTAATTCTCGTGCATGCCAGGGATGCTGTGGGTCCGTATGGGGCTGTCCCTTCCTCTTATCATGCAGGACGATGCAGGACGATGCACGTCACCGTCTGCATAAGAAGCGCACGACCCTATCTTGTCGACTACTCTCGATTTCCGAAGAGCCTGTTGAGGTAGTCAGGGTTCTGCCGTGCGTGTTCGGCTCAGTTGACAAATTGGAGTTGCTATTGACGGACTCAATTCTACAAGTATTGCTGTGATAGAACTTTCCTAAGACTCTGAACATCGCCTATGCCTTCAGTCTCCTCTCCTCGCACTTGACGCAGACCGGATCTTGACTTTCACCACGAAGGAAGTATCGTCCATCTTCGAATTCACCATTGCATTCCTACATCACAGTCAGCATCGAAACATTATCGTGAAGGAAATGTATGACTTACCAGGCAGACAAAACAGTTGGCATGCCAGTCACTTCCGAGAGCCTTGACGACAACATCCGTGACCGGCTTCTTGCACTTTCTGCATTTGCTCGAATAGCGATTCGTATGGCAACCGACACACCAAGCATATCCGTCTTTCTCAACGAATGGCGTAGTGGAGTCGAAGGGATCACCGCATTGAGCACAGAAGAAATGACCAGCATGCCATTCCGCTCCGCAGGCGACAATGATCTCACCTTCGATCGGCGTCTTGCAAGATTTGCAGCGTGGTGAGAAAATCTCGTGAAAGTCGAGATGGCAGTAGAAGCGAAGACTCTCATCACCATCTTCGGCTTCCCATCTCTCAAGGTCTTCTGGTGCCGCATCTTCAGGAATGGGAATTGGTAGACCGTGCTGCCTCGCGCGAATTCGCTCCACTCTGGCACTTCGCTGCTTGTCTGGCTCGGGATAGAATGCAACGCACTCAAGATTGGTCTCACAGTGGTGGCAGACGAAGCATCCTGGATGGAATCGCTCTCCAGCTGCAGAAAGGATTCGACCCGCAATTGGTAGAGCACATTGGGCACATAGTGCTCCAGACTGCCGAATGGACGGAGTCATGTGCGGTGTAGACTTCAGAGCCAGGACAGGAGTAGTATTCGCGTGACGAGGCAGAGGTCGACCAGGTGCTGGCGCACTGCCAGCAGAAGGCAATGGTCTTTGTGGTATTCTGCTTCTAGGTGGAGAGCTTGGACTTGCACCATTGACGCTGACTTCAGGCACATCGACATTTATCACTGGAACAGTGGGGCTCGCGCTGCTAGGCTCCTCTGGCAAGGAAATGCATGGATTGGGCGGCTCGTCTGGTGCACAGATTGTCGGTATTGGAGGCGGAGGCGCATTTCTACTGCTGCTCGAGGGCATTGACGATCGTGAAGATGCTTTCCATTTGGGAACCTCGTCGACGTTGATTTTGGGTATCCTTGAAGGAGACTCCAATCGCGGACGCGGAGAAGCAGGTTTGCTTGGACACTCATGTGGGCTGACCTGAGGGCGAGGACTCTTCGGCGGCGACTCTGGCGGCGTTCTGGAAGAGCTACATCCAGGTCTACCAATCTTAAGAGGTGTAGGAAGGCTGTCCGCCCTATGCAGAGAGTTCGTCTCCTCCTCAACGGCTCGACCAACTCTGAATGGCTGGGCTGTGGGATCTGACCTGGGCAACGGGGCGATGCTTTGCTGCTCTTCCATCATGATCTCCTTGAGTTTCCAGTCCTCCTTGAAGCTTACAATTGGTCTTCCAGGTTTATCACTGACCACGGTAGGCCGTGGCAAAGCTGGGCTGTAATCCCTACGAGATTTGCTTGTTGCTGATCGAATATCATCGCCGCGGATTTCTATGCCGTTCTTTGTGGGTGTGTTTTTCGGTGCAACCTCGTCCTCCGCATCGTGACCAGTATCTCCTGGCGGTGTGGGTGGTAGCGAGAGCGGCTCATTTGATGTGTAGAGAGCATTTCTGCTCTGGCTTGGAGGGTTGCGGTGGATTTCTACTCGATCATGTCGTGGTGACCTAGCTCCAGGCAAGCTCTGTAGAGTCGGCGCAGAGTTAGAGCGCTCCATCCTATCCACATGTGCCCTGACTCTTGCAAATGGATTTTTCCGGACGTAAGAAGGTATATGCTGGGTCGAAGCAGCAGGCACAGATTCTCGTATCTCCTCGTGAATGATTGTGGGTGCTTTGCTCTTTGTGGGTGATTGACCTTCTTCTGGATCCTCCCAAATTCGGTCGTCTGGATGCATGAACTTCTTCTTTTCGCCAGACATGATACGAACAGGTGCGCGTTTGCTTCCACTGCTAACCCGGCGATGTGCGACTGCAATATCTTGAGCGACCGAGGACGCTATCTGGTCATAGCTCTTGCCGCTGGATTCGCGTCTTTTCTTGAGCACCGATAGCTCCTTCGAGGGTGGGCTGGATTTGCATTGGATCACGTACTTTCTCGGTTCGTTGGAGATTCTGTTGTCTCCCGAGGCCGCATTTGAAGACTGGCTGCCATCTGAAGCGCTCCTTTGCGAACCAGAAGCAGAGCCTTGACTGAAGGTACGCGAGTAGCTTCCCTTTCGCAAATGTGACCTGTAGTCCTTGAGATCTGGATTTCTATATGGCGCATCAGCGGCCTCTGGGTTTTGGTGTTTCCACACCAACTCGGCCGCTTCGTCGCGTGCTGCCGCGTGCATGGTTTGCTCTGCTCTGAGGTCCATGTCTTGTAGAGCTTGTCTGAGCGACTTCGATTCTTGCTTTTGCATCCACGTTGTACCATTCTCGATATACGTTATGCTTGGTGTGCGGCGCATGGTTTGTCTGTCGTCAGTCTGCGAATGAGGGCCAGGCGAGGCTGATGGCGCTCGTGCGAGTGGTCTGCCAGCGAAGGGGCTTCTATTCATCGTGCGATTCGATGTGTCGGACTCGGTGCGGCGATGCGAAAGCTGCATATGCGGCATGCTGCTGCTCGACGCGAGGGTCGGTCGATCGCCATTTCGCGGCTCTTCCGTCGTCGTCGCTTGGGCAGTTTCGGATCCTCTCAAGCCGCCGAATTTGCTGGGCGGCGGTGGTCGTGAGCCGGACGGACGCGGCTTTTCTGACCGCAGGTCTTTGAGGTATTGAGCTGTAGGCGTTGCTGGTGAGCTTACACCCTCATCTGCAGTCATGCATTGCCGTAACTTTGACGCTCTTGGCGGCGTGTGCGGCAGAACGAACGAGGCAGAAGGGGACATTGGAAATGGTGCTGACCCTTTTCATCTTTGGAGAAGAACTGCGGACTTGGAAGCGGTCTACTGTCTCTGCGCTTCAACATCACGAACCTCGTGAGTGAAGCGTGGTTGCTGGGGTAGCTAAAGAATGTTACACAAGCCGTGATTATCGACTATAGCATTGATTGATAAAGATGGGAAGAAGCTAATGCAACTCGCATAAAAGAACAAGACGAGCACAGGAAACGCAGAAGAACGAGTGTGCAGGAAGGTGTCTCAACGCCTAGAACTATACCATGCTGGCAAGCCGCCGGGGATGCCGTGAGTCTTCGCGATTGCAAGTTTCTATCGCGCCATCAACATCGCCGTTGGCCGGAGGACGACGCGCTCCCGATCGGGAAAGACCCTTGCAGTGAGGCGCTTTCAGGTTCAGCCTCTCGTCGGAGAATAGATCTAGTGCCACACGCCTGCCATCAAGGCTCGATCTGTATCATTTCGACCGGGCTAGCGCTGTGCTATTCATACACGTGGACGTGGTTGGCGCTGCAGCTTGACCTGCTCTAACAACAGCCTGAGTGCATCTTCCGTATCATCTACAGCGTCTTACCACATCGGAGTGAAAGTGACTAGGGTGGGACCGCTGAATAACAAGTTTCTATTCGCTATAATCCATAAGGAGCAAGGGTTTGGGGAATACCCACTTTCACTCCGATGTGATTAGACGCTGTAGCGATGGGGTCCACCAACCTGTGGATGGTGTAACGTATAGCGTCTTCGCACATCGGAGTGAAAGTTAGCGTCCCCAGCCCTGGAAGGTGCATAATATTAGCACTTCCGGTACTACTAATTGCAGTGTTCTACACTAAATCGAGGTGTTAGCGCCGCGGCTAAGCATAGCACCTATAGGAACGCTTAGCTATTAAACCTTCTAATTAGAGTTACGTATAGGCACTATCTAGGGTATAAGACACTATCTTTTAGTAGATTTAATAATATATTATTTATAAGCCTCTTGCTATATTAAAGAAAGGAAGAAGGAGTAATTTAGAAGTGCGAGAAGGTTATTATATAATTAGGAGTAGGTCTACGCTAGATTAATAGTATTCGTAGGGAGAACTCGAGTATAATTATAGAGGAGGCGCGGAGGAGCGGTCGGCGATAAATAGGCAGTTTTAGTAGTATTTACGTATATAGAGTCCCCTATTAAATAGTTAGCTTCTCTCTCGTTCTCTTCCTTCGTAATGCCGTATACTTATACTAACGAGTAGTACGCGTAGAATGGCCGTAGAAGAGGTTATTCTAGCGCTATTCGTACTCGTAGTGCGCTACCTCTTCGCGATTAACGATATATTAACCTTCTAGAGGTATACCGTCTACTAGACTAGCGCCGTCTAGCTCTAATCGAAGCCCTCGAATAAGGTAAGGAAGATAGAGCGTAGTTACGCCTGCTTTCCGACGTCGTAAGTAGCTATAGTAGAAGTCTAATACTATTAGTTATACCCTCTATCTGTTTACTTAGTTTAACCCTAGCATTCGATCTAGCTCTATTGCCTTATCGGTCTAGAAGTCTACTATTAAGGCCGGCTCTATCGTAGCAGTTATCGTCGCAGTTATCGCAATCTCGTCGCTCTTAGGCTTAGCTTCTACGGTTTAATAACCCTCTTCGCTATTAATTCTATATCTAACACTATAACTGTACGCTATCTGTTCTACTACCTATTTACGACCGTCCGCCGGAATATAATAAGTCGGAGATACAACTTCGAGAGCAGCGCGAGCTTAAATAGCAACTTTTAAGCTAAATACGTCGTTTATAGGTTAAGGTTCTCGATTTAACTAAATAAGAGTCTTAATCTTTAGATAATAACTTAGCCTCGGTTCGGATTACCCTACGTGCCCGGCGATTCCTATTAGACCGGAGTTAGTTAACCGAAACGCCGACTACCGATTCTTAGGCTTTAGTCCTAAATATAGAGCAACTCTCTTAATCGATATAATACACTAATTTATTATACCCGATACTGTCTGCTATACTACTTACAAATCGTCCCTCTAGCTAGTTAACTCTACTAACACTTTAATCCCTTCTTTTTAGACCGCTAGGGCTATTGCTAATATACGAAATCGCGACCTAATAAACTACCGAAGAGCGTGTCTATCGCCGAGCTGTCCTGCTATACAAACTGTGCACTACTATTAAACAACTGTACCGAATAGCTAAATAGCCGATTATTTACATCTTAGAGTAGTCTCGGAGGGTATTGTCGACTATCTATTGCATCGTTTACGAGCCTTTTACCCCTAGGCGCTACTAAGCCTACCGAGTCGACGAATTCGACTATTCGTACCCTTCTCGAGAAATTGTCCTCGCCTACGTACCGATACGACGACGAGGCCGCAGGCTCTATACGGATAGACAAGAGCGCTAAATCGTCGAATTTATTACTTAGAATTCTATAATACGCCGTATAACTTTTTAGGAAGTTAGAGACTTACTCGGCTTAACTTGTAGTCTTGTAACTATCTCTCGTATCTATAGGAGGCATAGTTATCGCCGCTACGTTATACGCCCTCGGCCCTTCTATAACGACCGTATTCGACGACTCCGCCTCGAATAGGCTTAATACTATTAACACTTTACTAAAGAAGACTAAGCGAACGTTCTATAGAGCGACGAGTATACTATGTGTAATAGATTATATAAGAGGCTCTTTGTTACTCGACTAGTTAGTAAGCGTAACTAAGACTGTTATTCGAGGCCTTACTTCTAACGCCTTCCTTACTAGATAATTTAGGCCTATATTAGTAGTATTGGCGGCAAAGGACTACTCCTGCTATAGGACAAGTAATAGGGCAATATTAATAAAGAGTTATATAGTGCGAAGGTCTTGCTAATTGTTTAAGAAGAGATAAGTTAGATAAATAGCCTTATTGCTAGCTAACAACACCCTCTCGGATACGAGCCTGCCTTACTATTAAGAATAGCAGTCTTCTAATAAGACTCGGCGCCTATATATACGGCTAGACACACACTTAACTAACTACGAGCTCGCTGCATTATTGTTATAAACAACTAGCTACCTTTATTACTAGATTTAAACCCTATCGAGAACCTATAGCGAGTGATTAAGTAGGCAATTAAACGCCGTAGAAACAGACTAATAGGCCGTAACCTTTAGCTAGCAATTGTCGAAGAATACTACAACGTATCTATAGAATTGGTATAGGAATAAGTTAATAGTATGCCGGCTCGTTGTCGTGCAGTAATTAACGCTAATAGCGGTTAAATACAGTAGTAGATAGCAGTCTTTAAACCAGCCTTCTATACGGCTTCAAAAACACCCTCCTTCTTAACCCTAATCGTTACTAAACTAGCTATCTATACGGCTTTAAAAACACCCTCCTTCTTAACCCCAATCGTTACTAAACTAGCCTTCTATACGGCTTTAAAAACACCCTCCTTCTTAACCCTAATCGTTACTATACTAGCTAAAGAACTAAGGTTCCTCGAAATCGCACTAATTAGCTTCTAACACCTAGTTATACTATACTTTGTATAGTAAGCGGTGCCGCTTAACAAGGGTTACGATACCTTAGAACGTATTAGCGCTCTTTTACTCCGATACGTTAAGACGCTATATATAAGGAGGCTTTCGTAATTCCGGCCGTTCGTTAGCGTGGATTTGTAAGCATCTTAGCGTTCTATATCGATACTTCTACGAATTACTATACGCTCTATAGCGATGCAATTATACTAATTTTTGCACTAAAATAATCGTAGCGTCGAGTTCTATAATTCTAAAATTATAGGCAATGTATTATAGCAGAATATACTAATATAGAAGTATGTAGTTTAAAGCCTAGTCGAATAGCTAAGTGCCGCTAAGTTAGGGTCTAGCGAGGGTCGGCAATGTCCGCTAAGTCCTAATAATAGGCTACTTTAGTATCGTATTCGCCGGCGCGGAAGCGTTTAATAGCCCTTCGGAGCTTAGCATCTTTATTAATAGTTAATAGCGCATTCTATAATGGATATTTAGACCTTATAATAGCGGTAGTTATAGTAGTGTAGCTTAGAAGAGAAGAATTCTAATAATATAGTATAGTATATCGCATGCGACTAAGGGAATGTTAGCTGTCGAGATTCGCGGAAGTTGCCGCTTTCTAATCAATGCTAAACTAACTACTAATCGATTGGTATCTACTGGAAACAGCTAGCGGCGGCCCTTCCCACCGCGCTAACGAGGTGGGTGGCATCACGAAAGCCTCCTTGCATACGTTACACGCTCTGTAATACACTGAGTTTCATCTGTACCACTAGCCCCTGAATGACCTCCTTCGGGACTTCGGTATTTTCGAACACAACCCGCGATGCTTCCTGATCTGGGACGGCCATCAGGACTCAAATGCTTCGACCTGCCGACAATGCCCGAATGACAACTCCTCTTGTGCTGCTGAAGATGATCTTTCCTTTTGGACGGCTTAATATCGCACCGACTGCAGGCGAAGCTCTTGCCGCATCCAGAGTATTTGCACACAAAACAAGCATGGCCAGTCTCTTTGGCATGAAGCTCCAGCTTCGATCGACTCGGATACGAAGTGCTGCATAGGTTACAGGATAGCCGTTCTATTTCCTGACGCTGGCGATATGTGGCTTCTGAAGAGGAGTTCGAAACGGTCCATTCCTCGTCACTGCAATAAAGAGTATGAAGCTCGGGATTTAACGCATGTGGAGCATTGTCCGACGATATGACATCTGCGAACGATGAAATGGTTAATCAGATGCTTCCGTGCATTGCGCCGTGCTTGCCACATGGCCTGGTCCGTTTTTCCAGAGCATCATGGTCTATATGCGTTAGCTCAAAGACGTCCTCGTTCGACCCCGAAAAACAAGTTGCAGAGGTGCCAGCATTGCCCGGAACTCCCAGCTCAGCGAGGCGAAGCGAATGACTCCGCCCGTGAGTAGAGGGGGAAAGAGCTTGGGATACGCAGTTCAAGATCAGGCCGAAAGAGCGTGACACCGTAGACCGCGTTGTTCAATCTCGATCTCTTGGTGCCTCGATCACGGCGAGGCAGAGGATCTTTGAAATGGAATGCCTAGGGCATTCGGCTATCATGTAACCCGAAAACACTGATTTGATGTCTTCAAGCTGCTATCTAAAAATTCTAGCTGACAATGGACGTCAAGCTGGCAGCTGTAGGCGATTTGAGCGGCCGGACACTGGTGAGGGGGCACTCCAGTGCGCAGTACTCACTCGTCAAGAGTCGTACCCCTCTGAAAACGATTGCTGCAAACACCAGAATCATACATTGGCTCCTGAACAGCTTGAGAGCTTTGCGCAGCTGGTCCAGAAGGTTGTGCATTCTTCCGAACGAGGTCCAGCTCTTTCCTCATTGAGTAGATTGTGGCATCTGTCTTGCGATCAGTAAGTGTTCCCGTTGTCTTCGGCTCAGGTAAGCTCCGTTCCTCGAACGGGGGCCTAGCATCGATCACACGGTTCTTCATGGCAGACATGAGCCTTTCAAATACTCTCAACTGCAGAAGCCCATCGACAACAATGCCACGATTTTACTCGGGATCTTTGCTGCACGAAAGGGCGATTGGGGCTGTGTTCCGTTGAGAGAGGGCGACACGTTGGACGAGTGGCGAGCGTGCCGGGTTGAGGCCGCAGCACTTTAATCGTCACTCCTTACCATCAATCTTTATACCTCTTTCATAGCTCCGCTTGACCATCTTCTCTTCATTTCAAGCACTCACGCGAAGAGCACCAAGAATACTTTCGCAACACCTCTGGATTCGCGCTCCGCGATATCTCAGCACTGTATACCACTCGACTCAATGTCGACCTCTCGAATTCGGGCGATCACGATCGCGCTCAGCGCAGACCTCGCAATTATGCAAGGGCTCAGCAACTCCAGGACGAGTCGAGAGATCTTGGGACTGGAGAACAACCACCACGCGTCCGACAGCGCGGCACTGAGCGTAAGCATATTCACGCCAGACATTCAGAGCGTCGTGCTGACACCCAGACAGGCCAGCCAACTGCAGCTCTGCCGATTTATGGCCTAGACACTGTGTTCGAGACCGACAGGCGTTTGGAACGGATCGAAAGGCTTGGACCAGAGCGTCGAACCTACGGTGGTTCCGGGAGAAGACTTCGTGCGGCAGATGTGGTTTATCGACCACGATCGAACTCCCGCGAAAGGTACTTTGGAGGCGATGAAAACCGTGGCCTCACTACCTCGTACGTCCAAGACGGGTACGACTACGGCGCGTTGGGCGGTATCTACACCGTGGTCGGACGAACATCTGTGCCGCACGCTGAACGCGAAGGTCCAAATGGCGCATATGACATCCGCGCCACCGACACCAGAAGAGCTTTCCGGCAGTATGGCGCAGCCCATCAGGAACAGCAGTATGGCGACACTCGCTCCTTTGATGCTGTCGTAGACTTGGCGATGTCTAGCCAGCAAAGAGCTTCTTCTCGCCAGAACTCCGGTTTCGAAAATTTCGATCGCGGCAGCCCATCAGGCTCACGCCAGTCGTCCGGGTTCGTTTACACCGGTTTTGTAGATACTCGCCGCAGCCGTCGCGACTCTCGAACGGAGTCGTATGTCAATGGCGACGCCTGGTCCTACTACTCCCGATCGCAGGACTCCGAGCGACGTCGATAAGTCTTCCCAGGAGGACTGGAGAAGACGCTGGCAGAGCCCGAAACAGCCATTGCAACGAATCAAGACTTGCTTTGAGATTTGGCAACTTTGTGCCTGCCAGTAAGTAAGTGTTTGGGAGTTCTGAGTGTTCGTACTGCCTTTTCGATACCCCCTATTCATTTGCAATCGTGAGAAATCTTTGTTTGATCTGCGGTAAAAGGAGGAATGAATGCTGTTGTTTCAGTAGATGTTAAAGACTATAGGGCAGATGAGGCGCGAGTGGTAGCATGTACTTCACGAGAAACGCGAATGGGTTCGGCTTCTGCTTATAACACAATCCCACGTCCACTCAAGGCCGCCAGCCTGCTTGACCGGACATGCTCAGCCGCTTGTGTTGGCTCGCACTAGCCTGTCGTCAACATCGCCCGGTGGCTACAACGCCTTTTGCACCTGGCGGACCATTGTGGCGCAGTGTCAATTGGTCGCCAGCTTCCAAGTTCCAGTCTTCTTGTGAGGCACAGCTGGCGGCTTGCACACGGGTGCATGTGCGCCCCACCAGAGGCCTGGTGTGGACATCTTCTTTACAAATTTGTGATTGAGATGCCGTTGTCGAGGTCGAGATGCTCAATCTTATAAACAAAGTGAAGTTGCTAGATTTACATAGGCTGACAGCCATACAGAGTGATGCTTCGTAAACCACCGATGCTGGCCACTTCTTGTGCGTGATAGCACGTACCCTTCTCAAGCATTTGAACGCCTATTTCATGCCGCTGGCTTCTTGTGACTTTAAATCCGAACTCGTGCAGGATGTGGTTTTAGTGCCTGTTTTGCGTCTTTTCGAAGCTGTCGAGTACGCTCTGCTGCACCTCGTTCCTGCCTTCCGGCAATCGCTCATTTTGATGCTCTGACTTGCTATCAGATTCCTGAGATAGCAGCTGTTGCGCTTGCGCCTTTGCCTGCGACTGAGAAACGTTGCCGTACACAGACATTGCGGTAGCTATCATTTGCCCGATATCGCCAACGTTTCCTGGAACCACCACACTCGTGCCTTCCTTGGCAAGCTTGCCGAAAGCCTCCACGTATTTCTCGGCGACGGAAAGGGACACAGCACCTTGAGCAGCCTGCTTGCCTTCGCTCAAGCTCTTCGCAACAGCGTCAATACCTCTTGCAGTTGCATTGGCCTTCAACAGGATTGCTTCAGCCTCACCAGAAGCGGCATTGATCTGCTCCGACTTAATGGCCTCAGATGCAAGGATAACGGACTGCTTGCGACCTTCAGCGATATTGATGGCAGATTGACGTTGACCTTCCGAGTCAAGAATTTCTGCACGTTTGCTTCGCTCTGCTGTGACCTGTCTATGCATGGCCTCGACCACAGGTGCAGGAGCGTGAATATCTCTGATCTCGTATCTGAGACAGCGCACGCCCCAGTCTGCTGCAGCTTCGTTGATAGCTTGTGTGATATTCGTGTTCAATGCCGCGCGCTCTTTCAAGACGTGATCCAAGGTAAGCTGACCAATCTCGCTGCGCATGGTCGTTTGCGCCAATTGCGATATGGCATAATCGGCATCTTCAACACCGTAGCTGGCCTTGTATGGATCCATCACCCGGGTGTAGAGCACACCATCGATGCCCAAAGTAACATTGTCTGCTGTTATTGCGCTTTGCGAAGGTATTTCCATGGCATTTTCCTTCAAGCTTTTGACGTAAGCTATCCGATCGATAACAGGCACCAAAATTGCTAGGCCAGGCTGAAGGATGCGGTTGAACCGTCCCATACGCTCCACTATCCACGCCGTTTGTTGTGGAACAAACTTAACGATGGTGTTTGCAGGCAAGGATGAGCGCTGGAAGTATGTGCTTGGAGGTCCGCCTACTGTCGATGATGAGCGGAACATGCTCTCTGATGGCATCGGGAAGTCATGGCGTGGACTTGTCGAGAATGCTGATCGTTGCGCGGCGTAGACAATGGGGTATCGCGAGTTCTGAATCGCCGCAATTGATCGTCTCGAGAGTGCAGGTCGTGACGATTTGAGTATGGCCACGGCTGGCTCGAGGGCTCTCGTAGTTGGGGCCATATCCAGCTGATGCGCTGATTACCTCAAGGTCTGGGTGCTCCCTGTGGCCAGCTGATGTTCTGGAAGGTGTAACGCAGTGCCAGATGGAGGTGTACCTGAACATGAAGCCTCGCTGGTTCTGCTGACTACGGCATCACCTTCGGCAGTGATTTCTCCGACCGTGCCAAGCCTTCCGCTCCTACCAACGGGGGCAAGTTATGCTCACCACCTCACCTCATGACATGTATTAACAAGGAACGAAATGACTAGCTTTTTGCCTCGCTCAGTTATTCGCCATCGCGCAATGCACACCTGTACTCCTAAGTGGCCCGCGCCTGCTCGAAAGCCTGGACTAGATGCCCATATCGAGAGAACAATGTGCTAGGTTGGTGATGCAAAAACATGCTCAACACATACGGCGGCCGACCATATGGTGGCTTCGCAGGCTGACTAGCGGAATCACCAGCCCGGGTCAAGCCTAGAGACCGGGAAAATAGCGAATCTCGTGCGAGAATCATCATGTTCGATCTTTCTCACGACAGCGACACGAACGACAGAACCAGCGATGATGTTGCAGGTGGATATGCTATATTACAGCATAGCTTGGACTGGACAGACTATGGACTCTTATCTACAGCGGGAGTTCGGGAGTCTCTCGACCGCTTTTATTCGAAGGTGACGGAGATATATGACCAAAAGCGTCTACCTGCAGCTGCGTGGATGTAAACCTGCTGTCCACGCGTGGTCGTTTAGGCGACTGAAGTCTTTTCTGCTGGTCAACATCTTCATCCTGCCTACGCTTCCGACGACTCTGAGCCTTTCTCTGTCTCCACAGCCGCTGGGCAATGATGACACCGCAGCAGAGTCGCTGGAGGTATGCGACTGGCGAAGGATCTTTCCGCTTGAACTCCACCCAGTCAATCTTATTAATACCCAGCTCCGCACCCTGCGCGCCCTGGGCCATCTTCTCGGCCAACTTCTTTACCTCATCGTTGCTCAAAGCAGTCTTGTCACGGAAAGAGAAGCGCAACGTCAGCGATGCAGCTTCTTCCGCACATCGCGCAGGTGCTGCATCTACTACCTTGGAGTCTAGGCGAGCGAGTTTGATGTATCTGTTGTTGATGCCGTGTCTTGGTTGATACACAGATCCGGTGTTCTTGCGCGACTTCACCATGTCGTGGTGAAGCTGACAGACAGTGAAGAGTTCGTCCGGCTGAGCAGTGATTCTGGCTTTCAAGCAGTCAATGAGTGCCCTTGTGAATGATTCTGGGCCTGGAATGGCTGTCGGTCGATCAGAGCTGGATGCAGCCAGAACCTCCCAGGAGCGGTCCTCCTGACCACCATCTTTCCAGATGCTACCCGCAGAGCAAGAGTCGATAATCGTCAATATATCCGCTGAACTTTCCTTCAAGACTTCCTCAGCTTCATTCCAACTAGCGTGGGGAGGAAATTTGGACTTCCGCCAGGGCTTCTCAGGATCATGCCTCTCTTCGCTGCGCACAAGTCAGCCTAGACCACGACTCTCAAACATGAGATGGCTTGCTGACCCAGTAATGTAAAGCCCCTGGCCAGGTATCGTCATGCCGTGGCCCGAGTAATACACGATCAGAAGGTTACTGCGACAAGTTCCATCATGATCAAGCGCCAAGGCATCGAGTGCATGCCGCAGCTGTCGCTGTGGAGGCTTTTCGTTGTGCAACTCCAAAATCTTTGATTTGAATTTGAAGTGAGTTTGGAAGAGCTGGTGAAGTTCTTCTGACTGCGATTTGTTAGCCAACAGGCTTTTTGAAGGGCCACATACCGAACCTCTTCCTTGCACTCCAGCCATTCATCCAGATGCTTTGCCCAGTGGATTATCAGAGCTGCAACGTTCTGGTATTTGTACGGCACTTCAAGCTCTTTGCAAGTGGTCTCCTCCCACAAGGCCTGCATACACGGGTTCCGTGACTCAGTCTCGCTCAACGCAGAGGTCAACGAATTGTCGGAATCTGTCGACTGGGTTCGTTCTGCAGCATGCTTGCTTTCTGGCTTTGTGAACAAGACATGCGCATGAATATTGGCCTCCATTTGCTCTTGGGCCATCTCAGGCAATCAGCAGTGGAAACCAATTACACCAAGATTCATTGTGAAGCTTTAAAGTCTTTAGAGAGATCATTGCTTGGAATCAGGTGCGGGAATTAATTACCTCAGCTCGCACTGCCTCAGGGCTATGGTGAGCGTGAAGTTCGCACCTTTTTATTGAGGTTCTGGAGTCCCCACATTAAGAGAAGGCTGGCCAAAGTTGGTGCATTCTGGGTTCCACGAGGAGTTGTAGCTCCATATCGAGCATGCATGTCACCCCACTCGAACCGCCGTCGCTTCGTGATTGTGCATGTTTGCCTGTTTGCCTTCGTTGCCTTCGCCGATTGCGCCGAGAGACCGCAAGATACCCCTTCCCCTTTGTGGCTGGATGGAAACACGAAAGGACGTTTTTGTTGAGGTTAAAGACTGCCTTATCTTCATCGCCGCCTCCTACTGGTGAAATTCTGGCCTTTCTTCAACAACTCTGAGCCACCTGTCTAACCCACAAACAAATATGTCGACGCAAGGTGAAGGATCAGTTGGACGTGATCAACTGGAGGTGAGGCTAGACCGTGATACGGACAAGCCACATATTGTGCCGCCAGCTAACACAAAAAGCTTGTTAGGTCACCACTGAGGCACCATCGCTTTCGCCAATAGAAGATGGTCCTTCAAAGTCAGAGGTCACCAGGGCACCCTCGAGTAGTCGCAGAATCGTAAGCGGCTTTTGCATTCGAGAAAGTCCTTCAGCTGACAGTGACAGGCCCCTGCCGACCATCGCGACGGCAAGAAAGTCCGCATCACAACGAGGGACGCGGATGGTAAAACTTCAAGCGTAATGTGCGAAGTGGTCAGCTCAAGATACGACGAAAGGTCGAAGACGTATCTGTACACGCTGAAAGAAAAAGGCACGGGACTCTTTCGCGACAATGTACGACAGAGTGACATTACATGATTCGGGTGAATGCACAGCCACTTCTAAGTTGTGTAGCCTCGCCTGTGGGCAGCTGAGCAGTAGCTGCTTGACCTCCGGTGTGTATTGGCACTACATTATTCGACATGGGAGCTTGCACCGAGACGCGAGGCCTCCGATGCATGTTACCCCATTGGCGTGACAAGTCTGGTGTAGTGCAACATACTGTACTGTACTGGATTCTCAGCAGAGATCTCTCAATGGAGGGCCAAATAAAGTGTTCTTGTAGTGCTCGACTTCTCGAAGTATTTGTACTGCCCCACGATTTCACATGTAGAAATGCATAGCATTGAAGAGTCTGTGAATACCGACGAGAAAGCTGCATTTAAAATTGTTTCACCCAGCACTGGCGCTACTTCCGACCAGAGTTTTGCCAAAGATGTCGAGGCACTGAAGACAAATTCCCGGAAATGTGAGGGACAGCCAGCCATACGTGGAAATTGTTAAGCGCTGATGTTGGCCAGCGAGCTGGGCTCTGCGATGGTTCAAACGCCTGGTCCAAAGAAGTCCGCAGTCCACGGAAGAGACAGCTGCTGAGCAGTCAGAAGACTCATGGACCTCACTTACGAGAAGCCGTAAGCCAAAAGCGATGCTGAGCCAGTCAAAGAGCGTGCTAACCATCCTGATTCCCAGTCGACCAGACTCCACAAGGATACGCCGCAATCGCAGCCTTCCAATCCAGCGACAGGAACTTCTTACAGTATCGCGGTTTCAGCTATCTCCACAGCCGCGTCCTTTCAGATTTACAATTCGGAATCGAACGTCTGGAAGAAGAGCTAGACGAATTGGACCAGTATGACAAAGATGAGTCCCGGAGTCGAAGGTTGCAGTGCACGGAAGATGACAGAGACATGCCTCCTGACTATCCTGAATACATCGAGAGGACGAGACCAGCCGTTCTTCGAGAGCTTAAGGAGAAGTTGATTGAGTATGACACGGTGCTCTTGAAAACTAGAGAAATGGCTACGCTGCAGCGGCCTGCGAAGCGGGATTATGAGAGTGTTAGTAAGTGCAGCAAAGCAAGTTGTGGTTGATACATGTATGTCTTGGATTTTGACTTACGTTGTGATGTCTGCAGAGAACTTTTTCGTCAATTTTGCTCCGATCACGGTTAAAGAGTCCAGATTCATTCGTCGAAAAGAGGACGTTGTCACTCTAAGATCTGGAAGGGAGAGCGCGGCATTCGATGGCTTCGTGGAGACTTGTCTGAGCCGAAGTCACAAGTTCATGAAGCGTTATTTTCATTCGGACATTATTCACGTAAGCTGCTGGCGTTGATGCCCTTTCCCGGAAGGCTGCAGTGTTTGCTGACAATTTCGTAGCGGTGGTTCTTGACGCAGGAGTTGCGAGACAAGACCGAAAGCAGTTATATCAACTACTTCTCTCCCGCTAAGATTGACACGCTGGTCAATATCATTATCACGGTCGTGATCTTCATTCTGTTAGTGCTGCCAGTAATCATAATGTATCGAGTGGCGGAAATGGGAGAGAGCCAGTCGCCATTAAATGCCCTAGGTAAGCCTCGTTGGATTTTGATGATCCAGAGCGGTCGCTGATCGAAGTGCAAAGGTGTGCTAATTGTCTTTACGCTGATATTTGGCATGGCTGTATCGGCACTCACCACAGCTAAACGGCACGAGCTGTTCGGCGCGTCTGCAGCGTACGCTGCTGTCTTGGTCGTCTTCATTGGAAATTTCGGTGTGCAGCAGGTAGATCCTGGTACGACAGAGGCGTGGACGACTGTCTTTACCAATATTACATCGTAAAAAGATGACGAGGAGGGTAAAGACTGTCAGTAGACAATATTTCAAGCTTCAGTATCAACTGCTGGGCCAGTCTGGCTTGCATTCACCTTCTCTCTCAACGCTCCCAGGTCATCGAGACCTCTAGGTCCAACGTCCTTCCTCTTTGCAATGCTTGCTGTGAGACGCAGAGTATCATCAGGCAAGAACTTCAATCTATGGGCCATCATCGCCGACTTACCAACACTTTCTCCAGCCTCGACACTACGGCAAAGATCCTCAGGATCGAAGTCCGCACCAAGAGGATTCTCGTCAAAAGCCGGAGTCTGCATCATAGCCGTAGCTTCTTCCGCAGTTCCGAAATTGTCAAATTGAGTCTCAATTTGATTTCCATCGGGGTTTTTATAGTACATCGAAGTTGTTGGGCCGTGGTTCTACATGCAGCTGTCATGCTTTCCGTCAGACCGTCACGGAGGAAGTCTCACCACACACCAACCCGGTGTGATGTCCAATGCTTTGCGCTGTTTGTATGCTGTGCACAAGTCTTCGAGACTGTCGAATGTGAAGGCAATATGCTCGAGACCGCTAGTATTGCCTGTGTTGTCCCCAAGATTCGGTTTGCTGAGGAGAGCAATCCGATGATGTTCATCGTCGTAGGTGATGAATGCCATTCCTTCGTTGGTGCAGACCTGCGCGATTGAGTTCGGATTGTCAATTGCTATGCAGTCGTGAATCTCTTACAGAATGCCCACCAAGAAATGTCTCGTAATACCACTTCATCTTCGCGAAATTGTTTGTGCGTGAGACGATGCGAGCTAGCTTGGAAGGGGAGATGACTTTCTGAGCATTGCCGTTCGTCGCCATTGTTGGAGATTGATATACAATGTGCAGTGCTGATGCGAGATCGTATGTGCAGCTCTCAAGTTGATGGCGCAGATTGTCTCCTCCGTATTTTATGTTACAGATGTTCCCATTGAAAGTGAGAGATGTGTCATCTTGTACAGGTTCGAAGGATTCCGCGGTGGATTGACGCTTACTACGACAGCATTCGTCGATCCCTTTGCCAGACCCCGATGGGTTGTAACCGAGCAAGCTACAGCAAAGTAGGGCTATTCCAGCCTGGCCCACTTAAAGCTCGTGCTCAGGATTTCTCGGCTTCGGTGATGGTTTTCGGTGAAATCGCGACGTCGATGTCAATTGCATTGTAATTTGTAACCAGCCTATTGCTGCCGAGTGTTGAACCGATGCCGAAGCCGAAGTAGGAAATCTGTGAAGCCAGCAGAACATGGTATGTCCGAAATCAAGACAAAATCCCAGACGATATTGGCTGGAGCGAGGCAGAGTATCGTCAGGCCTTATGAGTCCAGGCTGAGAAACTCTTTGATCGTATACTCAATAGCTCTGGCAACTTCTTCGCCCTCTTCCCACACTTGATCGTGCGTGCCGTGCAGTTCCAACAACTTCAGTCTTCGGTCACCCGATTCGGTAAAACCTTGCTTCTGGAGAGAGCTTAGCATAAGCTCTGGTTGCTCCCACTCGACAAGCTCGTCCTCTCGAGAGTGCGCAATGACTACCAGCTTTCCGTGCTCCCAATTCGACTTGTAGTCGCCATGTGTTGGGCTCGCAGCTGCCCAGGCTCGCTCATTCGTCCCAAAAGCCGCTTGAATGAAGCTGCGGTAGAATGGGTCATTGAGCTTGTCGTGATATTTCACCAAAGCCGGCAGATCGTACAGTCCCTCAATACCACAAATGGCCAGGGGTGGAACGACGTTCAACTCCAGCGCTTGAGTCGACTGGTGATTGACTCCCCAGTACCGCTTCATGGCCACCTGCATGGCCAGACATGCTCCACACGAGTGCCCTACCAAGATGTAGCGATCTTCGAAGCGATACGTCTCCTGCAAGTGCAGAATGGCGCTGAGCACATCATTGATATGATCAGGGTGAGTGGCATTTCGGGCTGGATCAGCTGGGTTTGATGGATGCGTCGGGTTGGACGGCGCTGGCGAAAGGCGATAGTTGATAGAGGCGAAGCCAGCAATGTGACGCACCGCAGGGGACTTCAGCAGTATATCTTGAGCTTTGTCGAAAGTTGCTGCTGTCTGTGATGGGTCAATCCAGGCTCCGCCGTGCACATACACAACCCATATTCGACCCTGGTCATTCGAGCTTGTCGGTTTTGGAATGCATGTTTGGAGAGTATTCAGCTTGGAGTCGTCGCTGTAGTGGATGTCCTTGCGGAACTGAGGCCAATCGTCTGCCACTGCCATCGTGGCCAGGCGCCGCCGGGACAGGCTGTGTACAGTCGCAGTGGTGTCTGACGGGGGAGGGAAGAGAAGGAAAGGAAGCGCGTTGAGTAGGAAGCGCATTGGGTAGGAGCCGTGACGGCTATCGAGCGAGAGCAGTATCGTAGCGTAGCGTAGCGCGGGCTCTGGCGTGGCCGCGCCGGGCCTTCGTGCAAGCAATGGCGAATGGCGAATGGCGAAGACGCTGGGCGCAGCTCACGGAAGCTCAAGGTTGCAGGCTCTTGCCTTTGCCTTTCCGTCTTCCGCTATTCTATTCCGTTCCCAAGGCTGACAGCTGGATATCGATGTGTTGATGTGTTGAGATGGTATGGAAGCAAGCGCGGGTTCTGGGCTGGGCAGGCGCGGGTTGATGGAAGAGTCGGTCAACTGAACTGGCGGTTGGGCCTGCCTTCAATCTCCCGCTCCCATGCGCGAAATCGCGCTCAGGGCTCGTCATCCGCGTAGCGCGTGCAAGGATGTGCCTGTCGAGTCGGGCCAGCGTGGTGTTGGCAGTTGCGATCAGATCCAACGTCATCGTGCGCCGCTGTGGCAGCTTCAGTCGCTCACTTCACGCCCGCCTCTGCCTACTTTTCACCGCCCGAGTCGGCAGTAGTCGTATACTAAAAAGCGAGCATTTCATCTGCAACATCCTCAATGCGAAGACATTGACCAGCATCCTTGGCATCTTCATCGCCCGCCGCCCGCCGCCCGCCGCCCGCAGCTCCCACCTCTCGCAGGCGTGCTCTTGCCCTTGGCCTTGGGCATCGCCGCTGCGCCATTCGCCCAGAGTTCACTTCCTGGCAGGGCCCACCATCAAACTCCCTCTGCCTTGTCCAGGGCCAGGGCCAGGACCAGGACCAGCATTCCACACTCAGTGACACTTCATCACACTCATCAGCCTTTCGTCTGTCGCCCGACCTTTTAAAGAGAAACCTAATTCCGTCTGCCTACTTGGTCCGATCAACAACATTGTCGCATCTCTTTTGCACCACACCCTTATCGGCTTGGCCGTGAGCCAACATGAGCAACTACGACGGCTACGACGACGAGCCGCGTCGCTACCGCAGCGTGAGTTGATAAACGTTCGCCTTGTCACTCTGATGGACTTGCACGCTGACTTGTCGCTACCCAGGTTCGCACCCGACCACGTGACAGAGACGAACCAGACTACGTGCGCGAAGAGACGTACATTGAGCGCGGAAAGGGCCCAGGACCGCGCGGCGCCGAATTGGTCTATCGCGGACGGGACGATAGCATCGAGGACATTCCAAGAGACTTCCCTCCACCAGGCCGCCGCAGCACTTACCGCGATTACGATGACTACGATGCACCACGCCGTACCAAGAGCGCAGCAGGCAGCAGGAGATACTCAGATGACTACGACGATGGCTATACCGACTATGCCGCTCCTGCTGCTGCCGGTGCCGCAGGTTACGCTGCTGGACGTCGTCGAGACCGCGGTCGTGGACATCGCGACGATCGTGGCTACGATAGTGACTATAGCCGCTCTCCACCGCGCCGCGAACGCAAAAAGTCAGGCGTTGGCGACTTGGTAGAGTCTCTTGGTCTTGGCGGCCTTGTTGGCGGTGTGCTGGGCAGTAAAGACAAGGACCGTGATCGTTCCCGCTCTCGTTCTCGCTCTCGAGCTGGCCGATCTTCTTCTCGTCTCAGTCGCCGCGGTCACTCGTCAGACAGAAGTCGATCTCGCGGACCAGGCAAGAACGGCGGCAAGACCGAGCGGAAATGGGCCCAAGCAGCCCAAGCAGCCATCGTCGCTGGTGCAGTCGAAGCCTTCCGCTCTCGCAACGAAGCTGGTCCGTGGACTGGCGAAAAAGGTCGACGCATTGCCACCGCTGCTCTTGGTGCTGGTGGCATTGATGGCCTGATCGACCGAGACCCAGAGAAGAAGTCAAAGCGTCACTTGGCCGAAGCTGTCATTGGTGGTCTTGCTGCCAACAGACTTGCCAATGGTCCTCGCTCCAAGTCTCGCGGTCGCGGCATCGACTCACGCGACGTCTCTCCTGACAGTCGCGCCCCACGCTCTCGCAGCCGTAGCATCATTGACCGGTTCCGTGGACGCTCCCAATCTCGCGGCCGTGCTCCGTCTGAAGGAGGTGGAGGAGGTGGAAGTAGTGGAGCCTTGAAAGGACTGGTTGGTGCCGGTGCCCTAGCCGCAGCTGGAAAGGCCGTCTATGACCGGGTGAGGTCCAAGTCCCGCAAGAGACAATCCCGATCCCGCTCTTCTAGTGCAGACTCGTATGTGCCTTCCCGCCGCCGTGCCCGTGATAGGCGCCGCTCACCTCGTTCAGATACGGGTACAGCCCGGACCGACGGAGTTTCCGATCACGGAGGTCGCGAAGTCGCTCGCGGCGGTAGTGTGGGAGCCAGCACCATTGAAGCTGGAGGAGGTGGTGGTGCTTTGACGCGGCACCCGCCTAATAGAGGGGACTCCAACGACTCCAGCGATAGTAGTTCTACCACTGACATGGAAAAGACTCGGAAGCACATGCGTGGCAAGGAGTTGATTACGGCTGGTCTCGCTACCGTCGCGACCATCCATGCAGCTCATGGCGTTTACTCAAGTATGGAGGCTCACGAAAAGAGACATCGACTAGTCCAAGAGGGTGAGATGAGTCCTGAAGAAGCTCGCAAGAAGCAGACGAAAGCTTGGATCCAAGATGCCGCAGCTGTTGGTATTGCCGCACTGGGTATCAAGGGTGCTTTCTCAGAATGGAAGGAAATGAACGAGCAGAGGTATTGTTTGGCCATTCCTAGATTGATGTACCTATGACCCGTGCTGACCATCGCCGTTTCCACAGGCGCGAAATCAACGAAATAGAAAAGCGGAAGGCGAACCGCCGCAAGAAGCGCATTGCCCGCGAAAAGCAGGAGGAGCGAGAACGACACGAACGCATGATGAGTATTCTGGAGCGCAACCCACAGCTGGCCGTGGGCTACAACATGCAACAGAATGGCTACATGCCGTCCAACTACAGACCTTCTCCTGCCGCCGACCAGAGTGGGAACCCTTATGCTTCGGCTGGCGGACACTAGAAGTATCACGACCGGAAGCATGATCGACGACTTGACGCAGAAACAAGCTCAGTTCAAAGCTCATTTCGCGATTGGGATCCCTTCGGTCGGCCTCGGCGCGAATAGCCTCATTTCCGACTCTTTCCTCTTTTCCTTTGGCCCTTCTTTTATTTTCCAGCAACATTGCGACTTCATGCATCATGACCCAAATACGACAGACACTCGATGGCATGAGACGATGACATTGGCGTTGAGCACGGTAAATGGATATGGAGAGCTGCATGAGATACCAGGCGGTCACAGACAGCTGCATAATATATCTGCGCTGCTATGAATATATGAAACACGAAGAAGTGACTTGGGAGGCCGGTGCCTTCCGGCGTTGATAGCTTTATATCGATGCTTTACAGAAGACCTTTCAAGTGCATATCGGCGATAGGTTTCTACAATCCAGCCCTCAAAGCACTTTCAAGGAATGCAGCACCAGACACAACCCCATCCACAATCTTGATCCTCTTCCCTTGCTCCTCTCCAAGCAACTCAACACAAGCCTCCCTCACAGTCCCATCCATTCCACTCATCCCCGAACAACCAAGACATATCGCTTTCGCCCCAGCTTCCAACAACTTCTTCGTCGCAGCTTTCATCCTCCCATCAACTTCCTCCTTAGGCGTCGTGTGAAGTTCATTCGCATTCAACCCCGTCGTCGTGGTCCCAATATACCTCTCACTCGTCTTCGTACCCAACAGTTCCTGAATCGCTTCATCTAGAATCTCACTCCACTGCGAACCTGTCGAGACGATGCCGAACGCATCATAGGTGTTGAGGATTTGTAGGACGGTGGCAATCGAGGATTCGAAAATCCCGGTTATGGGTTTTTGAGGGAGGCCGGATTCTAGTAGGGCTGTGCGGAGTTGGGGCACTAAGGGGTGTTGGGAGAAGCAGCATATGAGGAAGGCGTCGTAGTCGGCGAGTTTGGTGGTTAGAGGGGGGAGGCAGGCTTCGGCTGAGATTTGGGCGTCGGATTCGTTGTTTATGCTGGGGACGCCGGTGGGGGCGGTGAAGTATTCGAATGTTGTCTGGAGGTTTTTGTTAGTAGGTGAAGATTGTTGGGATACTTGGGGTTGCTCACGTTTCGATAGTGTAGCTTGTCTATGAGTGGTCTTAGGACTTCGGTCATGGTTTCTGTGGTGTTTGGGTTGATGACCAGGACTGTCTTTTCGTAGTGACCCATTTTGCTCTGGAAGTGGTCTTTATCGTCTCTTCTTTTCCTGCCTGAGTGAGTAGAGTCGGAGTCGTGAGAAGGACGGAGAGTGAGCTGCAGCATGGGGTTTTAAGCTCTGCCTTCTCCGCTTCGAATTCCGTTCCAGCCAACTTGCAGGTCACCTGAGGCTCATCAATGTTTCGCGGTTCAGTTCAGCCTCTTCCTACTTGTGACCAGGCTATCATTTTATGTGCCCAAGCGACCATAGTCCTCCTTGCAGACAAAAGACGACTATTTGGCTGTTGCTTCTGAGGACTTCCATTGCATTGACGGAGTGAGGAAATGTGATGGCTGAATATGATACATTGACATTCATGATAGCAGAGGCACTGCACAGCCATGACCAGGTTACTGTTGTACTGTATTTGTTGTGATTCGGAATTCCGCGGTTTTCACAAATTCACACGCAGTCGTCCGTGGGCTGGAGATGGTCGGAGGGCGGTGGTGTGGCTGCTTCTGACCTTGAACAGAGTCTCATTGCACACAGTGCAAGGCCTTTTGGTGGTCATAAGGCATTTCGAGGTGAGAACGAGTAAGCTGATGGTTGCTTCCATGTGACTGAGCAGGCCCTGACCCAAGAGCCTCTCGTTCCTGCAAATCATAGATAGTTCGTACCACCCAATGGTAACAGGTAGCTCGCGCCTAAAGTTAGCTACACTGCAGTGGTTAGCGTAGCGGCGGCGGCGGCGGCGGCGGCGTACCGTTTGTTTCTTCAACAGATCCCTGAAGCGTGAACGTTGCTTTGTCGTGGTGGATACCGTGATACGCATCCCACTCGGCGACATCGACATCACCGTCGACCACCCACGCACACCGGCGACCGCAATCGCTTGCTGAGTAACCATCGCCGCCACGCCCATTCAGCCCTCAGCTCGACCGAGACAGTGCGCATTGCGTAACGTTACTGCGATTAGTTGGCGAGTGGAAGCTTAGAGGTTAGCAAAGTTTAGGCGCAATACACTGTTTGGTTGTTGGAGGCCAGATTCCTAGCACAATCGCATCTGCAGCAGACCCAATGCGCGGAGTGAGGAGGAGACACGCACGCGAGGGGCGATAAGTCCATGTCATCGGACGATTCAGGCCACCGGCGCAACCAGTCCGCCAGCAATGCCATACCACTCCAGAGCCTGAACCCCCATGGCACTCCTGGGCGGGCTGGTAGCCTTGCGAGGGAGGAATCGCATCGAAGAACACTCAGTGACAGAGGCAGGGATCTGTTCAACAGGTCCGCAGGTCGCAGTGATGCAGATTCCGACCGACGAAATGTCGCCTATACACCGATGCGCCATGGCTCGCCCAGTCCTCCCTCTCGACAGCCATTCTCCCCCATTGCCTTCGTCACCACGCCGTCTGGCGAGCACGAACGTATTCCCGACGAAGACGATGAACAACCTATGTCGCCTATCGCGGATCGAGGCGCATTCCAGTCAGCCATTGGATTCGCGGGGCTATCATTTGGCTCGGGCCCTCAAGAAGAGAGTTCCTCAGAGTCGGGCGAAGAGGATGTAGCGCGCTTTCCGCGCGCGCACAAGGGCAAGAGGGCGACGCTGGATAGTCTCCCGCCGCTGCAGATAAGATCCAGAGATAGCAGCATGGAGCGCATGGTCTCAGTGGAGTTGGATGATGGGCCAGCCTTCATCTCCCCCGGTGGACACGACGATGATGATACCCTCCCACTTACAGATTCTTCGCGACTGCAGCCTGCGGCGGCAGCACGTCCGAGCAGTTCAGATGGCCAGCGACAAGAGCGAAATAGGGCAGGCTCTGGGCTGAGCCTCAGTGGGCTCAGCGTACGTCTCACATCAGCTGGCGGGAGTAGCAATCGATCCAGAGCCAATTCAAGACTTGGCGATGATCTGGCACAGACAGAAGCTGGATCGAGACTATCCACCTCCGATATGAGCAAATCAACGTCCAATCGGAAAAGCTCACTCCAATCACTATCACCAATGGAGTCGCCGTTGCAAAGAACAGGGACTATGCTGCGCAAGATGTCACAGCGAGTCGTGAACGTCAGTAATGAAGCAGATATCCTGGACAGAGAACGACCATTACCTCGAAAACACTCGATCATTCAGCTACCTTCAGAGCCACGCATAAGTGAAGCAGGAAGCGAAGGCAGGGCTAGTGCTGCGTTCGATGGCGCACATGCACCAAAGTCTCCAGCTAGCGAGAAAGGTCCCTCTTCTATTGTTGAAGATGAGCCACCTGCGCTGCCTGTCATAGATCGGAATCCACTGAGAGGAAAGTCTCTTGGGATCTTTTCGCCCCAGAGCAGAACACGACAGGCTCTTTTGGACTTCCTGGTCCATCCTTTCGTGGAGCCTCTGATTCTGGTTTTGATCGTTGTTCAGACAGTCATTTTAGCTATCGACAATGCACCAAACGTGTACACCGACAGTCGACCTCATGGCTGGGGCAACAATTGGACTGATTGGCTTCTCCTCGGAATCTTTGTGGTATACACCATTGAGATCGTGGTCAAGGTGATTGTGTCGGGATTCATACTCAATCCTTCAGAATACAGTACGATCGATCGAAGCATTGGCTTGCGAAAAGCTCTAAAAAAGAAGTCGGATGCACTTTTCGCCCTACACCGCAAACCCTCGAAGCGCGGTCTGCGGGCAGATATAGCGGATGCGAATGCGCCAGCTCCCGATTCTTTGCTGCGGTCGTTCACAGTGCAGACTTTTGACGAAGTGCCTGGAGGATCTCGACAAGCTCAAAAGAAGCGGCTCGCATATCGCGCATTTTTACGGCACTCGTTCAATCGATTAGACTTCGTGGCCGTCGTATCTTTTTGGATCAGCTTCGTGCTAGGATTTTCTGGTATCGAACACCGCTACCAGATCTACGTCTTTCGAATGATGAGCTGCCTGCGAATCTTGAGGCTCCTTGGTATTACTAGCGGCACTTCTGTTATTTTGCGAAGTTTAAAGCGAGCCGCACCTACACTGCTCAACATCGCCTTTCTAATAGGGTTCTTTTGGCTTTTATTCTCCGTTGTCGGCGTTCAGAGCTTCAAATCCAGTTTGAGGAGGACATGTGTCCTTGATGGCGCTCTCGCGACCCCTCCCACCGAAAACAACACCCAGAATCAACCTCCTCCAGCTGGAAACTTTCAATTCTGTGGTGGCTGGATCGATTTCGATGGCAACAAGATGCCATGGCTGAGGTCAGATGGATCAAATGGCACAGACGAGCATAAAGGCTACCTCTGTCCTCAAGGGTCATACTGCGTCGAAGGCGAGAATCCATACAACAGCACGATCAGCTTTGACAACATTCTTCAATCCGCGGAGCTGGTGTTCGTTATCATGACTTCGAATACATTCACCGATATAATGTACTACCTGATGGATTCCGACTACCTGGCTGCAGCACTCTTCTTTGCCTTCGGTACCATATTCCTTACCTTCTGGCTCATTTCGCTGCTGATTGCGGTGATCACCTCTTCATTCCAGATCATTCGCGAGGAAAGCAGGAGTAGTGCTTTCATGGACTCTGCAGACCCGGCGGAAGACCATGAAGAAGCTGAAAATCCAGAGCTATCGCCTGGGGGCAGAAAGAGTCGAATACGCATATCTGGAATAAAAAGGGCATATCAGAAATCATACTGGTTCTGGATTGTGGTGATTATATTCGATCTCATTGTCCAAGCCATGCGAACGGATACGATGGGTCCATTCACAACCAATCTGATCAAATATACGGAGCTCATTGTCACTCTTGCTCTGGTATTTGAGATCATCTTTCGCTTCGTCTCAGACTGGAGAGATTTCCGTCATCACAGACGAAACTGGTTCGACCTGTTCCTAGCCGTAATGACTGCGATCATTCAGCTTCCTCCTATCCGCAATTCTGGAGACCCATATGCCTGGCTCACAGTCTTCCAGGTTCTAAGGATCTACCGAGTGGTCCTGGCAGTCCAGCTGACGAGGGATCTGATCTTGCTTGTTCTACGCCACGTGTCTGGTGTGCTGAACTTGATCGTTTTCGTGTTCCTGCTCACTTTCCTGGCTAGCATCTTCGCCGCTCAGCTGTTTCGAGGTCAGCTTCCGATTCTGGACGATGAGGGCAACTATATTCAAGTCCCCTTCGCAACAATATTCAACAGCTTCCTTGGAATGTACCAGGTGCTGTCCACCGAGAACTGGACAAACGTTCTATATAACGTTGCGCGGTTCGACCAGCAATACGGGACATCCTGGATTGCTGCGATATTCTTCATCCTCTGGTTCTGCTTGGCGAACTTCGTCGTTCTGAATATGTTTATTGCTGTCATTCAAGAGAATTTTGACGTTTCAGAAGACCAGAAGCGCATGCAGCAAGTTCGATCATTTCTTCAACGCAAGGAGCTTGGCAGTGATACAGGAGGCACGCTATCGCTTGCTACAATCTTCAAGTTTGGCTCAGTGAAGCGACAAGATCCCTTGGACTTCGGATCAGCGACCACGGAAATGCTGTTGAAAGACGCTGTGGTGAAGGACTTCCTCGATGACCAATTGCAAGACGGCGACAACCTCAAACGCGCACCCACTGCGGGTTTGGCCTCGGCCAGCACGCTTGCACTCGTCAGTCAGCCTGCTGGACTAGCCGCGCGCCTGCAAGAATGGATCAATAAGCACGTCTGGAATCGTGAGCCCAATCCATTCTACGCCAAGCTGCAACTGACAAAGCCGCGTGAAGAGCTAGATCCTCGGAGCCTGGCTCAAGAAGTGGTCGAAGCAGCAGAGCAGCGGAAAGTCTCCCAACGAGAATATCTGCGAAGATATCCCAACTACAATACTACGCTTTATCTGTTCACGCCAGAGAATCCCATCCGGAAATTCTGCATGCGCATTGTTGGTCCCGGTAGAGGGCAGCGCATCCAAGGCGTACAGCCCCATCCGACTGTTTGGTACGCCTTCTCGGCCTTCATCTATGCTGCAATTGTTGGCATGGTTCTGCTCGCTTGCGTGACGACACCACTGTTTCAGCTGGAGTACTTCAAGAAGTTTCCGAACGTCAGCGACAGGCACAATTGGTTCACCTTTACGGACATTGGATTCGCTACTCTGTTTACGGTCGAGGCGATCATAAAAGTCATCGCAGATGGCTTCTTCGTAACGCCGAACGCATACTTTCGCAGCTCGTGGGGCTTTATTGACGGAATCGTGCTTGTCACACTGTGGGTCAATGTATTCACCTCGCTGTACGACCCTGGTTCTGGCTCTCGTGCTGTTGGCGCTTTCAAAGCGCTGAGAGCCTTGCGTCTCCTGAATGTCAGCGACAGCGCGAGAGATACGTTCCACTCGGTCATCGTGCTGGGAGGATGGAAGGTGCTGAGTGCGGCATTCGTGTCGCTTTCTCTGTTGATTCCGTTTGCCATCTATGGCCAGAATTTATTCGCAGGTAAGATGGCTCGGTGCAATGACTGGCAGCAGTATGACGTCCACAATCTCACGGACTGCGTTGGTGAATCAGTGTTCTCCCCAATCGGAGCAGACATGTTGGCACCGCGAAGAGTGGCGAACGTGAATTTCGCATACGATTTCGACTCATTCGGCGATGCATTGTTTATCCTCTTCCAGGTCGTCTCGCAGGAGGGCTGGGTCGATCTGATGTGGAGCGGCCAATCAATCACCGGGGTCTTTACACAGCCTGCCTGGTTCTCACAACAAGGCAATGCGGTCTACTTTGTGCTTTTCAACCTGCTCGGTGCAGTCTTCGTGCTGACGCTGTTTGTCTCCGTCTTTATGCGCAATTATACGGAACAGACTGGCGTGGCATTCCTGACGGCCGAGCAAAGGTCTTGGCTTGAATTGAGAAAGCTTTTGCGACAAGTCGCACCCTCGAAACGTCCGAACCGTCAAAAAAAGCGCCAGAGCTGGCAAGAGTGGTGCTATCGACAAGCTGTGACCAAAAAGGGCAAGTGGCAGCGAACAATCACTGGCCTACTCATTGCGCACCTCATCCTGCTCTGTGCGGAGTGGTATCCCGAGCCATTTGCGTGGACCGTAACGCGCCTGTTCATCTTCTTCATCTTCACGCTGTTCTACATCGCCAACATCTTCATTCGATTGATCGGGCTCTCTTGGACACGGTTCCGGAAGAGTGCATGGGATGTGTACGGGATGGTAGTTGTCTCCATCTCCGTCGTCACATCTGTGCTGGTCTTTGGCAACTGGCAAAATACGGTCTACGCCCAGATACATAAGTTGTTCCTGGTTGCGGTGGCTCTGTTACTCATCCCGCGCAACAATCAGCTCGACCAACTCTTCAAGACGGCCGCAGCAAGTTTTAGTGCAATCGCCAACCTGCTGGCAACCTGGTTCGTACTTTTCTTGGTGTACGCCATCGCCTTTACCCAGACTTTTGGTTTGACGAGATTCGGTAACGACGAAACCAACAACCTCAACTTCAGGACGGTACCAAAAGCCCTTATCCTTCTGTTCCGCATGAGTGTCGGTGAGGGCTGGAACCAGATCATGATGGACTTTGCCCACATTGAACCACCCTACTGCACAGTGTCAGATGAATACTACGAGTCAGACTGCGGAAGCAAGCAGTGGGCCTACGCACTCTTCGTCAGCTGGAACATCATCAGCATGTACATTTTTGTCAACTTGTTCATCTCTCTGATATACGAGAGCTTCTCGTATGTCTACCAACGGAGCAGTGGGCTATCAATCATCAGCCGGGAAGAGATTCGACGCTTCAAGCAGGCCTGGGCAGAATTCGACCCAAACGGATCCGGGTTCATCACACGAGAGCAGTTCCCGAGATTTCTCGGAGAGCTCTCAGGTATCTTCGAGATGAGAATTTACGATGGAGACTTCACGGTCAAGTCTTTGATGGAAGACTGCAAAGTCGGGCCTACGAGAGCCAGTCAGCTGCCGCTCGATGGAGAATGCAATAAGATTGAAATCGATCTCGCGAAGCTGAATTCGAGGCTCGCGGAATTGCCAGTGGAGGAGATTCGCAATCGACGAAGACGTATGAACACGTTCTACGAAGAAGTGCTCGTCTCTGCGGATCCAGATCGTGGTATCGCGTTCAACGCGCTCCTGATGATCCTTGCGCACTATAAAGTCATCAACGACAGCAAGAGCTTACGACTGGAAGAGTTCTTACGACGTCGCGCTAGACTGCAGCGTGTGGACGAAGCGGTCAATCGCAACATTGTGGTGGGATTCTTCGACACACTGTACTGGTCGCGCAGATTCCGCAGACGCATCGATTCAAGGAAAGATGCGCGCATGACAGCCATACCCACGTTTGAAGTACCCGAGATTCTGGTTGAAGATGCGGGTGAGCACGACGCTTCACAAGCGAGAACATTTGACGTGCCCGCGCTCAGCATTACACCCGTCGAGTTCGATGCAGATGGCACCTCCGACTCACTCGCTGTTGGGCGGGCTCGCGCAGCTGATGACAGCTCACGTTACAGCGCAGGCCGGTCAAGCGGAGCTGACAGTAGCGATGTGCGTGGGCGAAGCAGCTCAATCCAGCTGTCGCCATCGGCATCCCCTACCCGCGAGGCCTTCCATTTGTCACCTCAGCATCGGCCAACGGCGTCAACGAGCAGCATCCAGCCTGATTGGCACTTTGCGGCTGCAATGGAGGGTGCCAACAGAATCTCACCTCCAGGAAGTCCTGGGTTGAGTGAGCACGATGCTCACGCAGCACGGAGTCGGGCGAATAGTGCCATCAGCCAGCATGAGATGACGGACATGTTTGGAAACAGCGCATGGGGGCAGTCCATGAGACGCAGTATCACGCAAAGAAGAACAAGTGACAATCGCAGGCCTCCGTCATAAGGCCGACTGGCGGAAGATGATGAAAAGCAAGCGCGGCAGCATTGAGTTGTAGTTGTAACGAGTTGATGTGGACGAGAGAAGTTACTCGCGAGCAACCGGCGTTCTACGGTGCATAGCGCTGGAGTTGGGATTGTGTTTGATTGCGTGTAGATACCAAATGCAGCTGCTGTCCTGCTGTCCATCGTGGCACGACTGACCTGACCTCGCGGGCGTCATCAACCTTCACTATTATTGAGCAATGAGCTTCCTCCTTCCTCCTGCAGCCCTTCGAGTTGCTGCTTCCTGATTCTGTTTGAGCTGGGGCCCTTACTCCTTCCCCAAACCAGTCCAGGGTCCCGCGCTAGCCGCTAGCACAGCGCCAAGCCAGCGGTGAAACAACGTCATTGATTGTGAGCTGCACCCGGCAAGGAAGGCAAGGAGGGATCGTCACTGCCTTACCACATCCTCCTACACCTCGTGTTCCCACTCATAACATGGCATCCCTCCCCCTGTGCCCTTGCCTGAGTCCTCCTTTCTCGCGTTCGCGACTGTGTTACACTTGAATCCCTCAGTACAAGAACTGTCACATACACCCCGTTTCGCTCTTCTTCCTACATATCCATATACGCTCCCTGTGAACACGACCGGTCGAAGTTCTCGAAGAGGATACGCCGCTCGGACTCCGCGCTATTCCTCGACATCACCAATCCTACAGCTTTGCAGCATTATCATCCACGGACATTTTACCTCCGATCGACACCCTTGTGTTCCAACCACGACCCTTCTTCAATACCACCATCGTCATACTATCCTCCTGTGATATTTCAACGTCGAAAGACTGGAAAGCGGAGTCGAACCTAGAACAACAACTACAACAACAAGCTCTTCGTCGAAAGACAGAACACCAAAAAAATACCAACTGCAAAACAATGGCCTTCCACCCACTCCACCCACGCTCCTCCCTCCGCAAACTCCGAACCTCATTCTCCTCCTCCCCCCAACCATCCTCCACAACCTCAACATCCCCACTGTCATCCTCACCCTCCTCCCGCTTCTCTTTCGGCAACACATCAAATTTCTCCCTCCACAACAACAACAACAACAACAATCGACAAGCGATCCGAAGAAAGAAAAGCGTCATGCAATTAGAACAAGGAGATGAAAGGAATCTGGTCGGAGCAGATGTCATTTCGGAAATCGTCGAACCGAGGCCTACTTCGCCTGTGGTTTATGGGGGTATAGAAGAGATTTTGATGGGGAGTTTATGATTTTGATTTCCAAGTTGGTTCAATTCTGGAATGTTTCTTTTTTCTTTTTGGATATTTAGCGTTGTTTTGGGATGGCGTGGGATTTTGTTTTGATTATGGTGATTGGGAGCAGGCCGGGAGTATATCATATCGATGGAGCAAAGGGGAGGCGGAGTATGTGTGTTGGGTGTCACTGTCTAGCTTTGGGTATATCTTATGACCTGATGAAGCTTCTTCGTGCTTGGAATACTTATTGCCAGGTGGATGGCTTTCTTTGTATGTATGTTGTTGATATGCATTTCAACGAACAACGTTGTTTCCGGCTGCTGCAAAAACTTGTGCTGCTTTTAAATCTCATCTGGATGCAAGCGGAATGAAGTCACGAGTTCATCATGCGCAGAACTATCAAAATTCTCGGGGTATCCGCTACTTCACTAAAGAACACGATCCGACTTTGACCGCTAAAAGCTGGACAATTACAGTACTTTTCTTCTTCTTCATCGCCATCAATGCCTTGGCTGTTTCATCAACCACTGCGCGTTCTCCATGAAGCCGTCCACGATGTCCGTATAACCGCTGGGCAGTCCATTCATCAACTTGTTCCACTCCTGCCTCAAAGAGTTGGCATCCACTTCAATCTCCAGCTCGTATTTCGGGACCATGCCAGCTTGATCGACTCGTGTTAGATCGACCGAATACTTCTGAAGATGCTTGTACGAAAGTCGATCCTTCTTCCGATCCGGCTGAACAGGCTCGTCCGGAGTGGGCATCTTCGTGATCGCTTGAGGATCGATGTCTGGTCGTGCGAGGTTGCATTCGATATTGATCGAGATTCGCATGTCGTATGGATCTTGAGGACTGTAAACGTGAAGGTCATCGACCTTGACTTTGACTATCCGCGCAGTGACTTGGTTTGTTTTCATGTCAGTCGTTGTGCGCAGTTTCAAGTCGCGCTGACGCCGGCTATTCCTTCTCAATATGCTCTCCGGCAGCACTCGAATGCCTGCGTCTGTCAGGGTTCGAAACGAGTCGATTTCGTGAAGATGCTTGTAAATGATCTTCTCCCGACCCGGATCCCTGTGCGAGTCCTGCACTTTGGTGTTGAGGAATTCATTCATGTTCTTGTGTTCTTTCTGTATTGGGTCAGCATATTTCCTCGTCAATAAGGGAGCAATAGCCTTACGTCGACCATCTGGCTTTCGAACCGGAGACTCTTATATTGCGGCGAAGCAGGGTCGAGCACAACCATATTTCGAACAGGCAGATGGAATCTCTCCCCATTGTCTTTGCATAAGGTGCCAATCTTGCCCTCGATCTCGATTGCACTCTCGCGCGGATCATATCCGACATCTTGGAGCATCTCAAATTGTGCGTGTAGCCAGTCAGCGACTGCCTTGACAGTAGAAGGCATATTCGTCTGCCCAAACATGCATTTCTCCCATGGTCCTAGCAGATTCCGAGTTGCGATGAGCTGGGTATCCAGGGGTAGATTACCCGCGGCCTGCCGATTGCCATTCATTTGAACAGCCGCGGCATGGGCAGGAACTTGCTGCTGTTGCAGAGCCGCTCCATTGGTGGCACCTTGCGGACGAGGTTTCGCAGCCTTCCCAGCCGTGCCGTTTGGCACAACTCCTGGTTGCTGTGCGCGAGGGTTGCGAGGATCGAGATTGGCCCAGACAGGTCGCTCAGTATATCTGCTCCGTCGCTCTCTCTTGACGGGAGGTCCGTTCGAGAGATCTGACTCTGCTGATCGCTTGAGGCTTGGTTTCTGGTCCATGGTGGCATACGTAATGCCGTTGCCTGAATGCTGTGAATTTGAAGGGTACCGTGCGTGAATATCTGGTTGATGTGGTGCAGGCGTGGCGTGATCCGACTTAACAACAGGTGCAGGCTTTACTTGCGTCTCGCGCGAAGGTTGCGCGTGTGGCGGTATTGCCGAGGCATGTGAAGTTTGCTGGAAGCGATCACTTTGCGGCTGCGAAGACATACTGTGATGAGCTGCAGTCGCATGTGCTCCGTTCTGGAATGGAGCTCCGTGGTCAGTTGGCGCAAGCAAGTGGTTCATTCCCATCTTTTGAGGTGAGTGCTGGAGCGGGATTTGATTGTGGGCAGCAGACAAAGAGTCGACAGCGGGATTACCCGACATTTGTCTATAGGCTTGCGGGCGCGCTTGTGCAACATTGCTCGGCGGATGTGAGCTCTGATGAGGTTGGGCGTAGCTCGGCGTAGCCGGCTGCACGTGACTTGGTGTTTCCGGGTGAGGCGCCATGTTCGAAGAGGGTTGCATTGAGCATCTAGCGCTATACGCATCGTTCTGACTGCTGTGACGCGAACCAAGGGATGGTGGCCGTGGCGGAACCATTGTCTTTGGGCTTACGGACAAACTACGCTCGCGCTCCGGCTGACTTTGGTAATCACTTCCGCTACGCCTTTGCGGCGATGGCCGATGGTGTGCTGATGGCGATTGAATGAGGCTACCTATGCTAGCCTGGTGTTGTGCTGGAGACGCCATAGCGCCGTTAGACGCACCAGAAAATGTCCTCGTGTGAAACGGGCTCCCGGTATCAAATTGGTTGGTGCCATGCCTTGGGATGTGCGGGGGCGGTCCCAGAGGCGTGCTCGGTTGTGAATGTTGATATTGGTGCGGGAAGGGTTGCGGCGGCTGTTGAGGCATATGCGAAAGAGGACTCTGTCGCATAGAGTGTGGTGTCTGACTGTGGTGGGACGATGGGGTAGGCGAATGCGATGCAGTGTGTGGATGGTGCAGACTCTGGTTATAGTGAGATGGCGATGGATTGGTTAGAGGATAGCCATGGCTTGAAGGCCTCGGGCCAGGAGTCGATGCCGAGTAAGGCTCATAGGAGCGATATGGCTGCTGGCCAGGAGCAGCGGCAGGGCTCTGAGCAGTTTGATGTGGAAAGGGATACTGCCCGGTTGGTGGAGCGTGGCCAGGCGTCTGAAGTGGTGTCAAGCCTCTGCTCTGAGGATTGCCTGGCGGTCCTGCAGATGCTGGAGGTGGAGGATACAAGGGCGTTGACTGTTGCGACGCGGTGGGAGTTGGGGCATATGCTCCTGCTGAAGGGGGTGCTCCATTGGGAGCAGATGGCGGTGGAGCTGTCTGAGGTCCGCTACTCCTGCCCGCAGGAGTCGGCAACGGTGAGCCCTGCGAGGACTTCTTCTCAGGCGCCGCACCATCATTCAGCATGCCCTTGAGATCCATTACTGTCCGTCCTTTCCGGCACACTCCGCTCTCACACCTCAACCTCGTTCTGCTATACGGCGGACCACCCGGCAAGCTGTTTCCAACTCAGGACCGGCACGCGCAGTTGGGAACTTGCGCATCTGCAGCGGCCATGTGAGTCTCGCGATATTCAACAACTATTCGCGCGCAATGTCGTCGTTCAGGCGGTCGTCGTCGTCGCCGTCGTCGTCACCCGGCCAAAGCTCCCTGGTCGATAAGGGATCGGCGCGGCAGGAGGCTGCTCGTGGATGCGCAACCAGAAGCAAGCGAGGGAGGTCGTAGAAGAAAGGCGAGGCGCAGAGCTGTCAATGCAGAGATTTGCAGCGTGGAGAGTAAATTAGTAGTACAGTGTGGGAGAATAACATGTCGGATCGGAAAATGCAATCGTCACGTCTTGCGCCTGAGTTTCGCGCCGCAGTGACAGAGATGGCGGGAGTGGCCGCGCTGCAGGCTGCAGGCGATGATGCTGCTGGGCGAGAGAGCAACTCAAACATCAATCACGAGTCCACCACTCTACCACTCCTCCCCTTCTTTCTTATCGCCCACACTCCATCGGCTTCGCTTCGCGTGCTGTATTACCACACACCCTCCAACTGTCCTTCCTGATCAATCTTACACCCGCCGGCGCGCACATTCGTCGCCGCATCGCATCGCTGCGTCACGGTCTCCCGCGCGGCTCTGCCCATCAAGTCCGTTGCTGTGAGCTGCTAAACACCGACATCTCCTCGACCAACAACACCACACTCCTCCTGCCATCGGCGACATCGCCACAGCATCCGCGTCTGAACACCGCCACCGCGCATCAATCACCATGGTTGGACTGACATCTGCCGCTGGCCTGGTCGGCTTCCTGGCTGCAGATGAGGACCCGACGTTGAAGGCGTTTGCCTTGGAGCGACTGAACGAGGACATCGACAGTGTGTGGACAGAGGTTTCCGCCTCCATCGGCCAAATGTGAGTGTTGTCCATATCCTAACAATATAACCGCAGACGCCATTTCCTCGCGTGACTGCAGTACATCTATCGAAGTAGGCAAGCTAACATTGATGGCCCACAGAGAAGAGCTGTATGAAGATGAGAGCTTCTCTCATCGCGAACTCGCTGCTTTGGTATTGTCAAAGGTGTACTACCAGCTGCAAGCATACGATGAATCGATGGTCTTCGCACTCGGAGCGGGCAAGCTGTTCAACCTCGATGATGCAGGCGAGTACGAGGAGACCATCGTGGCCAAGTGCATCGATACCTACATCTCTCTCTGCGCCTTGCACAATCCACCGACACCCGCGTCCTCGGCTGCCCGTCATGGTTCTGCCGACTACGAAAACAATGTACCGACCGCCTCACCGACGACTCCCTTCTCGCAATCCGCTATTCCATCAAAGTCTCTCTTATCGCGCGAGGATGAGAAGACGTTCGACTCATCCGCACCTGGCGGAGGCAATGCAGGTGTTCCGGGAGCGCACCCTCACCCGCTGACGTTGCCCAACCCAGTCAAGAAGAACCTGCAAACTGTCATTCGCAGAATCTTCGAAAGCTGTTACGAGGTTGGTGCTTACAGACAGGTCGTCGGTATTGCGGTAGAGGCTCGAAACATGGAAGTGCTCAAGGAAGCGATTCTGAGATCGAGCAAGGACGAGATTGGGAAAGGCAAGAAGGCTGCAACAACAGGTGGTCAGACTGAGGATCTCATGGAATATGTCCTGGACATTTGCATGAATGTCGTGCAAGAGCGAGGCCTTCGGAATAACATCTTGAAGCTCATTCTCGAGCTACTGAACGACATCCCCAGTCCAGACTACTTTGCCATTGCTCGCTGTGTTGTCTACCTCAACCAACAGTCAATGGCATCAGATATGCTGAAGACTTTGGTGCAGAAGGGCGATGGCAAATCTCTGGCCATTGCGTATCAGCTGTCCTTTGATCTATACGAAAACGGCACGCAAGAATTCTTGCAAAAGGTCATGGACGAGCTGCCAGAGGCCGAACCAGAAGGCACAGATGCACCACACATGAACGGAAGCGCTGTGCGTCCTGCTACTCCACATCCGAACCAAGACGAAAATGCTGCCGAATCTGATCAGCTCCTCTCTGAGCTCAACGACTCGGCTGGCGCACCCCAAACCTCGACTGTCGTTACATCTAGGACGAAGCCCAAGCCGGAGACTGAGGCCCAGAGCAAGGCTTATGCATCGATACGGAAGATCTTGCGCGGTACTACGAGCATCGAATTAAATTTGGAGTTCCTATTCCGTGCTGCGCATACTGATCGCGCCATTTTGAACAAGGTCAGAGACTCGCTTGAGGCCCGCAACAGCATCTTCCACACATCCGTAACATTTGCCAATGCATTCATGAATGCCGGTACCACAATCGACAGCTTCTTCCGAGACAACCTGGAGTGGCTTGGGAAAGCCGTGAATTGGAGCAAATTCACCGCAACGGCCGCGTTGGGAGTAATTCATCGCGGGAATCTGAACAACGGACAGAAGTTGCTTGAGCCATATCTTCCCAAGGAGAACGCTAATGCCAGCGCCGGTAGCACCTACAGCCAAGGTGGCTCACTCTACGCCTTAGGTCTGATATACACCAACCACGGTACGCACGTACTTGAGTACCTTCGCAAGCAGTTCAAAGCCACACAGGAAGAAGTGGTTCAGCACGGTGGAGCTCTTGGGCTCGGTGTTGCTGGCATGGCAACTGGATCTGAGGAAATCTACGAGGATCTCAAGAATGTTCTGTACGCCGACTCGGCTATCAACGGTGAAGCTGTTGGCCTTGCAATGGGCCTCACCATGCTTGGCACAGGCAACACGCGAGCTCTTGATGACATGATCCAGTACGCACACGACACCCAACACGAAAAGATCGTTCGCGGACTGGCCATGGGTATGGCACTGATCATGTATGGTCGACAAGAAGGAGCCGACGAGCTTATTGCCGGCCTGCTAGAGGATGCCGACCCAGCGCTCAGGTACGGTGGTATCATGACCGTTGCTCTCGCTTATGCCGGCAGTGGCAGCAATAAGGCTGTGCGAAGACTGTTGCACATTGCTGTCTCTGATGTCAGTGATGACGTGAGAAGAGCAGCGGTAATGAGCTTGGGATTTGTTCTCTTCAGAAAGCCAGGCAGCGTGCCGAGAATGGTCGAGCTTCTTGCCGAGAGCTACAACCCGCACGTACGATACGGTGCAACCATGGCACTTGGTATTGCTTGTGCTGGTACTGGTCTCGAAGAAGCTATCGACCTTCTTGAGCCCATGATGAAGGACTCGGTCGACTTTGTGCGACAAGGTGCTTTCATTTCCATGGCGATGATCATGGTCCAGCAGAATGAAGCCATGAATCCGAAGGTCAGCGCTCTTCGAAAACAGCTCCAAAAGTCCATTGGCGACCGACATGAAGATGCCATGGCCAAGTTTGGATGCGCTCTCGCACTCGGCATCATTGATGCTGGTGGCCGCAACTGCACTATTGGGCTTCAAACACAAACCGGTAATCTCAACATGCCTGCGATCGTCGGCATGGCAGTCTTCCTGCAATACTGGTACTGGTTCCCGCTTACTCACTTCCTTGCACTCTCCTTTACACCAACCTCCATCATTGGTGTCGACTCAGACCTCGAGATTCCAAGTTTCGAATTCTACAGCAACACTCGACCAAGCATGTTTGACTATCCACCTGAGGTGGAAGTCAAGACAGAGGAGGCACCTGAGAAGGTCAAGACTGCTGTCCTGTCTACTACTGCACAAGCGAAGCGAAGAAAAGCCGCGAAGGATCGACAGAATCGGCGCGAGAGCATGGATGTTGACGCTGCGCCGTCGACGCCAAAGCCCGATGCTGATGGCGACAAGATGGAGACAGATGAAAACGCCATCGATACCAGCAAAGTTGGTGATGAAAAGGATGGCGAGAAGGAGAGTCTGAAGAAGAAGGTGGAGAAGGAGAAGGTCGGCTTCAATCTGGGCAACATGAGTCGTGTGCTACCTGCACAGATCAAGTACATCAGCTTTGCACCGGATGGTCGATACCAACCCGTGAAGAAGGTATGGAAGCTTTCCGAAATACGAGACATGAAATTGATTCGCTGACAATTGCTACAGCCAACCGGAGGTGTCATTCTCCTCAACGACACCCAACCTTCCGAAGCGAAGACATTGCTTGAGCTGAAGGCTCGTAAGAAGACCGCATCTGCTGCCCCAGCCCCAGGCGCTCCTGCGACATCTTCAAATGACACGGCCATGGAGGACCTCGGTGTTCCTGCCTTTGGCGGTGCGGCTGCGGCTGCCGGTGTTTTGACAGCCGTCGACGAGGACGATGATGGTGAAGAAGCGCCCGTGCCTGACGAGTTCGAGGTCGATGAGGACGAAGCGGAGGAAGACTCATAGGAGGGCGAAGATTTCGACTGGTGGTGACAATCTCAGTCCCTGTATTCTGACATATGCATGTGGCGTGATGAGCCTTTGGACTGGCTGTAATCGCTGACCGCATTTTGAACGGCATTGTGTGCTTCGCCTGGCTAGGCAGCTAACGAAGCGCGATGTATAAATACGGACCAGCACGTATTGACTCGAATGAGATCTATAGATCAGTGTGTTCATTCAAGAACAGGCCGTTCACGTCCATCAATCATTATGTGCGGACAAAAGCTGATTCAACCAATATCCGTTGATACTGTGGTGCTGAAGATGCTCGGCTTTGGCTGTAGCTTCTCGTCTCAGAGGCAGTTCACTGAGGTAGACGATTAACAGGATCTCAATGATGCAGTCTGCACAATTATCCAGTGCCATTACACTTTCCTTGGTGTCCGCGTTCCTCGTGAGCTTGGCACAGGCAGAATAAGGCAACGTTCAATTGCTGCCCGAATGGCAGGAGCTGGTCCGTGCATTACAAGCAAGGGTTGCGACTTCTGAAAACGTGCCAGCCTCACTCTTCTCTTTGACACGCACCACGCAACACCACCTCGCCTTTCATCGGCAACGCTCTTCTTTGAGCTCGCAGCAACAATCCTTTTCCCATCGAACGACACCGCAAACACATATCGCCGTGTGCAGCTTGATTTGCTGCTCGAGCGAAAGCGCTTTTACGCCGCGCATCTCATCTAGTCTGCCCTACCCAACATCCGGCTCTTGCTTGCCGATCGACTTCTTCGCGACTAAGCCTTACAGCTCGCACCACCGACAACATGGCCGACCTGGACACCTACGACGCTGACCAGCGCACCTACGAAGGTATGTCTGCTTGCGTGTTCGGGACTCTCAAACTTGCAAGGCAACAGCGGCCTCACAGCGTTTGCGGCATCCGTCGCATCGAGCACAAAAACGAGAGCACGCGAACTTAGCACAAAGCTCACTTCACTAACAATCAACGAACGCACAGATGATCGAGATTATCCACCACGCGACCGCTCTCGCTCTCCAGAGCGTGACCGTGATGGCGATGTCCGCGTTCGCGACGAGCCAGCAAACGGCCGCGACGACCGGTAAGCACGAGCTCTCCTTTTCACCACACACAACGCTTACATTTGACACAGCGGTCATCAGGCGAGCAGAAACGGCGGCGGCGGCGGAGACGATGAATCCGTTAATCCTGGCTCCAACCTCTTCGTGACAGGCATTCATCCGAAGTTGAGCGAGGAAGAAGTCTCTCGTCTCTTCGAGAAGTACGGACAAGTCGAGAAATGCAACATCATGCGCGATCCACACACCCGCGAGAGCCGCGGCTTTGGCTTCGTGAAGATGGTCACTGCAGAAGAAGCGGACGCCGCAAAAGAAGCTCTTCAGGGCGAGATCTACGAAGGCCGCACCTTGAGCATCGAGAAGGCTCGTCGTGCTCGTCCACGCACTCCAACTCCCGGAAAATACTTCGGACCACCAAAGCGAGGTTAGTCACACATTCTCCTGGACCATTGCTGGCCACAGTTACCCCGCCCTGGATTTGCTAACTTCTTCGAACAGATGACCGTCGACCACCACGCGGTGGAGGTGGCTTCCGCGGCGGCGATCGCTACTATGATGTATGTGCCATTCTGATCTGTCCCTCTTATTTAACGCCTGGCTAACCTTTGACAGGACCGTGGATATGGCCGGCGTGACGACTACCGCGGTGGCGGCGGATATCGTGACCGCTACGACGACCGTGGCTATGGACGTCGTGATGACTATGCTTCTCGAGACCGCTACCGTGATGACCGCTATGGAGACCGCCGCGGCGGTGGCGGCTATGGCGGTGCCGGTGGCTACGATCGCCCACCACGTGGTCCACCTGCTGACGGTGCCGGTGCCGGTGCTTACGGAGACTCAAGCTCTACCCGTGAGCCTCCGCCATCTCGCAGCTACGGAGACGATCGCCGTCGCTACGACTAAACCACGAGCAGGCGCAGGTATAGTGCTTGCGATTGGGAACTAACGAACAGGCGTCACGGAGCAAAATTTGCGGTCTTTACAGCATGAAAGTCACTACTAGTCAGACTGCATCCGAGGAGTTCCTGCTGGAGTCGTCGGCACATCCATGTAACACTACTACAACTTCCTTTCCCCCTGGTGCGACTTCTGAATGTGTTATTAGCGGCGGGCATCAAAAAAAGGGCATGTCGACGCTTTCCGGCAAGCAATCAGTGAACCAATCTGGTTCATTCGATAATCTCTCTCGAAGCCACTCTCTGCCAGCAAATTTCGGCAATCAGTATACAGGATCAGACACCAGCTTTCCTACTGCACTATCATCTCGGCTCGCCGTCGTCGACTTAATCCTCTCCAAGGTACAAGGCAATTACTGTTCGGGAGGCGTCGCATCTTCTGCGACTCATCCGAGCAGTCCGACTTTATGACCATCGTCCTCCATTTGAAGCAACATCACTACGTGACCATCACCATTAGCACTATTTTCGCACAGTCTCGCCTCGACGTCAACTAAACAGCATCATCGTCATCATCATCATGAGCAGTCCGTTCCGATAGTTCCCGATCCAGCAGCATGCTCATCCGTTCGACGCGTCTCGCACATGTACGCCTTGTCCGCACTGTCGCCCTCACGGTCTTGACCGCAACACGTTCGAACAAAGACTATCTCGCGGCTGTGGCCGACAGGACCCTCATCATGATCACAGCGGCAACTGGTCAAGCTTACATTCCAGCCCGCCTCCCCCTTAGCCCTTGCTTACAGATCTTATGCTGACCCCTTTCAGCAGATGTGACCTCGTAGACAGCTTGGGAGACATCGGCATTGTCGCTTCACGACCTCACTGCGCTGCTTCTTGTAGTGCGCTGTTGAACACATACTTACATTCGTGTTGTGGAAGAAGGCTGCGCAGCCGTAGCTCGCCTGAGAATGTGCGTGGCTTTGCTACTTTCTGAGGACAAAATTGGTCCGGAGAGAAGTACTAGAGGTAGGTCGGCACAGCAGAGCAATCAGCCTTCTCCACCATGGCTCATGTCATGCCAAGTTGAGCAAGTTTCGCTTTTTATCTCCTACGTCGATGTAGCAGTAGTTAGGAGAATATCAATTTTTTGGCAACGCCTGCATTCATTGAATCAGAGACACGGTTGTCACGTCTCTACTTGAAAGCACATCTGTCCCATAGCAACACTTTCTATTCAGAATGCCTAACAATTATTCTGAGAAGCTTGGCGGGCCGGGGATCAAGCTCAAGCTCAAGCTCAAGCTCAAGCGAGCTTCAGCCCTACACTCTAGTTACGCGCGTCTCCTTCATCATCCTACGAATTACGAGTAGGGAGCATGAAATCATGTGCTGAGTGGAGCGAGGCTTTCCCAATGGCCTCTCAGTAAGTCTGACTTGGCACAAGAACAAGCAACCCGCTAAGTACAGTACCGCAGCACTCCATCCGCTTACTGCCATTACGGCGCTGTTTCGTAAACGCATGTTCTTCCGTCGATTCCTGCCATTCTTGACCGTTGCCTGCTTGAGCTCCTTCTTTCTCGTCTCGATCATTTACGACTTGAGCTGGAATCAAGGACTACAATTGATTGGCATCGGGTCGACGGAAGAACGTATCATAATCGGAAGCGCGAAACACGATGAAGAGGCGAAAGAGTTCAATACACCGGACGTCAATTACTCGAGCCCGTACCCCGTAGGCAAGACGAAGCCTCCTGGAAGCAATTATACCAAAGCATTGGTCATCCCAAAGTTGAAGAGCGAGGATACGAGTTGGATCGAGAAGGAGCTGGGAGATATGCTTGAAAATGGCTTGTTACGACCAGCAGTCTACACAGTCAACGACCGCAAAGCAAAACTTCACCCTCTGAAGAACAAAGGCCACGAAGTCATGGTCTATCTCTCCTACATCATCGACTTCTACGACAACCTCCCGGACGTCAGTATCTTCATGCATGCCCACCGTTTCGCTTGGCACAATATGCAACTCCTCGACGGCGACGCAGCGAAAATGGTCCGTTTCCTCTCTCCAGAAAAAGTCACAAGAGACGGCTACATGAATCTCCGCTGCCACACCGACCCGGGTTGTCCAGACTGGTTGCATCCAGGGAATAGTAAAGAAAATCCGGACAAACCCGAAGAAATCATCCTCGCACATTCTTGGAGCGAACTCTTCCCCATCGATCCCGTTCCTACAGTCCTCGCACAACCCTGCTGTGCGCAATTCGCCGTCTCCAAAGATCGAATTCTAGCAACCAACAAGATGAGATATATTTTCATGCGAGATTGGATTATCAGGACTGATCTCCCGGATTACTTGTCTGGGAGGGTGTTTGAATATGTTTGGCAATTCATTTTCACCAAATCTCCTATCCATTGTCCGAACGAGACGGTTTGTCATTGTGATGGGTATGGGTTGTGTTTTGAGGATTTGGAGGGGTATTTGGAGATGAAAATGATCAAGCATGAATTGGAAGAGGATTTGAGGGTGTGGGAGGAGAAGAAGGAGGTTTTGGAGAAGAGTAAACAAGAGAGCGGTGGTGGTGGTGATGCTTCGGGATGGAGGTTTTTGGAGACTGCCAAGGTTTCCGTGCCGGAGCCTGGGAAGGATGAGGTTTTGAGGAGGCAGATTGCGAGATTGGAGAGGAGTATGAGGGGGCTTTGGGAGGAGGCTTTTGAGAGAGGGAAGGATCCTAGGCAGAGGGCGAAGCAAGTTGGGAGGGTATGGAGGGATGGTGATGGGTATTGAGGATGTGCCTTGGTTGATGATTGTGAGGCTATAGATTTAGATTTCTCCAAACGTGCTGTCGTGACGATCATTCTTGACATTGTGCTCCAGCACTATCTCTCAAAGGACCCCAATCTCGCTGATCTGCAGGCTGGACCTCGACCAACATATTCAGTCCCATAGCTTGATGTAGCACAACACCACAATGTAGTAGCCAAAGACCAATATTCTCGGCCTTGAACCTGAGCACAACATATTCCTTACCAGGCACGTAGACCGTGTCCTTCCGGAGCGGTCTCTCCAAGCTCAGAGAATTCTTCCCCAGAACATAGAAGCTGTGTCCATGGAGATGAAAAGAGTGACCGACTCGATCCTCGTTATGGATGATGAGGTCTATCCATTGACCTTGCTGTACAGATACGATGAGAGGTGGAGGTTCTGTAGGCCGCGCAGAGGTCGGAAGAGCTAGTAATGGTGGTCCTGTCGATGCTGGAGTCCAGGATGTCTGGTTAAAGGTACCTCGAGGCCGGTAGTCGTATTCTTTAGGGTAGCTGGTATTCGTGTACAGGACAATTGTCTGCTCTGCTGCCTTTGGTAAAGGTTCTGGAGGTCCGTTGCTGGCATTTGCGGTCGCAAGATCGATCCAGCTTACCCGGGTAGCGTCAACTTTCACCCCGGTCTTTGTTTCTGAAGCAGATAGTCCTTCAAAGTCCAGTGGCATTGCAATCGGAAACTGCTGTGATGTAGTCAAAGCCAGATTTGGAAAGTCGAGGTGTTCCTGGTCAAGAGTGATCGTTATCCAAGCAGAGGTGTGCTCTTCAGTCCTTTCCACGAGGACATCTACTCGCTCGCCTGGGTATAGGATACCGATGCCACTTGATGATACATGATAAACCTCCTGGCCTCCCTCAATTTCGAGGAGTGTCATGGTGTAACCGCTCATCGAAATTGAAATGCCAGTCAACGTGCCTGTGTTGACAATACGTAATCTGCTTCGTCCTTCGATCGATAAATATGGTACTTTCGAGTCCTCACAATCCACTGGTCGATTTGGCAACGCCATGGAGCATGCGAAGAATCCTTGGCCATTCATGAGCATAGAGTCTGGCGACGGTTCCGCCCCGAACTTCAGGAAGTCTTTCGCACGCCGATGATGATACCAGTCGCCGACCATCAAGAGCTGCTCAAATGCGTGATCAGCACCACCTTCGCTGTCGGAGCTTGATGGCTTGTGAACAATGAGTGCTCCGAATAATCCTTCGCTGCGTTGATCTCCATACCACCAATATGTACCAGGATTTGACACGTTGAATCGATACGTGAAGTTGCGTGCGGGCATGATGCTACACTGCGAGATTCCAGCAACGCCATACATATCTGTGCTAACATGCAGACCATGCCAATGGATTGCCAGGCCGTCAGACGAGTTGCTAAGCACATTGCGAACAACGATTTTCAACTCGTCACCTTGACGACTCTCAATCGTCGGGCCTGGGAAGGCGCCATTGACAAGATACACTTCCTTCGCCACGCCATCCGGACGAATGATAGCCCTCGTGATATTCCATTCAAGCTCAATCGTTCTTGCTTCGCGTAAGATATGCTCTTCCGGATGTAAATTTATCGTGGCATCGTTCGGTCTCGGTGTATGAGTCGGGTGCGCAACAGGTCCATGTCCAAAATCGAATTTCATAGAAGGCCTAACTCCAGCGTCCAGTTCGTCTTGACTCCAAGCTTCGTCGAAATGAGTCCCTGAAGAGAAAAAGAAGTATGCAATCATAGTCAGCAAAGCCGCGGCAGCAAGTAACGATAGCCTCCATTTCTGCCCTTCTCTGCCATTTTCCATGGCCCAGACAATCACATCGTGCATGGAGTCATGACAATTGTATAGGAGTGATGTGATGGAAAAGCGTTGTGAGGCATACCACTTCGGACTGGCAAGTGGCGAGCCGATTGGTACTGGGTTACACGCCAGCTGAAAGCAGTATGCGTCTTGCTCCTTCCGTGCGAGCACTACTCAGCGTCGCATGCAGGTAGTTTTCGTGCGCATTGCGACGATCTGACGTTCGACCGTGACACATCAGCTGTTCTGTGCAAGACTAATGCCGCATATACGATTTGCAGTTCCTTCGCACTGACAACTCCACTTATTTCGGAGGCAGGATTCTTCCTCGACACTCGCCAAAGCCAAGCACAACATTACCGTTGCCATCTTCACACCAGCCTTCAAGGATGATCTCGTCGCCATCTTCCAAATATCCTGGCTGATACGTACTGCTGACCTGTGGCATCACTTGAGTCTTCGTTCGCTCGGCTTCGTAAAGACATCCTAGTTCTGCCATCTCGCCCTTGTCATTCCGCCCGCTGCCTGAAATGGTGCCTGTACCTATCAAGTCGCCTGTTTGCATGCCGCAGCCGCTTGCGGCGTGATGCACCAATTGCTGATATGGCGTCCAGTATAGATATTTCAGGTTGCTAGTGCCAAGCACAGTCTCCTTGCCATCTCTGACAAGCTTGATCTCGAGCTTGATATCCAGAGCACCATCATCATTCGAGGGCCACGTCAAATGCGGAAACGGTTTTGGGTCTTGTGTCAGATGTGGCGTACAGCTGAATGGCTCCAATGCTTCCATGGGAACAATCCAGTTGCTGATGCTTGTGCCGAAACCCTTCGAATGAAAAGGACCGAGAGGGCGCATTTCGAAGAGCTGATGGTCTCGAGCACTCCAATCATTCAGCATTACGAAGCCGAATATGTGCTCTTTAACCTGATCGATGGGTAAAGTTTCGCCGAACTCGACCGGCTTGCTCACGAAGAAGCCCATTTCAAGCTCGAAGTCCAGCTTTTGACATGGGCCTAGCAAGCAGAAGAGATAGCGTCAGCTACGGGACATAGTTCGAAGAGCCAGGTAAGGTTCTTACCATATTTTGGCTCGCTGTCAAGACCACCGGAGAATGCGACGTTCTTCGGCCGCCTAATGTCGCGCGGTGATGGTAGGACCGATGACACGCGCGAGTTGTATACTGAGGGTGCATAATACCTATTGAAGGACGAAGAATCAGGATCAGTTCTAGTAAATGAAAAACTAAAGATATCTGTATGCCACGAACCAATTCTTGAAGATGTGTGCGGAGGTCAATTCGCCACTGCAATTCTTGCAGTGATCGAGGCTTGTGTAAAAGTCGCTAAAGCCACCTGGCAGCAGGAGGGAGAATGTCAGCTTTAAACATCCAATACCGCTTTTGACCCATCATTGGAATTCACACCCATTTGCATAGGCAGATGCTGTTTGGTCTCTGAGAGCGGGACAAGGCATGTCGCAGGGACTCGACCGGCTTGCAAATCTTCTTGAAGCTGCTTTCTTAAAGCCTTTCTTGTTTCCCATGATAATGATGCGAATTGATTGAGGGTGGGCTGGCACAGTCAGAAACGAGTATATCGAACAGATAAGTTCTCTGCGCCTCAAGACTGACTTGTGCAAAAATGGTTTGAAATCGCTCGTGGCCCGATTGAATCCTATCTAGCTTCCCAGTGCTGGCATATTGCACCAGGTCGACCGCATGATTACCAATGGCAACTGCACATCGCGGAGATGCTTCCTTCGCCGTTGAGATGACGCCGTATGGGAGATTGTGAATTGTGTAAGGCGGGCGGTCGAGAATAGGTGTGCTCATTTTGGATAGGCAGTCGATATGGTGCAAGCAAGATTGTTGCGTCTCCTGACGTTGCCGAAGGGAGATGTTTTAGAATATCGGCCCCGCCATGATCCACTTTGCCCTCTCAGCTAATAAGAACGACCTCTACTTCGGAGTCCGAACCTTCCTGAAACCGGCGAATCAGCATCGAGCTCACGGTCAAAGCAGCTCCTGCTATGGAGGCAGCGCAGCTTTGATGTCCATATTAATTTCATGAGCACAGTCGCTTGCCCGACCAAAGCCCAGGATCAGTGGAACCTGAGATCATCCTTATCTCTATAAGACATTCTTCCCCAGGCAAAGTCATTTGGTCTCAAAGGCACGAAGATGCGTTATGATCGCGTACGGGCCATCCGTATGAAGCCTAGGCCTCCCCTTCTTGAATTCATCTGATGCCTTTCACTTGGTCTTTTGCCTTCGCTGCCGAAATTTCTGCAGCTCTTTGAGGCTTGACATTATAAGAGGAACTGCCATGGGTCCAAGAAGCGGAACGTAAACAGCAACCTTGTGCTCATCTGGAAAGTACACCTGACCGACCATGGACGGCTCGAAGAAAGCCTTTTCCACCTCTTCTTCAGCTGTTCTGGCATTCCTCAAAGCGCTTTGAAAGCGGCCAGAGCGCAGATCCGAGCAAGCCTGGTCAAGCCGGTGCAGCGTCTCATCGACGGAGTTTGCAACTGAATCCGGGATTGCGATGGAGGTGAGTTTTAGTGTAAGCCTCGAGAGCGCTCCTAGTGTTGAAGAAGCAGACATGATAAGAGATGTCGCACGTTCTCTGGTAAGACTGTTGATCCTTAGGGGCAGCGATGGCGGGGAACTGGGAACACCTAATAGCGCAGCAATTTGATCGGCAAAGGTGAGCATGTGAGGTCGCAAGTCGTCTAGAGTCAATGTATCGCCCTTCTTCCCACTTGGATTGTGGATCTGTACTCCTCCCCATTGCGGTATGATCCAGCTGGTGCCTTTGCTCTCTGCAATTAGCAAAGGACTTTTCTCGGGTGACGGCACGTAAAGAACAAAGTTTATGGTAGGACCAGATCCAATACTAGGGCTTAGAGGCCATTCCGCAGCATTGACGAATCCCGTAAGATCACTATATTGCAAAGTCCAGTAATTCTTCGAAGCATCGAAGACCGGACCCGCAATTGAGGGACTGAAAGCAGCGTACAGTTGTACTTGAGTATCAATGGTGAACTTGCTGATGGGCGACAGCTGCTCGATCAGAGGCGTGATGTATTCCTTGATAGCCGCGTCAATCTCCCATGCCGAAGGTGAGGCAGTGGGCGTGAATAGCGAGAAAGTGAGGTGGTACGTCGAGGCATACTTGAAGGCGCGCGTAGTCTTCTTCTCCAACTCGTGCTGTTGCCCTTGACTGAGTTGTAGAGGAGCGACGTTTGCAGCAAATGGCGTATCCTTGATCAAGGAGGAAAGAGATGCGATCTCGTCGGTGAAGAGACGTGCCAATTCTTGCGACAGGAATCCAGCAACACTACCGAGATCTGCCAGCGAGGGTCTTGGTAGATTGAATTCCAGCTGCGATTGCCATGACTCTAACCTGATACCAGGCGTCGATGACTCGGATTTTACCACGACAGTAAGCGCATTATTTGACAACTTCACATTGTCCGCTGTCACGTGAAAGCTGTGCAGCGGCGATATCTTCTGCGCGTTGAGCATGTTCTCCGTGTGCCCAGCTAAGACGGCGGCCTCCTGAGAGTTCAGAGCCGGAGCTCTGAGGTGTATCTGCAGCGGATAGTGTGGCGTACAAGCCTGTCCTTCTCAGCAGAGCGACTTGCATGGATGTAAGATTGACCAACCTTGCCTTCAGCCCACGAGTTCATGGCTTCCAGAGGAAGAGATGAGCGATGGATTGATGTCGTCCAAGTCCAAAGTGGCAGTCCCAGCATGACCACGACCGCCCAGAAGGCCATGATTATGATGCGGCGAGTCCATATCGATGACGAGGACTCTTCGGGAGCTTGAGAGAATGCCGCCGTCGTCTTCTCGGGTTCCACGTCCATTTCGAAAGTCCTGTTCAATCCATCGGCATTGGCATTGGCAGGTCCAGGTGTTTGGCAAGGTCAGACGTGTCGACAAGGAAAGGAGCCGTGGAGCCATCAGCCAATCGGCAAGCAGCAGCCACGAACCGGCTTCCACGCAACACCTTTGCTTCTGCTCCCGTCGTCTGCCACGCCTCTCCGAGCATTCGGTGGATATGCGCATGCTGAATAACGCGTCTGACGCGCTGAATCCATGCCGCGTCTTCTTCAGTCTTGGTAGGTGCGAAATCGTGACAGATTGATCTCGCGTCACTCGTATTGCGTACTTTCCGTGTGAAACAACTACCTCTCACATGCAACCGAAACATCTCCTTCACTGCACGTGAACTTCTAGAGAAAGCTCGCGCCAGATGCGTCAGACAAGTTGCGCCTTGTTATTTAAGCTCAGACTCTTGGTCTCCACTCCCCACTTCCACCAACTTCAGAACAACCACAACATGGGCGACGACCGCTTTCAGAAACTACTTAAGCTTCTACCCGAAGAGAGACTGCCCCCACGAGTCCCAACGCCGCCACCAGAAGAGCCGCCAGAGGAAGCACCAGAAGACGACGGCGACGTCTACAAGTCGCAAGAGTATAAGGACCTCCCTCACGCAAATCCCGACTACGTTTTCGCCGACAAGGTCGCACGTGCACCCCCGCGACCTTCACCAGTGCCACGGTCAACGCCGCTTGTGTACGAGAGCGACGAGCCCTTCACTTTCGATCCAGACAAAGGCAAGACCGCACCTGCTGGAACTAGGTTCTGCCCATTCAACGCCGTCACCCAGTACTGCTACAGATTCGTGCCGAAGCTCTGGACTCAACCACTCGCCAGCGCCTTCTTCGACGCAGAGAAGGTCTACAAGCGCAGTTGGAATCTGTAAGTGTTCGCGATGACTTGCAGCGAATTTGCGCTAATGTTGAGATTTCTCAGGTACTACGTCGCCAGCAGCGACACAGGTGTTGTGGCATTTGTGACCCAAGAGCAACTGCAGACTCTACTTGACGAGATCAACCACGCATTTCCCCAGGCAGATATCAAGATCCCAAAGTGGGCTCTCGAGGAAGGACTTCTCGTCGACTTCGACGATCTCGAGTCGAGCTATCATCCCCACCTCGCAGGCACTTGCAGTTCGCGCGCCCAGTATAGATCTTGTCTTGCCACACTGGATCGAGAGCCGATGATGTCGATTCCAACCGACGGAGACCGCAGCCTCGAGGCTTTCAGAGAGAAGATGGCCGCAGTGGCCGAGATCACCAAGAAGCGCAAAAAGGGGGCAAACGCGAGAAGACACCAAGAAGCTCTCATCAAGCGGCAAAGCATGGTTCGGCAATCGCTCCGTGGCCAGCGCTACCTTGGACTGCATCCAAAGAACGACACCGAATCACTTCTTCCAGACATCCCATCGCTTTCAGTCTCTGCTATCGATCCTGACCAACCGGCACCATATCCTTTCGATGGCGAACCAATTTTCGTCTCCATCGACTGCGAGGCTTGGGAAGAGCCTCCGCGCATGGTGACGGAGGTTGGGCTTGCGACGCTCGACACGCGCGATTTGAAGGGCGTGGCACCCGGCGAGAATGGCGAGAATTGGCATCGATTCATCAGAGGACGCCACTTCCGTGTCATTGAGTACAAGGAGTGCGTCAATCACAAGTTCGTCCAGGGATGTCCAAACAACTTTGAGTTTGGTAAGACTGAGTGGGTCGGAAGGGATAGCTTGGGCTTTGTGCTGGCTACCTGCTTCAAGGAGTCATACTCAAAGGCGGCAACCAAGGACGACGACTTCCCGGCATTGGGAGCAGACCGAAAGGACGTGACATCAGCGGAGCCCGAGGAGCGAAACCTCATCCTTGTTGGTCACGATGTGATGCAGGATGTCGAATACTTGGACAAGATCGGCTACAATATCCAGCGCACCAACTTCATGGATACGCAAGACACCGTCAATATGTACCGCACCTACAATCAAGAGCCGAATGCTCGCTCTCTCGGTAGCATTCTGGCAGACCTTGGACTGGCGTCGTGGTACCTGCACAACGCTGGAAACGATGCCGTCTATACCATGCATGCCATGCTCGCTATGTGCGTCAAGACAGCAGCTGACCGAGGTAGTTGTCAGGCCGACGAGCGCATCGAGAAGAACAACAAGGACCGCATGGAAGCAGCAGTAGAAAGCGCAAAGGAGCGAGTTGAGCAGGACGGCGAAGGCTGGGAGAATGGCGATGGTGACGATGGAGGTGCTGGCATGCCGCTCACGGAGGCTGATCGTCCGCAGTCCAAGCAAAAGCCGCTTTTCCGTGGTGCTGTCCAAGGTGAGCCTCTCTGGTAAGCTGCTCTCGATGGCGGGGCCGAGCAGGCTAAGGGCGTGCAAGATTATGCATGGCAAGGCTCCCGGTTGCCGCTGACAATGCCAGAGCTGGATGGCGTTACAAGGCAATGTAATGATAGAATACAGACTAGGTTGTGCCTGGATCGTCGGCCGCAGTCACACGATCTCAATGGCGCTGCTATACAGCCATGTAAATGCAGTCAAACCCGATCCCCCTTGGTGTGAACCTCTTCCGATTCGGCCTGACTCCGCAATGAGGATGGCTTTTTGGCTGAAGTGGTGTTTAGTCCTCAGCTTTCGCCATGCTCAGGACATCTTCGCAACACCCATCGCTCCCAATATTTCCGCTTGTTGTTGTCGACACGCAGACCATCATCATCTAGCTCTTCTGCCGACTCAAGGCGTCCACCACCACTGCAGGTACACCAAGGTGCTGAAGTCGGGGTGTCTGGCGAGTTGAGGTTGGGAAAATCGACCTCGTGTGCTTCTGGGCCATGCTCGTCATCCGAGTCTTCTTCTTCATCTCCATCTTCGTCCTCATCCTCATCCTCATCCTCGTCTTCGTCTTCGTCATCTCCATCGCTACTGTCTTCATAGCCATGTCGTCCTGTGCCACTAGGTCCTGCTTCACTTTCATCATCTTGGGCTTCTTCCTCGTCGCTGCTGCTTTGCGAGAGCTCATTAAAGTCCGGCAGCTCGGTTCCCACATCTTGCGAGAATTGCTGAGAATGGTAGTATTGCGTATAGCCTATTCGGCGCAGGCTCACCCATTGAAGCTCGTGCATCTCAGCTCGTAAAACTTTCAAAACATCTTTCCAAAGACTCCCTTCCTTCAGATGCACATCTCGCAGCCGCAAGCCCCTCAAACCAGGATGTCGTCTCACCATGTCGAAGATCTCCTCCTGCTCGAGCTCCCATCCTTGAACTCCAAATGCTACAAGTTTCTCCCACCTCACGTCGTGGAAGACGGTCTTGAGAGGGAGGGTGAGCGGGCGATGGGACGGAAACCCAACATGCACGGCTCTCATTTTCCTCGCTCGCGTGAAAACTTCTTTGAACACTGTCGATAGCTCCTGCACCTTTGCATCCAAATCCTCGTTGTCGTCGAAATGTAGCGTGAGCACTTCTAACCGTTCAGCTAATGTTGAAAGGTACTGGGCACTTTCTGGACTTAGCTGCAGCAGGCTGAATCTGCTCCATGGTACATTGATCGATGTTAGCAAGGCTGTGATGATTGTTCTTGCCGCATGTGAACACGCCCTGCTCCAGTCCAGATTAAGAACAGACCTTGCATGCTCGTGTCTTGAGAGGTAGCTGAGTAGCATGCGATCTTCCGAGTCGGCAACACGCAACAATTGTACCAGTTTCAGCTTCGTGAATTTTGCAATAGCCTGCTTCAGGATGAGCACATCGTCTTCATTGGAGCAGATAGCCCTCTGCTCCGTTCTTTTTCTTCGCAAGCTGTCTATATCGGTGTTTCGCAAGCCCGTCCGCTGCAAGTCCTCGGACAGCGCATCCAAATCGTTGGCCTCTACTTGTTGTTAGCAGCAGGACTAGATACGATTTGTAGCATGCTCTACCATCGTCGTAAAAGTATGGCACCAGGTAGGTGAACCTTTCCACTAAGCAAGCTAGATGTGCGGATGCAGCGAGATTTTGGAGGGTCTTCAAGCCTTTAGCCGAAAACCTGATAGTGACTCTGGTGAACAGCACTGGGCGACCGATCTCCTGCGACGAAGAAGATGACTACGTCAGTTGCACACAGTCAAGACGTCCTCTTCCGCTCGGACTTACCTCAAAACGTTTGCATACGCAGCGGAACCTGCCGATATCACTGATGGAGCCGCGAGACCGATCTGGCGCTGGCTCAAAGCTCTCCACGCTGAGGTGCTTCCTCTGGTCAATGCTGACTTCTTTGTCGTGGTGTCCGGGCTGAACGAAGCTCAAGATCCTCTCGATGAGTTCAGTTGGCCATTCGATGATCCCAGCAGTCATATCTGGTGCTCAGTGTTCAGTGACAGCAGAGCTTCCCGGCGATGAAGTGTACTCATGTCATTCAACGGTTCGTATGGCATGCATAGGCGGGTGCTGGTAGAGGGCTCATGCGGGACTTGGGACAGAGGCTTGATCGAAGTGACACGGGCCGCGAAGAATGAAGAAAGGAAAGAGCCTAACCGGATTGCCGACGATGGATATAGGTCCATGTAATACCGGCGTCATGGCCGGCGCAGAAGAGCACGATGGAGCGCAGGAAACGGCGGCCGAGAGTGTCAGTAGGCCCAGCTCGCCAATCGGAGGGTGGAGCGAACATCACATGATCGAGTGTTAATGTGGGAGAGCCGTCCCGCACTGCAAGTGTGAATTTTTGGGTGCGAGGAGCGTGTTCAAGATGCTTGACCCTGGAGCTGGCGAGAATGCGGCCTGAAGCGAATCGGAGTGTGGTGGAGCAAGAGCTTGTGCAGTAGTGAGCTGGAAACTTGCGGCCCATTCATCCGCGCAGCGCGTCAACCGCAAGTTTCCCGTCGAACGGAAGGCATGCCACTATTGGGTTTACTGGTATGGCAAGCGCGAGCGGATGGGTCAAAAGCCTGGCGGCGGCGAATCAGCAGTGGCTGAACATGTGCATTGCCAGGTCGAGGGCAGGGCGGGGCGGAGTGCGCCATGTATGATATCACCGACTACGTGCTTGCCACGGTCGTCGGTCGTCGCCGCGTCGGAGAATCGTCGTCAAGTGGCGGTCAGCGTGCCTGGAGTTGGTCGTGGTGGACGTTGGCTGTCTTCGATGCTGCTTCCCGAAGCAATCGCTGTCGCAAGGATGCTCGACTTCCGGCGTCTCCTCAGAATAATGATGTGACGCATACGGTAGCATTCACGCTCATGCAGTGCAGTCCAACAAGCAGTGGCCTGTACGAGCCATGCTTTCCGGCCCTCGCCGCGTGCATGTCACCCATTCATGGCTGGTGGAGGCTGGAACAGTAGTGTCGATGAAAAGGAGAGAAGTCGGCACCCAGATAGGCTTTCGCACGGTGCAACGGCACGGCGGGCCAATGCGGTGCACGCTTTCGCCGTTTGTCCTGTTCCGAGGAGGCGGTCTGCTTCTTTATCAGCACCACTCCCAACCACGCCAGACCGACGCGCATCCTCTGCTACGGCATGAATGCGCATTGCAGCCGGTCAACCATGCTCGACTAATGCGGTATGCGCGCAAGCGCAAGCGCAAGCGCAAAATTCATGACGTGGCCACCAGGCATTCGCCGAATGGTGGAAGGTCTAGGTCCTGCCTGCATTCGGAACCGTGAACCCGGAAGGCATTCACAGAGATAGAGATCTAAAACGGCGAGCCACTCAAGGCCACTGGGTATATGTATCCTCTACACGCCCATCTGGGACCTCTCTGGTTCGTTTCGGGTCCGTCTGTTACCACTTACGGGAACAAAAGCGCCCGGTGAGACTTGCCACGAACAGCCGCCGCACGTACTGTACGCTGCTCTGCCTCAAATCTTACCCCCAGCCTTCCTAGCCAGCTTTTCTCGAATCGCTGTACTGCTGATCTTATCCTCAAATCCTTCTTTGACACCCGACTCTTCGCCGACGTCAAGAACATCTACCTCGAACACATCCAGCACGTGCCAGCCAAGCGCCTTCCGCTTGTCGTTCACGGCCTTGCCACCAGATCTCGTCTCTGCACTGAGAACAAGTGCGGAAAGATTCTCCTCGGTAATCGTGGGTCCATATGGATCTTGTATCTCTGTGCATTTGACGACAAGGCCGTGTGGATAGGATATATCAATCGACTTTCCATTGGGGCCGGGGTCATCTCTGATGCTTGCATGTCTTTGACCACGAGAAGCTTCCGTTGAGAAATCGATGATTGCGTTGAAAAAAGTCGCTACCGCCTTCTGTCGATCAACCCAGCTCTGTACAAGGTTCGCATGCTTTTTGTTGACCAGCAATGCATCGCCGGTGATGCCGATCGTTGCACTTCTCTCTTTCGGAGCCTCTTCTTCATCCACCGCAAATATTGTCATTGTTATGAGGAGCTTGTGCCCGACATGCAGGTGATCCCACGTACCGCCGTTGATAACGTCAAAGTGTTTCTGGTATTTTGGATTTTCGGGTGCAGATGAATGAATGCTCTCGTCACGCGCTGACTGTGGAATGCTCATCACTGGGCCGCCCTGAACACGACTGACCTCTGCAGATTGACCTTTCTCAGTAACGAACGCCCGAACCATTGCCTCTCCAGACTCCGACTCAACGCCGAACGCGAATTGCCACTGTCTGCCTGATCGAGCCAATGTGCCAAGATCAATCACAGGTCCATAAGGCGATGGCTGCGTTGCCGTTTGTTGCGCTTCGGGCGACCATGCTATCAGAAGTACTCGAGCGTCCACGCCGTCATCATCTTCGGTGTTGACGCCTTCCTGAGCGGCTGCAATGGTGATGAGCTTGTAAAGCCCTGCCACAAATGCCTGAGTCTCGTCGTATATGCTTGATCTGGTCGCATGTCTTTTGGCTGCAAGGTGCGAGCACGCAAGCGCCACTTCCAAAACGGCAGCTTTGGGATGGTCGGATGAATGGGTGGCCACTTCCTTCAAGACTTGGCCAAGGGTCTCGCCATAAGCTGCTTTCAATGCTGCGCCAGTTGCGGGAGAAGGTAAAGGAGGTAGAAGGAGTAGAAATCTTGGCGGCTCACCCACCTGTGGAACGTCCATAATGCTGTGAAGGAGGAATGCAGGATCCTTTTACTGGCCTGGCGAATCGACCTGAGGCTGCCAATGCTGGTTCACGCAACTATTTGAGGCCCGGCTCAGCAACGAATGAGTGCGATCGTCTTTGCTATGTTGATGTGCCGGTCTGCACAGTTGTGCGCTCTGCGTCGCTGCCAGAGCCGCGTCTGAAGTGTTGATCAAAAGTGATGTTTGTCTCAAGGCCGAGGCCTGCTCGTCGATGATGCGGCTCTTTGTGGCCCCAGCCCGGTTTGCTCTGGCCCGTGCCGCCGCTTACTTACCCAGGAGCGGGTTAGTGTATGTCTACCGCCTATTGTATTGCAACTGCTAAACGTAGACCACGTCGACAGGTCGACTTTGCCTGCAGCAGAGCACGAGGAGGAGCGTCCGGGCAAGCGCCCACAAACCCTCAGCTCCGACGCATTTGGCCTCGTGAGCCATCATGCCTTTCGGACATCATCATTCAAATTCAAATCAGCAGAGTCTCGGGGCTGCATTATACAATGCCGCATCCGCATTAGGTTCTCCGGCGGCTCCCAGTCTACAGCGGATCGCTTCAGGATCGACGAGTGCTGGGACAGATGCCTTTATACCACAACCGAACGAGCCCAGCGCATACAATCAGAATGCGTCTACGCCTCAGACAGGACGCGTAGGAGAACTCGAACAAGCAGCAGCTCCGGCAGCAGCTCCCTTCTCAGCGCCTGTGTCTGCTGTACCCGACTCATCCCAGCAATATCAGACCCCGAGACGGTCCCATACTCACCACAGGAGCGAAGACATACGCGGTCAGATTCCCCAGCACACATACAAAGACCCCTACTCGCCGTCCGTAGGGCCCTCTTTCAACTTCCAGCAAGCAACACCGCAAGGCTCTGCTTACGTGCCCACCGTAATACCGTCCAACGCCGGGTTGAGCAGCGCACTGCCAGGCGCATTGCAACCCGCAGGTGGCTCGCGGCCGCCCGCTTCCACAGCCTATACTGCGCCGACGACAGTGCCCACCATGCAGCAGCAACCACCGCCGCTTCACACTAATGCGTCCCAGTACGCCCAGACCCAACCACTTTCCCGCCAGAATACCCTCCAAAGTCAGTCACGCGGCAGTCCAGGAGGATTGGATGTGGGACAGAAGTATATACCTTTCAACCAGACACCAACGCAGACGCCGACCACATCGAACCCCAAAGCATACAACATTTCAAATGCGCAGACTCCCTCGGCAGGCCCTTCGCATAGCCCACTCAACCTTACCGATATTCGCTCACGCGCCATCTCCGACGCAAATGAGGGTGCTTCAGGCACGGCCTTCTTCAGCTACTCTGATCAGCCTACAAACTCCAATTACCTGGCACCCTTTCCTACATATGCATTTGATTGGTGCAAATGGCCTGTGGTGAATGGCTCATCGGGAGCAGGCAAGATGGCCGTGGGCAGCTACTTGGAAGATCCACACAATTTTATACAGATTTTGGACACTCATATAGTACCACAGGATGTGGCTACTCCGGGAAATGCGCCATACGGACTAGAGTACAGTAAAGTGGCCGAGGCTACCTGCGCATATCCTGTGACCAGAATATTGTGGGAGCCGCCGAGCTCTCAGAAGAGCAGCACCGACTTGTTGGCTACAAGCGGAGATCACTTACGATTGTGGAGCTTGCCCTCGCCTCCGACGCCCCATTCTGCTCATATCAATCGCAGCGCGTCCGCCAACATTCGAGATCCTGCGCCTCAAAAGCTGCAGCCGCTTGCTCTGCTTTCGAATAGCAAGACCCCAGAACATACTGCGCCTCTCACATCTTTGGATTGGAACACACTCTCACCGAAGCTGATAATTACTTCATCGATTGACACAACTTGTACCATTTGGGATATACCAACTTTGACTGCCAAAACACAGCTCATCGCACACGATAAGGAGGTCTTCGACGTGAGATTTTGCGCAGGGTCTGTGGACGTCTTTGTATCATGTGGTGCCGATGGAAGTGTGAGAATGTTTGACTTGCGTAGCCTGGAGCATTCGACCATCATTTACGAACCCGCAGAAAAGGCCGACAAAAGTAAGTCGAAGCTGACCTGGGCTGCTCAGGGCTACACTGACGTATGATAGCTGCATCGCCGACTGCATCATCTCCCTCGAAAGGAGGACAAACGTTGTCTTCGGCACCTCCACTTCTGAGGCTAGCTGCCTCGCCTCACGATGCTCATCTTCTTGCCACGTTCGCCTCCGACAGCAATGTTATCCGCATATTGGACGTTCGACAACCCGGCCAGGCGCTGCTTGAACTCAAGGGCCACAAAGGTAATCTCAACAGCATCGAATGGAACCCAAGCAGGAGAGGGATGCTTGCTTCTGGTGCCGACGATAGTCTTGTCATGGTTTGGGACCTTTTGAATTCTCAGAATCAAGCTTCGGTGACTACCAATGCCATGAATGGTAACGGATCCGGGCAACCTGACTCATCTGGCAAAGGGCCATTTGCCAGTTGGAGATGCGAGTATGAAGTTGCCAACGTTTCCTGGGCGCCTCAAAGTACATTAACCCAGCAGGGCGGGGATTGGCTCGGTGTATGCGCTGGTAGAGGTGTCTGGGGAGTCAAGCTATGATTATGATGAGCATGATAATGATGATGAAGATTGAGTCGTTGCAAGATGAGAGCATCCTATTGCAGCAGCAGGTGCAATCACGCATACATTGTGCGGCAGCGGCCGGAGTCTCAACGTGGGCATATGCTCCAGTCCTACGAGAGATTGTACCAAACGCCGAATCACTCCAGCACATATCGCATTGTGATTTGAAGGGATCACTGCATTGGGAAACAGATACACGACCTGTGTGACTGGGCAGTCCCATCAGATGGTGCTCTCCGTGTCATTTGCGCTGGTCGGCTTCGTGGAAAGATCAGGCTTGCCGAAGGTTCGCGTCCATACCAGTCTGCAGGGACATCGCGAGTGTGCACTCTCTGCTTTGCTATGGACCCACTTGGCTTGGCAACGCAGCAACCAGTGCTGTCGAGTATCGACCGCCACATCACAGTGTAGGAAATGGCATATTCATGGCTTGTTCAGCCACGAGATAATATCCTCCTGCAAAGCACGCATAACTCCTTTCTCGCGCCAGAAGTGACCTGCACCTGAAATTTCCGTCCATTCAAGCCTGCCCAACGACTGCTCTGCCAGCTTTTCCGACCACATTCTGAGCTTTTTGCTTGATGTAAATGTATCTGAACTTCCAAATGTGATGAGAGTGGGCCATTTCAAAGACAGCGTCCCGGCGTCCTGCTGATCTGTCGCTGTGCCGGATGTGAAGGGGATTCCTGGTGAGAGCAAACTGGTTGTGAGCGGCACCAAGACCGGCGAAATGAGGAGATACTGGACAGCGATGGGATGATCGCCGGCCTCGATATTGGTATCGTCTAAGTTATGCTGGTGACGTGAATGCCGCTTGATATGCGACTTGATCTGGTGCGGCACTTCGCTTATGATCTCTGCGCTTCGTCTTGAGTCTCGGCTTCTTCGCCGTTCTGAGCTGCTACTCTCTTCGCCACCGATGTTCACCAGCGCGCTTCGCAGCGATCTGGTACGTGAGGCACCATCGGTGCGATCCTCATCACGATCCTTTGTGGCTCGCGACTCCTGTGAGGCTTGTCGAGTCTGTTTGGCCAGAGTTCGTGCTCGCAAGAAGATCTCTGATGCTGCTGTGCCTTTCTCGGCGCTTTCGAATCTCTGGAGGATAATGGGCACAGATGGGAGTCGGGCCAGGATTAATGAGCCAAAGGAGTATCCTGCGAGTAGAAGGTCAATGGGAAGTTTTGATCCATTGTCCGTCTCGACGTCGCGTTTCAAATTTTGCAGATAGTACACTGCTAGCCCAATCACGGTACTGTAATCATCCTTCCCAAGCAGAAATATCAGTACGTAAACAACACAGGTAGACAAATGTCAACGGACCACTTCCGGTTTGCCAGTCCAGGATGTCTGGAGGAAGGTCAGTCATGTACACTCGTATTAATGGAAGCATTTCGTACCTTGCCAGCAGAACCGCCTGCTCCCCTAGCCACATGGTTAGCTCTACGAAAGTGACAGACAGTTGGCCTAGGCACCATACCTGAAGTTGAAAGTAAGCACCACGTAGCCTTGCTTCAAGAGACATTCTGTGACCGAAAGCACAGTCTCATCATCGTAGCATCCACCTAAGGGTGCATACGGGTGGGCAACGATTGCGCCTCTCAAACGCGCTTCACTGGATTGAAGAATGCTGAATACGTCTTTTGGGTGATATATCCTGCAGTCGAGACTTGTGTCATCGTGGATCGAAGGGACGGTGAATGAATATGTCGGCTCGTTCATGATTCATGGCACTTCTCTTCGAGGCACTGTTCTTGAGTTGCGTATGCTGGCATGGAAATGCTGGACGCTAGTGCCGCGTCATGATCTTTGTTCAAGTTGTGAACAGTGTCGACTTCATACAAATCCAAGTGGAAGTGGGATGGAGGTGACCGGGTTTGGCGGGGACATCACATGCCGAGCCACGAAGCAGAAATTGGAAGTCACGACTTAGACGTTCAACGGTGATGCACATTTACTCAGTATCTATATCTCTAGCTTGCGAGAAAAGAAGTTCTGGAGGAGGCTCATCATCCTCAGCATCAGAGATGTGGCTGACAGGCCTAGCTGTTACAAAACTTTGATCCAGAGCTCGTATTTCATCTCCCGGGTCCGTCTTCTCCATAGGCGTATCACTGGCATCAACATCTCCATTCGTGGATGTCGTCGCATCGTCACCGGTAGCTCGATTCAATGCACCCAGGAGTATCTGTTTTCCTCTCTGTAGCGCGTCCAGCTCAGCTCCGAGAGCTGCCATCAACAGCCTCCAATTGCGTTCCTCTGCTGTCTGCAATTTGGTTTGAAGAGCTGCCATCACGATCTCCATCTTGCCCAAAAGCTCCTTGAGGCTTTGTGCTGCATCTGTCTCAGGAGGCTCTTCCCATGCCGAGTGAGAGCCAGGGGAAGAGGGTAAGTGAGACATACCTACGCGAAGCTCTTTTTCGAAATTGTTAATCTCGGCGACAGCTTCGCGCCATAGCATAGCTCCTTCGACAAGCGCAGACCTTTCAAACTCGATATCTGCTCGCTGATGCATCGTCGAATCGCGTTGTTCAGTCCAGTATTCCTTTGCTAAACCCAAGTTTCTTCGCTTTTTCGGTAGCTGCCATATCGAAGCCTTGCCTTCAGACGATGAAGGTCTGGGATCAACACTTTCCGGCCTGACGTTGAGAAATTTCTGGATGTCGTCTTCAAGCTGTCGCAGGCTGTTCGAATATGAGGCCATCTTGGCCTGAACCGAGTTCTCAACAGCAGCAGCCTGGCGAAGCAGTTTGCGATGTCTGGTCTTCATTTCCCCTAGCTGAAGCTCAATCTTGTTAATCTCTGCCTGAAGAGCGTCGGCCTCTTGCTGTAGTCGCTGGGAGCGGATGGTATCCTCACTCAAATCCACATTGTGCGATGCCTCTCGCAGACCCTCCCGCTTCTTCTCCCATGAGTCAATTTGTCCCAATATCCGCTCCTTCTCGCGCACTTTCGTGTCTACTCCCAGAAGCTCCTCTTCTTTCAAGCCTGCCAAAGCGACTATGCTATTGTATATCCCCTTCCTTGCCGACTTCAACCCTGGCTGCCTGCGGAGAGATTTGCGAGGTCGACGAGCAGAGGAGCTCCTAACGCTCTGTACAGTGGGCGTAATGCTTCCAGTTGAGCTGCGCTCTTCCACGGAGCCGGCCTCCAGGCCACGTATTAACCCTTCAGCCTGTGCATCCAAGAGAAACTGCAGATCTGCTTCAAGCTGCTGCTGTCTGTCATCGAGATCGAAGGGCTTCTCCACCAGGGCTGACTCTGCTGTCGGGGTGCTTGAAGTCTTTGGAGCGACGTAAGTGCTCTGAACTATTGGCGGCGGTATCATGGATGCGGTAGGTGATGGACTTCGCCAGCGTGGCAGCTCGTGACTGGAGTTTGAGAGAAAGCGCGCCGTGCTCGACGAAGCCTGCGAGAACCATGCTTTACTCGAAGACATGATGATTGAAGAGGATACAAGCGAAATAAGATGCTGGAGGCCTCCGGTCTCAAGTGCTAAGAAGGTCAGCCAAAATGTCAGCTGCTACTGCTCAATCTTGGGATGGCTGTTCATGACTGCTCCTTCGTTGCGAGCGTACATAAGCCAGCGATACGCAGCCACACCTCCAAAACCAAGTCAACTTGTGTGTGTGTGTGTGTGTGTGTGATGTTGTCGCGTGTTCATTATTATTGTTTGGGACGAATGAGCTAGGTATGGCTCTGGATAGACATCGATAAGGAGCACACCAGCTTGGGCCAAAATCGACGTGCCCTCTGCAGCTTCTGATCCTCCTTCACATGTTCAAACAACTCACATGCAGCATGAACGGCACCGCGTCCCGGTGACAGCGGTCGCATTCTGGCGCGACGATGTGCTTCTTGCTGGAGAGGGAAGCATTCTGAGTGCATATGATGTTCAAAATAAGAGACTACTGGCATCGGTGAACATTTTTGATGGACAAGCAATACATGGCATCATCAGCAGCAATGCCAGCGATGGCCGCCTGTTGCTCTTGGGCGGCCGCTACGTGCGGGCCCTGACCCTCTCGCAGAACGAGCACATATTCTTCAAGCTGGGCACGATTGCAGAAGCCAATGACTGGATATTGGACGCAGCCTTCTCCGACTCAAATTCAGATGGAATATGCAGAGCAGCGATTGTGACAGCACACAGTGCACTGACTATAGCAGCTGTCGACCATGCGCTTGATACACGCCTCGAAGATGTGGTGCCCGGGTCCAACTGCATACTATACACCGCACAGGTAACATGGCTAAGTCCTTTTAAATGTCTCATTGCATCAGGCACTGCTTTCGGCGACATCATTGTGTGGTCATCCGACATTTCAGAGCATAACGGTAAGCACTCTGCGATATGGCAAACGCATTACACGTTCTCTGCCCACGACGGATCTGTTTTTGGAATCCAGATAGGTTCTGGAGAAATCGCCGTAGCTCTTGGTTCAGAGAAGCATGTTCTGGCCAGTTGCAGTGATGATCGAACGATCAGACTATGGAATATATCAGATCTTTCGTCCCGCAGTCCTGCCATATCGGAAACCCAACGGGAGACTGGATTTGGCTCTAAACCAATCGACGAAACGCACGCACCGCCATGTATCGCGAAGGTGATGGGCCATATATCGCGGATTTGGCACGTCCGCCTTCTCTATGGCACGCAAGGTGCGAACAGCGATCAGAATGCTGCCAAAGGAGATCCTGTCCGGCTATTCTCATTTGGGGAGGATGCAACCTGCATCTCTTGGTCTTTGGATTGCCAGCACGACTCCTCTTCAACACCACAATATGCCTTCCAGCAGACAAATGTGGAGAGAGCTCACAACGGGAAGAACATCTGGTCTGTGGCGCTTGGTACAGACTCTCGCATTGCCACCGGTGCTGCAGATGGTGCTATCTCCGTCCTTTCCATGCTCGGCACGACCGTTGCTGGACGGAGGAAGAGATTGACAATTCATTCTGAGAGCGGCCAAAGTAGGCCGGATCTGGTCAGATCGTACAGCTTCATTTCAGCGACGGAGGTGCTTGCCATTACTGACCAAGGCAACATCCTTCGACTGTCCGTGGAATCTGATGGCGCTTCACGACTCGTAAGGGTTTCGGACTCATGTTCAGATGCCGTGCGTGGCTACTCGATATGCACTGGTGATCACAGTGCTGGATTTTTCGCAGGCATGAATGGAAATGTCTACGCGTACGACGCGGTGGAAGACCGATGCTACCAGGTCGCCAAGACGGAGCGCAAAGTAGTTGGTCTCTACTCGCAACGCATAGCATTGAATGATAAGAAAGGACACGCCGTGCTGATCACGAACATTGGGCTGCCAGTTGCGCTTTGTCTGCAGATTTCATCCAAGGAAGGTCGAGGAGATATGACCGCAGTCAAATCCATACAATTGAACCTTCCCGACAAAAGCTTCGTCGTCACTAGCTTCGCACAGAACGATGTTCCTGGCTGTTCGTTTGCAATTCTGGGCTCCAGAAGCGGTTCGGTCGCCATTTACAAGCTCGAAACGCAGTCAAACGGCGGCAGTTCGGATGCAGTATGCTGCGCTTCAGTCCATGGCAAGGAAGCCGTCACATCTCTCAAGGTCTTTGCAACACCTCATGGAAATGACGTACACATCTTGTCCACTGGTCGCGATGGCACATTCGCAATCAGTACGTTCGAAGCCGACACCAAGAGTGCCATCCATCTCACGCGTATCCATCAATTGCTCCTGCCTTTCGGACCAAACATAGAGGGCCAAGACTGCATCGGCAACAGTGATATTCGTGTCTGGGGCTTCAGAAGCAAAAGTTTCGTGGTCTACGACATCTCAAGTCAACGCGAGATCATGAATGTAGAATGCGGTGGAGTGCATCGAAATTGGACATTTGAGCCCGCCATAAATGGCGGCACATTCTTATGGACTCAAGCCTCGAACTTGTACTATCAACGGCAGTCCAGCCTACCGTTTGACCTGTTGAACTCTGGAGGGCACGGTCGGGAGATCAAAACGATGGCGACAGCGCCAACCAAAGCCGGCTTGATGATCGCCACCGGCGCCGAAGACACCAACATCAAACTTTGGTTGCGTTCCGAAGACGGAAGCTGGCGCTGCTTGCACACATTATTCAAGCATAACACTGGTATACAAAACCTCTGGTGGTCGCAAAATGGAGAATACCTCTTCTCCAGTGGAGGGTTTGAAGAATTCTTCGTATGGCGCATCCGCTACGACGTACCCAAGCTCGGCATCGGCGTCGTCTGCGAATCGAAGCATCCAAACAGCGGCAGTTCTGACTTGCGCATTACGAACTTCGACGTGCAGGAAGAAAATGTCGGACAAGTAACCGGTCGCGATTTCCGCATCGCGATGGTATATTCCGACTCCAGCGTCAAAACCTGGCAGTACCAAAATCGCAAATGGACACTACTAGCATCAGGCTCCTACTTAGCATCCTGCCTCACCCAATGCCTCAAAATCAAAGCGTCCAAATGCTTCTTAACCGCCAGCACCGATGGCCACCTCGCAGCATGGAACATGAAATCCTTGGAGGCGAAATGGTGCTGGATTTCACGACATCAAGTCCACCAGAACGCCGTGCTTTCCATGATATCGCATTCAAATCTCATCATCACCGGCGGCGACGATAATGCCCTAGGCTTCACGTTCGTGGGTGAAAGGGACTTCGATAGCTTAGTCGTGCCACGAGCGCACTCAGCAGCTGTCACCGCGCTCGCGGTTGTTCGGAACGAACTCAACCGCTTTTGGCTCGTCACTGCTAGCATTGATCAGCGTGTAAAGCTTTGGCAGATCGATGTTGCTGATGTTGGCAGGGAGGGAGTAGAAGGCATCAAGATCAAGCTGGTGCAGAATAGCTTTACTGCTGTAGCGGATGTCTCAAGCATGGAAGCCGTGGTATTGGAGGACGGGCGGGTGGCCGTGGTGTTGTGTGGTGTAGGTATGGATGTCTGGCGCATCGACAAGGACCTATCCGTTGAAGGGTGTTAATCATGGGGACAAAATCGAGACAAAAGTTCCTTCCAGAAGATTTCTTCATTTCATCCTCGGCGCATCATCTACAAGAGAGTGCAACCACAAGTCTTCCTGAACAGTAAGACTGCCATAGCTCGTCAATCGGGTAACGATCGATCCGTCCTGCGCCTTCCCAGCATGGTTGGATGCACATGAAACAGCCACACAGAACTCCCTCCCCAAGTGTCACACCTGTCTTTTCTATCCGCATGTGCCCTGAATTCCTGTCGTCAGATAACTCCGTCCAGACGCCTTGCTTTATATCGCATGCTTAGCACAAAATACATGAAACTGGGGTTGTCGTTCCAACACGGTGATGCCTTTCGCTGTTGGATCGGTCCGGCTTGGGTATATACACATTACTGTCGATTTGCCGATGGCTTTCGCTATGAATGCAAAATGGCAACGTCGGTTCCTTGGGTAGTGTTGAGATCGCTGGCCTGCACGCTGCCAGCATTTCCAACCCAGCAGTTTCCGGGTCGTTCGCCACCGGGTTGGTAGATGGCTACCGTGCAATTGGCGCCATCGTTCCAAAAATTGTAGCCTGCGCAAACTTCGACGCAGTCTGAGAAACTGTAAACATATGCTTCGGCGATTCGCTGGGCGCCGTCGTCTGATAATGGATTTGAAAGATTGCAGTACTTGGTGAATTTCAGTCGTGCGTGTTCTGGTACTGAGCCCGAAGAACCGGATGCATATTGCGATGTGTATTCGGTATTGTTTGAGTCGGGACATTCGTTTAATGGTGTGTATGTCGGCGTGGGTGCTGAGTAGGTCGAAGTAGCAGTTCCCTTGCTTGTCGTCTGTGTCACAGGAGAATTCGTGCTGCTCGGATGTCAGTGCATGCACATTCCTGAGGGCGGCAGAAGGGGACTTAGTACATGGCTGTCTGTTGAGCCTGATTCTCCCGTAATTGCTGACCGCCAACTGCACCTCCCACGGCCGCACCCACTATGATGAGGACCATAAGCAGTGCTACTAGCAGAAAGGTGCGTATCTTCATTCCAAAGATGATTCGCGGCGGCCTGTTGTCACCGGCAAAGCCATGCTTGCCCAGCTTGGCATCGTAAACGGGCGATTCTCGAATGACAGGAAATTTGTCGGAGGAAGGATAGATGGTATCGTCGTACTCCAGGCCATGTGCCGGGGCGACTTCGGGTGCGTTGTGGTATTGGTACAAGGCTGATAGCCGCTGGGGACCTGACTGTTGGCAGGTCGAATGTCAGCATGAGTGCCACGAGAAGCACGACTAGTGAGCATTGGTTGTGCACCTGCTACATGTAGCTGTCCAATGCCACGACCACGGCAGGAGCGGGAGGAGGATGTGGGAGTGTTGAGCGCGTACAGGGTGTATACGTTGGATGTGAACGTACTTGATGATGATGATGTGAGGAGTCCATAGCTCAACTCACGCCGAAGGCATGGAGCGAAGCGCAACAAACGCGGTGTCGAAAGGAGGGCAGGCGGAAGGCGGAAGGCGGAAGGCGTGTCCAGGCTGGACTGGCACTGGCACTGCAGCGTCCCAAGGTGTAGCAAGAACGAACGAGACGCAGAAACAGCAGCAACAGAAGAGTGTCGGTGGGGTTGGTTCAGGTTGGTTGGTCGGTGGTCGGTGGTAGTGGTGGGTGTGCCGGCTGGCTGCCACGCTGCCAGCCGTGAGATGCGTCAGGACGGTTGCCGTCAAGGTACAGGAGCTGCTGGGCGCGAGAAGAGCGAGCAGCAGAAAAGGACGTCTGGACTGGCACAGGCACAGGCACAGGCACAGGCACAGGCACAGGCACAGGCACAGACACCTCCCATCACCAGATGAGATGCGCAGATGGATGGCGTTGGCAAGGTTCGCCAGCTTCACCCAACGCCAGAGCATCCCTGCGCATGCAGTACAGTACATAATACATACAGTACATGCCATGCCATTCCCCTGCCGCCGCCTGCGTCTGCAATTCTGCATTGGCACACCCGCATTTCCACCATTGTCCGCCGCCATTGGCCGGTCGCTAATGCACCACGCCACGGCTGAACCATCGCCTGCTCCGGCATTAGACGCGCTAGCCAGCCAGACACTTTCGGCGTCGAACGGCCATGCCATGCTTCGACGCTGCTGCCCAGTGCCCATCCCATGAAACATGAAACATGATCCTCCAACGCCCATATTATTATCACCGCCTCGTTGGCTTTCTATGCACCTGACAGCGCTTCGAGGCAGATAACAAGACTATCGATTTTGCTCCCGTGAACACAATCGCACCGAGCCTTTTCAGCTGTTCACCAAGCAGGCAGGCTACGGAGCAACATGCATATATCCGCGATATTGCAATTCCTAGACCATAACTTAGTGGTCCTGCGCATCAGCTTGTACCAAATGACGCTGTTCTCGCTGCTGCACTTGCTGGCCATGCCCTTCGAAATAATCTTCCTGCTGCACTCCTCAATCAGACGGAAGACATGAAGTGGCACACGCTGCGGCAAGCACGGCACCCACCAATTCATCATCTTCCTTGTACGCCATCCCCGACCAGCCTCCACCTCCACCTGGCACCCGCCAGCGCACAAGCTCCTGTTACACGACAACGCTGTCCAGCGGGACTTCTGCTGCAACATGCACCGCTTACCAGCTCCACTGATACACGCTCCACATGCTCTCAACGGAAACAGACGACGCCCCGAGACAATTGCTTTGTGACTTGTCGTGATGGAGCCTCTCTCGTTTCACAAGTCGTCAACCCAGCATGCTCCTCCCTGCAGAAGCCGTGAAAGCCTGAGCTTTTTGTACCACGCTGAACGTTGTTTCCGAGACTGTAATTACGCAATGCTGGCGCTCCGGACTTGGATACGAAACGTGGCATGCCCAGGACCCGAACGACGAGATGAACACATCACGCATCTTGTACTCTACATAATAATATACCGACGGGAAACACACTTTGCGCAATGGCGAACGCCTTCGGCTTCGAATCGACATCGTGACATACGTTCGGACACGTCTTCGTATATCGGGCTTGGTCGGCGTGGCACACGCTCGCTTCGGAAGATTTCTGGCTGGCTGGATGACGACCAAAAATGAACCTGAGGCTGTCACGGGAAGTGAGCACCCGCTTCATATCTTGCTCCCAGTGCAGTCCAATTTGTCAAGCTTCGCACTCCTCTCAAGCAAAGCTTCATTGAACAAGATTTTCCACACGATCTGATTGATATATGGCAGAGGCAATTAGCCGATTCAAGTTTGAGCAGCGCCTACCAAGCTGGCAGGCAATGTGAAAACCTGCGACTGTATGCTCGGCAGCAATTGCTTCCCCAGTACGGCGACTCAGGATTTGTCGTCAAAGTCATAATGCGCAAGTCATTTCTTATTCTCCGAATCGTCGATCACATCCATCGATATAGCCTGTCACGCGTGCGAGCTTGACTCGTCTGGAGGAAAAGAACAAGAACAGTAAAAGGCTCGGCAGAGCTAACAGTTGACCTTGGAACCGTTGACATTTGAAGCTACTAGCTATGCTTCTTCGCCTTTTCACAAACCATATGGACTTCAACGGACTTTCTTGTGATCCGTGATAGATCCTCTTCATCGGCTCCAGTAATAGATCCATCGACTCGAAGAAAAGAATACTTCCATCATTACCCAGTAACGCCTTCGCTGTTCTTCGAATATAGAAGGAAGCTTTTCAAGAACCTCGATCTACTAGGCGTGCTGGTACTTGCGTAACTAAGAATCAAAAGAAAGTCAGCGATACGTCCACGCGGTAGCCAGAAACAAGGGGAAAAAACACTTACATCAAGCGTCAAAGGTCTCGAGCTATTCACAGCCTGATCCCTCATAATCCCCACCAAAGTCTCACTATTCTCGAAAAGTCCCGGTTTGAGCGAAATCACCACAAACTGCATACCCGGTCCAGCATGTTCTCGCACATACTGCGCCAACTGTGTCGTATTCGCATGGTCCAGCGCAGCATCAACTTCATCCAACACAAAGAATGGAGAAGGCGCAAACGTATGTACGGCGAAGAGCAGAGCCAATGCGGCCATCGTCTTCTCTCCTCCTGATAAGTGTTCCATGTCTCTGAACCGCTTGAGAGGTGGCATGGCGTGGTACTTGACCCCGGAAAGATATGGTTCTTCTTCATCTTCGACATCGAGCGAAGCGGAGCCTCCGAGAGGGAAAGATTGGGTTTTGGTGAGTTCGCGGTAGACAGGTCCGATTTGTTCGGAGATGTGGCGATATGCTGCTTTGAAGAGCGAAGAGCGCTGTTCCTTGACATTCGCGAAAGCTTTCTCGGCTTTTGTTCGAAGATCTTTTGCGTCTTTGAATTCCTTGTCGGTAGCGGCCATGCGAGCTTCCGTCGCTTCCAGACGTTCTGCTGAGCGCATGTTGGGTGCCATTTTGTCGAGTTGCGATTGTAGCTCGTTGATCTTCTCGCACAGTCCGGCTTCGCATTCTTCGCTGGGGTCCTCCTTAAGGTCCTCGTCGAGCTTTTCGAAGCTGACGTGGATGCCGTAGTCATTGACTTTGACAGGAGCAGCACTGTCTTCGTCAATGTCCATGGCATCTTCCTCCTCTTGCAAGATCTCATCCTCTTGCGGGAGAGATTCAAGTTTGCGACTGCCCTGTTCTAGAGGTAGTGAAAGGTTTTCCACTTTGCACTTCCTCAGCACACCGTAACGCTCGGCGGAAGCTTTTTGAATCTCGACTTGCAAGTTTGAAATCTCCTTCTCGGTCGCCTCAAGGCCTTTGCTTCGCTTTTGCAATTCTCGACGAGCCTCCTGCACCTTTTCTGCGCGCTCATCATTCTCTTTCTGGTAATCGGCCAATAATGTCTGCAAAGCCTCCAGTTCCTCATTGAGCGACTCAAGCTCGCCAGCAATGGCGTTCTTCTGTGCTTGTAGTGTCTTGATGGCGTCTTCGTCCCGCTTGCTCTTCGATTCTGTGTCCCGCAGTCGGGTTTCTACGCTCTGCAATCGCTGCCGGTCAAAGGCAAGCTGGTTCTCAAGTCGCGAGAGTTGCTTCTTGAACTCTGACTGTTTCAGCAGCGCTTCGTCTTGAAGGGCGCCTTGCTGCTTCTCGTACTCGCGAATGTTCGCATAGCCCAGCCGCTGGCAGAAGGCACCAAATACCTCGTCTTCGGCCTCTGCCACTTCAGCGCTGCTTTCTTCTAGAGTCTCACGCAGAGTCTCCACGCCACGCGCCTGCTCTTCATACTGAGGCTTGATTTGCGCCAGCTGCGACCTGTGATACTTCAGCTCCTTGTTCTTGCTCGCCAGGTTGCGCTCGATGGTCTGCAGCTCATCCCGGTCATATTTTAGCTTGGCTTCCAGGCCATCGATTTCAGATCGAAGCTGCTCTTCATCTGCCTGTCGTTTGTGTCCTTTCGGCAGCGCTTCAATGTCGCCTCTGAATTTCTCCACGAGCTGTTTGAGGTTGTCCACTTCAGCATCGTCAAATTTCCGCTTCTTGTCACCGGGACCATCACCACCTGTAATGTTACCACCCTTGTGAATGACTGTGCCGTCCAGAGCGACAGCTTTGGCATCGACGCCACGTTGGTATACCAAGGTCTTTGCGATCCCGATGTTGTCACACACGATAGCATTACCACAAGCGAAGCTCATGGCTCGCTCCAAGTTGGTATCGTAGTCGATTGTGTCAATGGCCAGACGCATGCCTGGATGCATCCCACGCAGATTGGCGTTAGCTTGCTTGTGAATGATCGTGTCCAGCGGAATGAATGTGATCAGTCCAAGCTTTGCGTCCTTGAGATATTTGATACACTCTCTTGCAGTCTTCTCCGAATCGACAATGACGGAATCGTAATGGCGACCGAGCACGGTCGACACAGCAGTCTCGTACTTTTTCTGCTTTGGTCGGCATTGTCTGCCTAGTTGACCCTTGACACCAGGATAAATTTGTCGCAGTTGTCGAATCATCTCTGACTGAGCAGCTTCCTTCTGTGTCTCTCGCTGGTATCCTTGAGCGTCGCCCAGTTTCGTAAGGGCTTGAAAGAGCTTCTCTTCCAATTCGCGGCGCTTCTGGTCGGTACGATCTCGATCACTGATGATGGCATTGATTGCGACCTTCTTGGAATCGATCTCTTTGCCAGTCGACTTGATGGCCTTTTGCAGGTCGCCACGTCGATGTTCCAAACCGCCAATCTCGTCTTGCAGACTGTTCACTGTCGCTTCGGTGCTGTCCACCTTAGATTTCAGTGAGGCAACCGTCTCTTCATCGGTTTTCAGCTGGCGCGTAATGTTGTCCACTTTGTTCTGGTCGCCAGCAGTGCGCTTGTAGACTTCTCTACGCAGACGATCATACTCTGACAGGTCTTGTGCTGTCAACTCTCGACCGGCATTCTGCTGCTCGGCGTGCCACTTCTCCTCCCACCGCTTCTGTGCTTTCTGAACAGTCTGAAGCTCTTTCTCCCTCTTTTCGAGCTCTTGCCTCATGCCGTCACGCTCTTCGGTGATGGAGGCAAGCTTGGTCTTGTATGCCTTCATATTGTTCGCATGGATCGACAGCTTCTCGTCAATGGGAATGAGTTGATTCTCCTTCTCTTCCACCTCTTTCTCCTTGCGCTTGATCTCACGCTCGCACTTGCTGACCTCGCGACCCGCTTTAGCTTGCTCGGTCTTGACAGCGTCCAGCCTATCTTGATACTTTTGCACGCTGCGCCGATACTCCTTCAACTCTGCCTGATGCTTTGCGATTTCGGCAGTACTCTCGTCAATTGTGCGCTGGAAGTGGAAGAGCTTCCACAGAATGTGCGTGATGACAGCCTCATCTTTCTCGTCTCGAGTTTGCTCATACTTGTCTAGCTCCTCTTTCTGCTTTTGATATTCTCTGATCTCGTGATTGATACCCTGGCGATTCTTCATTTTGTAACGCATGTCCTCGTCCGCTCGCTCGGCCTCTGCTTTCAACCGCTCATAGTCGGCCTTGTGCTCGAGTGAGCCACTGATCTGCTCAATGAGACGTGTGAGATCCTTCGGTGACTGTGCAGCAATGGCTTCAACGTCACCTTGGAAGACGAGAAAGTTGCGTGCCTTGATGAGGATGTTCTCCGCTTCCAGCGACTCGTTGTATGCTTTCGCAGTGACTGGCTTGTTGTTGATGCGATATTCGGACTGACCCGCTGCGTTGATGCTTCGCTTCCATCGCTGCTCCTCGCCGGCATCATCTTCATATACAGCCATAACCCATGCGGTCTGGGGGTCATTGCGCTGACTTTGAGGCATATCGATCTCCTCTTCGTCAGACGCGCCGCCATCCGCATCATCATTGGCATGTCCATTTGGAATCTCTTCTGCGACTGTGCCATCTGCGTTGATCTTGGCGCTTTTCATAACACGGCCGCGGTAGACTAGGTCCTTGAGGTGGGTGGAGCGGAGATGCGATGACTTGATTCCCAGCACGAAAGAAATCGCGTCCATGGAGTTGGACTTGCCGGATCCATTGGGACCAATGATGGAGGTGAAGTAGCTGTCGCCGAATTGGAGGACATGGTGGCCGCGGTACGACTTGAAATTGTACAGCTCGAGCGCGAGGAGCTTGCCCATCGTGGCGGCTGAGACGGTGTGTTGGAGTATATGCGCAAAGAGAACGGCGTAGTCTGGAAAATGACTATCGCTTGGAGCGCATCGTCGCGCCGGAGTGCTGTGTTGTGCTGTGTTGTGCTGTGCTGTGCGAATGCGTGAGGGCGAGTTCGTTTATGCTCGGCGACGCGACGCGCTTGTCCTGAGTGTCCCGCGCAGCCCAGCACAGACCCCTGCCTACCGATGCCGTTTCTGCGGATGCTTACTCATCTCTTGCCCTGCCTGGTTGCCTGGGTCGAATGAGGTCACAGGCCAAAGGTAAGGCAGAATCTGGGGCAAGGGCAAGGGCAAGGGCAAGGGCAAGGGCAAGGGCCAAGACAGGACGAGCTGCACAACGTGGTGTTGCTGATAGGTAGAGATAAATCGCAGCGTAAAGGCAGCACAGCTCACTGATCACCACTAGCCATACCGCTGGACACCTGCCTCGCCCGTAGGACCGCAAGTGCAATCCGTGCCTGCTGTCGAAGCTGTGGCAGATCGACGCTGAGGCCTGGATACGCGTAGGCAGTGTGTGTATGCGATCAATGCTCCCAAGCCACTTCTCTGCTCAGGTCAGCAGTTCAACGGTGACGGCACTGCAAGCACACACTGCATTCCAACGCGCATCCCATGCCCGTCACGTACACTTCCGACCTCAAAAGACCATACTACGCCGGCCACAAGAGCAGCTATCTTGAGCTGATTCCTGAAGACGAGCTCGAAGCCTACGCGAGATTGGAGGATATCGACGGGCCATCTACGCGCGCAGTGTCCGAAGAAGAGAAGAAGGCAGGCATGACGCAGGAGTTGGACCAGATGGCAGCTGCCAAAGAGGAGGATCTCAAGCCGCCAGCGGCACCGCGAAGTGAACATGGCCGCAGTGGCAGTGGTAGTGGCAGTGGCAGCGATACTCTCAAAGTCGACGACTACCTGTCCGCTGGGGGTTCCGTTAGTGGCGCGAGCACTCCATGCACTCCAGGTCTGTCTCTGTCGCGCACAAACAGTTCAGACGGCGTATACGGCAACTTCGACCAGTCCTTCGACCAGGAATTCCCCGTTGTCGACCGTCTGACCATGTTCGATATCTTGGAGAATTTGGCCCTGCCCCAGCGTCTGGAGCGCATGCAAGATGCAGTTCACAACCAGGCTGAGAAGCTGCGTAGTCAGCGTCGAAAGCTGCAGCAGCGTGCCGTGTCGAGCAAGAAAATCGTGGTTGAACAGTGGCGGAAAACGGTGCCTATTGCACCAGATGAGCAGCTGGCTAAGTACCGGCGGCGAATGAGGCTGTCCATTGATCGTCTGAATAAGCGGTGGCACGATGCGAAGACCGTCACTCTCATGGAAAAGATATCCTTCGTGACCGCGTGCTTGAACATCCTCATATCTGGATATCTGATAGGCGCATTTCCCCAGTACTTTCACTATTGGTATACAGCACAGCTTGTGTAAGTGGAGCGTCCCAAATGACCGATTGGTATTAAACTGACCATTCGTAGCTACTTCATGCCTATAAGATGGTACAAGTATCACAAGATCGGCTTCCACTACTTCCTCGCAGATCTGTGCTACTTCGTCAACATGCTTCTCATCCTGGCCATCTGGTTCTTCCCGCAATCGAAGCGACTTCTCATAAGCACATACTGTCTGGCGTTTGGCAACAATGCAGTCGCAATTGTCATGTGGCGAAATAGTCTGGTCTTTCACAGCCTGGATAAGGTGACTTCGTAAGTGTTCCCAAGCCATTGGCACATGCTGACAGGCGGTTTTAGACGACGACGTACGTCCCTAATTTTAAGCACGCTGTTTCAACTAACGGGTTTTCAGGCTATTCATCCATATTATGCCATGCGCGACGCTTCATGTACTCGTCCATCTCATCCCGGAGCAGATGCAGCTTGAGAAGTTTCCGGCCATTCATACGATCAAATATTCCGCTCCCGATGCGCCTGAGCATTACACTCTCAAGGACATGGTCATCTGGGCAACACTTCCATATGCCATTTGGCAGATTTCATACCACTTCATGATCACTGTTCGTAAGCGAGCCAAGATTGCTGCTGGTCGGCCGACATCCTTCACCTGGCTCAGAAAGAGCTACGCGGGCAATTTTCTCGGCAAATTCGTATTGTCATTTCCTGAAGCCTACCAAGAAACAGTCTTCATGTTTATCCAGTACTTCTATGCACTTCTCACAATGCTGCCATGTCCTCTCTGGTTCTGGTATCGATGGGCATCGGCTGCTTTCATGATGGTCGTATTTACCTGGTCGAGCTGGAATGGTGCTACATATTACATTGATGTGTTCGGCAAACGAATGGAGAAGGAGCTGGAGCAACTACGGAAAGAGGTGGCAAGAATGGCGAAGAGCCCAGAGATCCCAGGTCAGGAACTTGTCAGTCCCATGGCGAGCCCAACAGGTCCAACAGGCGACGCGGGCGCAGCTGGGCTGTCAAGTGCACTGGATTTGGGACCACCCGCTGATGCTTCCACTTCCACGTCGGAAGCAGTAGATGGCGGCATGCACAATCGCAACAAGTCGATGGATGGGGCAACGCAAGGAACAATATTATTATCTGAAGGAGCTCAGAATGGCGAAGCAATGACGGCAACTGCTACTCCTGGTTCAGAGCTGAGGCGAACAATGGACGGCGGGATGGCTCTAAGTGATGACGTTCAAAGTTCCATGACCACCGATCACAAGAAGAATGCATGATGACGGTGAACTGTATCGAGTAGGACTTTTTGGCCTTCGCTGTTTCAGGCTGCGAGGAGAGGCGTTCAAATGTTGGAGTATGCTTGAATCCATTCGGCGCCATGATCACTCGCGATATACCCTGTTCGGTCGCTCTGGGAAGTTGATTCCAAATCGGTAGACTGCACACACTTGTTTTGCCAATTGCGTAATAGAATAGGCGGTCTGTGAGATAATTTGCACGATGCACGAATTGAAGCATTTCAAACATGCGTACACTCAAAACTGTATCTCTTTTCTGGATTTGATTAAAGCTATCTATTATCAACAACTTGACCCACGAATCTTCTTACGGACTATACCTTCAGGCAGCATCTGCAAGAATAACCTCCGCAGCCTTCTCCGAGACCATGTATATCGGCGCGGCAATAAAGTAACCTGGAATGTGAGGAAACACAGGCATCCACAACCCTCAGACCTTGTGTACCTCTCACCTTAAAACCCCCATCAAGCACAGCATCCTCATCCCCCTCCGCCCCAATTTTCGCCGTACAACAAGCATGATGTCCCCAAGCCTCGTTTTGAATATACTGTTTCCATTCCTCGTCATTCCGAACATTACGAGTTCCCGGATAATCCTCGGTAAACTTGCCATTCAGAGGGATAAGATCTTGGAAGATTTTGCGAGAGTACTTGGTTCCTTCGACGAGAGCTGTCAAATCGTCCGCCGCGCCCGAGGTGGAGAAGTATCGGAAATTTATCTCTGGCATGTCTTGGGGATTTGCCGAACGGAGGGTTACAGTTCCGACTTCATTGTTACGTGTGTGGGCAGCCAAAGTCACCCAAGTCCAAGCATTTTTGCCTGTGATGGCTTTTTCGAAGTAATTCGGTTCGTAGCCTATGAAGTGCGCTGGCCAGCCTGCGACGAAAAGTTCTGTGGTGTCGTTCGCTGCTACGGAGGATTTCTTAAGGATGGCGAGGGCTACGCCGTTAGTGCCGTAGGTGCCTTTTTCGATTGGGTATTTTTGCCAACGGGTGAGGCAGGGATCTGAATCTCCTTTGAGGAATGTGCAGTCTTTTACTAGATTGATTTCTGTGGGTGCGCGACCTGCTACGGCGACTTCGTAGCGGTCTTGCAGGTTTTTGCCTACGCTGGGGAGGTTCAGTCTTGTTGCGATGCCGTGTTGGGAGAGTTCAGATTCTGGTCCGATTCCAGAGAGTTTGAGGAGCTGGGGGGCGTTGAAGGCTCCGGCTGCGATGATTACTTCACGGGTAGCGGAGACGTAGCCTGCGATGCCGGTGGAGGTGACACTGCCGTCTTGTCGGCGTGGGTCGGCACCGTAGAGCGAGCGTCCGGTGAGGAAGTTTATGCCGGTTGCTTTGAGGCCGGAAGTCTCGTCAAAGCGGATGCTGGTGGCGAGAGTGTCGAGAGCGATGTCGAGCTTGTACTTTCGGCTTCCATCAGACTTGTATTGTCGTTGCAGGCTTGTCTTCACGCTCGTGCAGATCAAGACGTATAATGATGATCTTTGCAGGGTCTATCAAGAAGAGCCAGGATGTGGTGGATTGGATCAACAAGGAGGTGCGAGTAGCACCAAAGTCTGTGAGCGAAGTGTTTCGTCTCGTCACACTGCGAATCCATGGTTGTGACGGGTGGTGAAATGTATGTAACGGAAGCTCAAATGCTGCGCTCGAGGAAAGCCCAGCAGGATGAAGCACTGGCGGAGAAGCTAGAATAGCAGAAGCGAACAGCGTAGAATAGCAATTTCGGCAATAGCTCACTATGGTCAGCACTACCGCCGGCGTGCAGCGTGCAGACATGGTGGAAGCAGGATCCATTGACTATCCGCGAGCTGATCAGGCTTGACTGCACTGTCCGGTGTGGTGCTTGATCTCTCAGAACCCTTGAGCTTCTTATCGATAAGCACCAGGCAAAACACGTCCACCAACGCGTCTCCGTCCGCCACCTTCATCGCCGACAACTGTACAACAACAGCATGGCCACCGAAATGGAGCTCGATCACACATCGCCGACCTCGCGCTCACCATCCCCAATCCAACCACCGCCAACACCCTCCGCGCCAGGCCCCCGTGCAACAGCCCTCCAAAAGCTCTACCACGACGCAATAGCCCACGTCCTAAAAACCTGCAACTACACAAACTTCTCCTCATGTTTCCCAACACCATCTCGACAAGTCCCCGGTTCCGTGAAACTCCTCCACGAACAATTCACCGAGAAACTCGGAGAATCCATGCGCAAAGAATTCGATTCCATCCTCAGCGAGCGCAATGTAATTTCCAGTCTCAACGAACTCGACCGCTTGATCGAAGATGCGAAACGACGCAAGTCTTCAACAACAACGACTGAGAAAGGGGATCCCGTCCCTGCACATACCTTGCCTGCACGACAATTGTACATTTCGCATTTGGCTCCGACTTTGGGAAAGCTTTCCGCGAATGTGGCTGAGAGGCAGGAAGTACTAAATCAAGAGAATGAGGAGACGATGGAGAGGATACAGCAGCAGAGGAACGATATCAAGAGGTTGTTGGATGGGCTGGAGAATGTGGTGAAGGATTTGAATGGAAGTGTGGATGCTCTTAAGCCCGAGGAAATGGAGAAATTGAGGGAGGAGGCGAGGGATGCGGATGAGGTTATGAGGGAATAGGTCAATGGCTAGGTCAAGATATGGAGCATGAAAGATGCGAAGATTTGGTTGAGGTAATGGCGTATGAGGGATGGTTGTGACATTGCTTTCTGAAAGATACCCCCAATTTTGGATCGGGCGACGAATTTGCCGTGTTTAGGGAAAAGTGCAAAGTCTTTGATCAATCGAAATCAAGTGAGAAACTGTCTCGTTTGGCAGCGAAGTCTGTCTGTTTCCAATTCCTGCATCACTCGCATATCTACGGGTCGAATGCAGTGCCAATGCAATAATGCGCTTCTTGTTCGCCAGAACCGCATGCAACGCTGAATAAGTTAAAGCCCTCGGCAAGCAGTGCTGCCTCTTTCGCGGCGCGCCTTACTGGACTCTGTGAGGCTCTCGCATGCTCTCGGACTGCTGCTGACTTACGGCTTGCTAGTGGAGCAGATGTTTGATGACCAACTCGAATCAAGACTTCGCCTTTTCTGACATCGCTGACCCTTCTGGGAATTTTTACTTGGCTGTCTTCGTCTTCTTCTTCGGTCTCTCTACCTTCGCAGCCGTATCGCTTTCGCTTGCATTGCCATCTGCGTCTCCGTCTGCATCCCCCATCTCCTCGTCACTGCCAGCTCCTGAGCTCTTGGCGTCGCTGTCGTATTCTTCAGCAACGTCTGATTCTGAATCGGCCTGGAAGTCCTCGTCGACACTTTCATCGTCCTCATCTGCGGAGCCGCGAGCTTGCACGACATCCTCATCATCACTGCTAACGAGATCGGGGTCGTTGGCAAGGGCTGCTGCGAGCATACCGCTGTCGCCGTCCATCTCGTTCTTGGTCTTGATATTCTTGATCTTAAGGAAGGTTTCCAATGGCTGTTGCTCTTCCCGATTGATGTTGGAGAATTGGTGGTCACCTCCCTGCTTCAATGAAACTGTGATGTCGAATGTGCGGCTGGCACTAACAGCTCCGCCCACGCGACTCATCGTCACGGAAGAGATGTGATCGAACGAGATGTAGGTCGCTGGCTTCGGCACGAACAGGAAAGCCCTGTCGAGGCAGAAGAGGTGGCCTTCGTTGGCTTTGATGGAACACTTGACGCCACTCATCTGGTGATGGCTGGTGAAATCTGCCGAAGGCTGAATCAAGCGTTTGCCAGTAAGACCGTGGAAGATCTTGGAGATGACATTTCCGATAGGAGCCTCGTACTTAGCCTGGAGCTTGCCAGAGTACTTCTCCAACTGCTCGTCGGTCATGTTGAGCTCGATCTGAACTTCCTCATCCTTCTTGAATTGCATGACCAGAAATGGGTATCGGGTCTGACCTTGACGAAGGGGTGGATCGAGACCAACACAGAGTAGCTGATGCATATCGTCCGGCTTAGGCAGAAGAAAGAATCGCTTCGCGCTTTCGTATGAGATCTTGTAGTCGTATGTCTTACCGCGTAATCGGAAGGAGGATTCGTAAAGGTCGATGTCGAAACGTCCACGAGGGGTAAGGTGCAGGATGTCCTGGAAGGTTGCGAATGTGTCGCCAGCCACCTCGCCAATCTCGGCCTTGTTCATGAGTTGCTCGTAGAAGTAATTGGCCGCATTCTGTTCCTCATCTTCGCCTTCTTCTGCATCCTCTCCATCCTCATCGCCCTTCGCTCGCTTTTCTGTACCAGGAATGTAGAATCGGACCTCAGTCAGCTGGTCCACTGCGCCTCCCATCTTCTTGCCCTTTCCTCGTGCGCCTCCTAGTGCGCCGTTTGTGCCTGTGTCCTCGCTGTCGGCTGGCACAGAAAACTCGACTGCGACCTCGTTCTTTCCGGCCAAGTTGGTGTTCGAGATCTCGGTGTATGGAATCTCAAAGGCGGGCTGGTTGCGCACGTTGAAAATCAGCTCGTGCCTGCTCAGCTCGTTCTTGCCCCAATTCCAGCCTCGAAGAGCATGCTCCTTGTGCTCGAACGGCACGCCATACCAGACCTTGAAGCACTTCTGGATTGTGTCGAAATCATCCTCTTTGAAGCCATCCAGCTGCACGACGCCCGCATTGCGTGCGTAGATCTTCATCTCATAGCCTCGTGCTGCTCTGCTCCATTGCGCGCTCATGTATTCGCCTTTGTCGAGGGTGAAGGTGTTGCCTCCGCCGAGTGGCTTCCATCCCAGGCCGGACTCAGCAAGTCTGCACTTGCCAGGCTGCTTAGAAAGGTCGAGATAGATGTTGTCAAAGGACTCCTGTGCTTGCGCGTCAGTCGGTCTTTTCTTCTGCTTCGACATGGTGGGCGAAGGGTTGCGTGGCCTGCGAATGGTTCGGTTTCGGTGCGCAGCAGAACAAGTCGCGAAGCTGCAGTGATAGCTCAAACGGACTTACCATCTTTGCACTTGCCTTCCCTGCTGCAGCGTTTGTCGTCTAGGCCGCAGCCCGCTGCCGCTCTCACGGACTCACAGCTTACCTGCAGGCGAGTGAAGCGCAAACGCAGGCTCGGCTCGCGGATCGCAAAGACGGTCCAGGTGGAGTCCAAAGATCAATGCGCGCGGAATCTCAGTGTGAGCCTCAGTTTGGTGTAGATGGCCGTAGTGGAAAGGCGCAAAAGTTGGTGGTCGATATCCTACGCTCACTGTGCGAAATGCAAGTCGCGACTTCACGCGCTTACCTTACTGAGGGTTGGCTTTTACCTGTCACTCGGCCGCGGGGAAGCCTGCGAGTGCTAAGCAGCTTACCGCTACCAATTTTGTTAGGTACTTTGCTCGTAGAATAGTATATCTTCCTCCCTTCTACGTACCTACGTATATAGTGCATTTTGAAGCTAAAGTTGTCGCTATAAAGTAGTAGTATAGCCGTTTCCGAGGTATTGCGAGGTAAAGAATACGACTAGGTAAAGAGCTTAGCGTAGAACACTAAGAGTTGCTAAAGGACTACTTTACGTAAGGTAAAGATGTCTATTAAACTATAGAGACAAGTCGACTGCCTATCTATAGGCGTACGGTATATAGAGCCCTTAATAACTAGCGGTTATTTAGCGAGATCTACCCTCCTCGTATTATAAAGCGAGGCCGCAAGACTATTCTTAATAATAAGTAAGAGATATTTATTAAGGCGTTATTATCTAACCGACCGGACTCGTACTTCGTAGAGGTAATATAGGCGCTTATCGACGAGTAGCCGGAGCTTTAAGAGGTATTAAAATATACGCATTTATCGAGTGTCTTAAAGCGGCGTAGTTAGAGGCGTAAATCGGTATAAAGGAAGGCAAAGGAGCGCAACCTATTACTAAGGGCTCTATAGATATTCAGGTACGCTAAATGGCCGGTAGATAGGCTAATATTTATCGACGAGACTGCCTATAATTAGAAGACTAGTTAGCGGAAGTATAGATAGTCTCCGAAGGGTATTAATTATAGAGACTTCCGGTACGCGCAGCGAGAAGTAAGGTAGTCTATACTACCCGCTTTTACTATTAATAGCTATCTACCTTATACGATTAGTCGATAAGGCTCGATAACTCGAGAGATCTTCGTCGCTTAGTTAACTAAATAGGTAATGCCTTGCCTCGAAGGCTATCCGCCGATAATCTTTATAATAGATAATACTAGCATCTACTATAGCTCGGAGGTAAGAGAGGCGATATTGTTAGCTAGTTACTAACTCGAATACCTGCCTCCGTACTTACCGGATTTGAATCCTATCGAATAGACCTTTAACTGCTTAAAGTGCTATATTAAGAGGCATATTCGAGACGTAGAATGCTTCTTAAACTTCGGCGACTTCTTATATTATTGCCTATAGCGATATTAAGGGCCGAGGGCGTAGAAACTCTTCGAACATGCCGGATACAACGTCTACTACCTAGATTTCGCGTTTTCTAAAGAGGGCTTCGTTAGTGCCGCCGGCTATATACAAGATCTAATAGGTCTCGATCCGGAAGAGTCTACCTAGTATAACTAGTGTCTTTATACGCCGCCGGCGTCGATTAGTAAGTAGATTAAGGATATAGATAGCGACGAAGAATCTAAAGAAGAATAGGAGTAATAACGTAACGTAGCGGTAGAATACGCTAGTACGACTAGCGCGCTCGAGCCCGAGAAGTGTTGTAAATGTTCGAATTCTAGGCTTTTATATAAAAATGAAATCTCAATATATAACGCAATACAATACTAGATATTTAATATATAGAATGTGTTTAGTCTAATTAGTCCGCGCCTACAATAATTACAAAAAATAATAGTATAAACGTTATATAGCACTGCGAGAAGTAGAGCCTAAATTCGTACTTTATATAGCATCCTTAGCTCCGGCTAGCTCCGCCGCTATAATCTTATCGGCTTTTAGTATTAGGAACTTCTCGATTGCTTCCTTTATTCTATACCGTATACTCGCCTTTGTTTTAAACTCTTCCTGCTATTGTTTCTTGCTTATATTAGCGATAGTAACTAGGTCGAAGTCCTCGTCGATATAGGTCTTCTATATAGCTCGCATTTCCGCCGAGTCGTAAAATAGCGGTGTCTCGAGTGCCTACTAGAAGAATCCGACCCTTAGCTCCTTACCCTTCTTTAAACCCTCCGGTAGCACTATCGGCAACGATATATCCTTTATAAGACCTAGTTTTAGCAGGGCACGAGCTAGTGTCTTCGAAGGAGTCGTAGGAGTGAATCTAGGTCCTATAGCTGCTTAGAAACTAGCCGCTACTTTGTCTCCGAAGATAATATTAATAGGAGCCTAGACCTTCGGGCGGGCTTCTAAAGCCTCGCTATAACCGCTAGCAACGCCCTTCTTCTTTAACTAATTAGCGACCTTCTTAGCTATATCTCTCTCGAAGTGCAGCTTAATTATTATAATAAGGACCTCTATATATATCGGATCGCTAAATTTCTACTAGCCTTAAGCGATCAATCTTGCTAGTAATTTAATCACTTCGGAGGTTATAAGCTAGTACTTATTAGGCACGTCTTACTTGTCCGGATTGCGCTAGTAGCAGGTCTTAGGTCCTTTAATCTTAACGTTGCGACAAGTGCTAAGATTATACGTAAAGTAAGCTCGAATATTAACCTCGAAGTTACCCTTCTCGTTTAGTTCTATTACTTAAACGTTAGCGAGAGCGGCTTGCTACTAACCTAGCGTCTTACTAAGAGGTCTCTTGCTAGCAGCCGTACCTTGCCTCTACGCTAAGCTAACTAGACCTACGCTAACAGGCCTTGGTTTAGTATAGAAGAATATATTAAGTTAAGGGTTAGTTAGCAACTCCTCGTCGATCTAGTAACCGAGACGGTTAAGGGCACGGCTATAAGCCTTGTCTTCTTCCGTAGCCTTATTATTATTATTATTAAATAGTTGCAGCTAGGTCTCTTAATGATAATCCTTCTCTTTAACCCCTTTATAATAAGCCGACAAAGTTACCTTTAAATAGCGCTCTAAGCTATACTTCTCGGTCACTTTGCCTGCCTATTTGTATCTATTCTAACCCTCGGCTAGATCCGCAACGTCGAAGACATTACGCTTTAAGGCAACCTACCTATCTTCTTTAGTCTTCTTCGTAGTGTTTATAAGGTACTAGCAACCTCTATAGTCTATTAAAACGAGGCCCTTCTTATTAGTAAGCCGCTCTCGAATATAGCTCTCGGGCGTAAGAGCTATATTGCTACGACCGAGAGCCTTTAATCTTCTAGTCGCAGAAGAAGACTAAGACTCGAAGGACGTCGTTATAGAGCCGCCTATCTTACTACCTGTCTTACCGCTAACGTTACTAGCTACCTCTTTAAGCGAGTTAAGCACTGCTTATTCCTTAGTACCGGAAGCCGTAGTGCCCGTAGTAGAGCTATTATTCACTCTATCGATTAGCGGTACGGATTTAGCCGTAGGCTTCTTCCTAGCCGGATTAGCTATCGGCGGCGGCGTAATTAGCTTCTCGAGCGTCTTTAAAATAGGCTTCTTCTTAACCGTAGCGGTTACCTTAGTTAGACTCGTATCTAGTCGCTTAGGAGCCTTGCCGGCAGTTAAGCGAGTCGTACGACCTTCTATTAATACTTAGCGGCTTGCGGAATACTCTCGTTCTTAACCCTAATCGACACCTCGGCGTAGGTTTAAATAAATTGGAACTATTAGCGCTATTCTATATAGTCTTAAGAGCATCTATATACTAAGTTTGCTAAGAGAGCTGCTCTTAGCACCCCTAAAGCGTATTCTCGAAGATCGCGGCTCTACGGACCGAGAGTAATAGGTAAAAGCTAACCCTTAGTAGCCTCGATACCGAATCGGCACTAGCACGTATACGCAAAGTAGGTTAACGCTTCTATATGCTACCTCCCATTCAGGCGCTTCGTTAAATACTCGTATATTATATAAGAGGAAGCACGTAGAGGACTATAACTAATTAGGTTTAGCGTTGTTTCTCCTATTCTAGCGAAGTGCCTAACGGTAAACCGCTAGGAGCGGGTAGTGCTATAGAGGTTATAAGAGGCTTTATAGGTCGTAATCTATAGTACTTTTATATAGAATATATATCGTACGAGACCTAGATAAATAGCTAAACTTATATATCGCGTAATTATAATATAGAAATACGAAAATTAAGAGTATTATAGTTAGTATAAGTAAGGTATATATATAGGCTAGCTATAGAGCCTATCCCTATATATAGGGTAGCGTCGCGAGATTTAACGCCGTATATCGTATATCTGTCGTACTAACGTAATTTTCGGATCGCTATATTCGTAATTAGTAGCGCTATAACCTCCTAGTATTATATTATCGTAAAAGTAATATCGCGTTACAATTGCTATACTAGCCTCTATAACTATACTAAATCTAAGCGGTTATCCCGGGCCTATAGACCTCTAGCGAGAAGAATTAGGGGTACGGTATTTAGTTAGTTATTCGGATAGTCGGTACTTTAAACCCTAATTCGTACTGTTTTTTAAAGTAGCTACGTCCGTATACCGTCCGTATACCGGAATATACCGTAGGGGATTAACTAACGTAATAGATAGAATATACTAGAAACGGCTCTATAGGCATAAAACGCGGGTGCCTAAACCGTTTAAAAACCTTACTTTAAACCTTACTAGTCTCTTTAAGCGAGCTTACTGTATCGTAAGAATCTACTACTATATTATCGATACCTAAATACCTGCCTTATAAGCACTAGTAGGAGGCCTAGCGTAGGTATATATATAGCCTTAGCGACCTCGGCTAGACTAAAAAGGCAATCGTAGCCTTAACCCCTATTCTATATATAACCGTTAGGCGCATTTTGAAAGGTAGGGTTAAACCGCTAAGGAAGGATTAGCTACTTAGAATACTAGACCCTATAGATACGGAGAGATTAGCCGAGGCCTATTTAGACAATCTAACTAATCGAGATAAGCCGTTTATTTAGGTTATAGCTAAACTTAGTATCTACGTACTAAAAGCTGTTATTAACCGCTCGCTTAGGGTATAGGGTCTTAGCCGCTATTAGCGGATAAGAAAGCCTAAAACTTTACCCTATATTCGAGCTAACCGGATTTAATAGGTAACTAATTTCCTATAGTAGAGTAACGTTAGGATACGTTATATCTTAGTACTAGACTAAGTTGCCTTTAGAATTAGTATAGGAGTAGTTAGGCTACGCGACGTTACGCGACTACGGGGTAATCGCGGGGACCCCGCAACCCTAGTTATAGACGAATATAGTAGTAGCTATAAGACCTCTTATTAGGTAGGTATAGCAACCTCGGCAAAGAAAGGACTATTTTAGAAGTAGGAGATTGCCGAATTTAGCAATTACGATTAGGTAGCCTTTATTTCTTAGATCGTTTCGAAAATAGCGCGTTTTAAAATAGAGCTAGAGATATAGGGTATCTACCCTATACTACTTCTCGATAACGCTCCTATATACCGCGTACGCGCTAGTCGGTAGGCGTTAGAACGGGCCGGTATTAGGTTCTTAGCGCTGCCTTCTAATTCGCCGGATTTAAACCCGATCGAGTATATTTAGGCCTAGATTAAAAATAAGCTTCGGCGTATATATTAGATAGAAACGGTCGCGTAGCTAGATCGGGAGATAGAGCGGTTATAGTAAGAGCTACCGGATTACGTACTTAAAAACATAATAGATTCTATACGTAAGCGCTATAAAGCCGTTATTCAAAATAAGGGGTACCTAACTAAATATTAGCAAGAATTGGTTTAGCAATTAACGGGCCGTTAGCGGCCCGCGTTAGCGTCCCGCACGGACGTAGCCACTTCAAAAAACAGCACTGTACAATCTGAGTGTAATTCTTCATCTAGAGGTCTGCCGTGGAGATAGTCTGCATGTGCTTCGGCTTGGAAAAGTGTTCTGGGGACAACGGCTTGCGCATTTCGAGATTGTCCAACGCTTGGACAGGCTGGGCAGAGCTCTTACTCTACGAATGTTCGCACTGGCCAGGACTGCATAAGTATACACGTGATGCAATTCAACGATGCATCGAGCCGACACTTTTTTTTCAAATTATCGATGGCCGCGGCATTGCAAACACGACTTTGCTCAGAAATTGTGCGCTTGAACCGCTCACCACTTCACTTCGTCGTCAACTTTCATGGTCAAGAAGTGCGCTTAGCTGCACCGACTTTCGCGTTGCAACTGTGCTGGACAGTAGTCCCCAGAGCATTTGTCAGGTCCTGTTGTGCCTTGTCCCAATCGTGATGGTCTGGCCTTGGCTGTAGTCCTGATCACTTTACTGTCAGACCAGGATCGCTTACACTGATCTATATTGATCAGAATCCTCTGTGGTGTCACTACGGCAAAGTTGGCTTCCATGTCTCCAATCTCAAAAAGATATCTTCACCAGACTTCGGATGGATCCACCTTGATGTTCTCACCATTCGATCTGACGGTCTTCCGAGCCTTGTCTCTCTTCAAGGGCTTGCGCATGTCGTAAGCATCGCTCCCATCGTTGTAGTAGTCAGTGATGCGGCGATAGACAGAATAGCTAGAGCGAAAGTTAGCAGTCTGGAATTGGCAGCTTGCAAATCACCACCCTTTACCCCATTTTCTTGTAGAGCTTGATGGCTGCCTCATTCTCAACCCTGACGAAAAGGTCCACAAACCAAGCATTCTCTTGGTCGCCGACGCGCTCAACCGCCTCTGAGAGCTTCGTTGCATAGCCTAGTCTCCGTGCTGAAGGCGCCACTGTCAAGCATGTGATATGCGCATGCCATGGTAGATAGTTTGGAAATTTCTTTTGGTATATCTTCATGCCTGGGTCATATGGTTCTACCGGCGCTGGATAAGGCGAAGACTCAACCTTGCCAAGGACTATTTGCTGCAGTCAGCATTGTCTCTCCGTGAGTTCCGCCATCTTTTCTGCCTGGCTGAAGACGTACTGTACGCTTCGATCTGTCCATTCGAGCCTTCGATGACTTTGCACAGATGTGGCCATTTCGTGAAATATTCGAGGTAGAATCCAATGTTGTAAGTCTCGGTCAGATGATCCAGATTGCAGGGATTGAACTTCAGCAAATCCATCGGAGTCATGGGGCGTATGGCCGCCATTTTTGGCACTGACTAATATTGCGAAGTTGACGTTGGTGATGAGGGTTTCGAGCCTTGAATTGATCAGAAGGCAGGGTTGACCACTTCAAATACCGGAAGGGGATTGTGCATATATTTCTGACGACCGTGGCGTGCACAGGTGACAGGTCGAAACTGTCTTCTTGCTTGTGTTCGGATGTAGAGGATGTACAGTACGATTAAGCGAGATGGCGGACGGCGGTGATCCCTGAAAACGGGATCTAACTGGTTAAAGCTAGCGTACTGCCTAAAGCAATTATCCGTACCTTTAAAAAGCTCACGTCTAACGCTTTCAAGCTAGCTGCCGTTTACGGGGATTACCCCCGTCCGCCATCTCGCTTAATCGGGGTGTATATTGTCCAGGTTGTGCAGTTGATTGTAGGCACTAGGCAGGCAAAATGCTGTCAGGAGCAAAGTTGACGCGCCAATCGGCGGCGAACCGACGGCCCTGGTTCATCACCATGGCGCCTACCTTGTCCCCGTTCCTGCTTGGAGATCCAACATGACCCACTTCACGCTCTGCCCTGCCCTACGACCCTGGAGATCCGTTGAAACTGCTTTTGAGCATGAACTCGGACAAATTGGACAACATATCTAATGCTGAATAGGACGCTAGTTACCATTGTTAGTATGTCCTGCACATTCGCCATATCTTTTACGTTATAGAAGGTATAAGAAAAGTCTGAGACGATTGGCAAGATCCTACATCCTACTACCAATACAAAAAGATAGTCAGCTCTGCGTGCAGCGTGTCTTATGCATACATGGAGCCGCTCAGTAGTGCTTCCTTCCCGCCTACTCGTTGAAGGCAGATCTGCTGTGATCTTCGCAGAAGTCCGTCTACAACACACTGGAAAAAAAAATTAGGAGGCATTGGCACGGTCCTCATCCTAGCCTCCGGGCACTCCATGTATGCATATGACACCCTGCAGTTATATGTATACTCCAGTACGCTAATTGGGTGTGGTTGGTCCTGTAACCAAGTGGCATAAGAAAGGTATATGCCTGTTGGAAGGCCTACTCAGTTCCACTTCTGGCCTTCGATTTTCGTTTCATCTTCTTCCAGCAATTACAGCATCATGGCAGTAGTAATAGGGATACTTCTCTACCCTGTTGGTCTAGCAATCTGCAACCTCTCCTTCCATCCTCTAAGTTCATATCCAGGACCATGATTATAGCGAGTGTCCCCTTCGATTACCACATCGTTCGAGGCACCCTCCGCATCGGTCCCAACGAGCTGAGCTTCGCGGACTCCCGTGTCTGGAAAGATGTCTGTGCTCACAGGCCAGAGTTCCAAATGGCTCTTACAGCATTCTTGGAGCACCTCGGGAGGAACATGCGAGATTTCGACGCCTCAGTCTTCGATGTAATTGGCGAACTAGCATGGGGAGAATCGTTTCACGGCCTCGAAGAGAGACGCGTTCACGACTGGGTGTCTGCTATCCTCGGAAATGTCAAGTACGTCATTCAGGTAGTCGTGCTGCGAAGGCATGCTCTAGGGCGATTTTCGTCCTGGCTCATAGACCCAGAGGTGCAAAGGAAGAGGATGGAGAATTATCAACTATCCTCCGAGCTGCAGAGAAGAGGGATCAGATGGGAGGGCCCATTGCTGGTTAGACTGAAGGCACGAGCAGACGCATAGAATTGAAAAATTGCGTGATGCAGCGATGCGATGTCTCGCAATGTTTGTTTCCATTTATATCGCGTACCGTCACATCGCGATGAATAATGTATTCTTCGTTGCTGACAGCTGCGACCAGATTGGTTTGGCATTTGGCAAGCAAGCAGCATCAGAAGCACATGATCAGACTAGGCTGAAGACAGCAGTACTTTGACCATGCGTCCGCCAGATCTCACATGCTCTAAAAATCCTCTTCGGACGGCAATCGTGTCGTCCAGGCGGCGCTCGAGCGAGTAGTCATATCGTTTCGTCAGGGTAAGAATGATCTAGAGCGTGAGAGGAGCAGGCACTGCACCGAAGGAGGAATCGCCATTCATGCCAGCATCCTCGGATTTCATCGTTCCATTCAAGAGAGGGCAAAGCCTTTGCAAGTATCTAGGTCAGCTAGGGTTCGCGATGCACCCTCAAAAAACAACAAGGATATCTTCTCATCCAAAGCAAAAAAAAAGCAGAAAGCAATAAGTAGAGCCACCACTCTCTTTCTCAAAGCTGAAACTTTGAGTATGAGCTGGCAACGGCACGAGACGACTCTCCACCATTGACCCCGCCGGAGCGCTTTGCGCCCTTCTTGGATCCGTGGGAGCTGTCTCCTCCGATAATTTCTTTCATGTTGCAAAAGGGACAAGAAAAGGTTACTGACTTTCGGTTAGTCTTGATATGACCGACTTGTCCGCAGTTGGCGCATTTTCGAGCGGTACCGTCCTTGTTGCGGCCTTTGCCCTTCTGCGGCGTGATGTCAGTTCCGCCGTTCATGGTCGATGCAGGGCCGTCAAGGTCTGAGCGTCCTGGTGAAGCGGCAGCGGCAGGAGAGCCAGCTGCATTCTTAGCCTTGAGCTTGTCACGCGCCTCGCGACGATCAGCATTGCGCTGAATGCGTGCGAGTTCTTTCTCAAGCTCCTGGCGTGCAAAGTTGTCCTTGTCTTTATCGCCGGTTGGCACGAAAGAGGTAAGACTGTCATGAATTAGCTCACTCACGCTTGGTGCGTTACCCGCAGTTACGCACCTTTGGCCTTGAAATTGCTTCTGATAAGCTCGCTTCTTGTACTCGCGGATGACTGCAGGATTCGTGATTTCTTCAACGAAGTCGTCCAGTGGCTCTCCCATTTCGTTCCTTCCTCCTTTGCGAGTAATGACAAGCTTCTTTACTGGACGACCGGCGCTCTGGCCGCTAAACTGGCTCACCGAGTCATCATCGTGACGGGCGAAAGCGGCGGGCGTACTCATCGACGACCGAGGAGTGTGCGCGTAGCTTTGGTTATACTCTGCACTGCGGTCCGGCTCGTCGTCCATCTCGTCGTCGGAGTGCTCGCGTTCGTTGCTGAGAGACTCCTTTTGTTGCTCCCAAATCCGGCGAATGGATTCATCATATTGCTTCTGCTGCTTTGCGACATTGTACGAATGACCACCGTTATCCTTGCGCTTCTTCGCATCCATCTTGTCCGATGCGCTCTCGCCCTGAGCTTGGAAGCCACCTTTCATTGATGTCTTCACGAAACTGAAACCGAGGCCATGGCCGGTTGGATCGCCGTCTCCGTGAAGGGTAAGCATGGCTTTGCCCTGACATGCGTTGAGAAAGTTCTTGGTAGCACGCCACGGCGCCAGCTGCAGCTCGATGTTTGCGCCTTCCTCGATGTCACCTTCACCATCACCATCCTTGCTCTCTGTGATGCCTATATCGGCGAGATGTTGTACACCAACTTGCATGGCGTCAAGCAGGCACACATCTTCTGGTCGAATCCAGCTTCGTAAAGTGTCGGCGTCCGGCACGGGATGACCAGGCTGAGGCACCCAAGTGCCAGTGGTACCCTCACTACGTCCGGGAGCACGCTCATATTTCATGAATTCTCGCATCTTGCTGCGGGTCTGCGGCATATCATGGCCTGGAAGATGAGGCATGAGCGTGGCATTGTCCAACACCTTGTCCTTGCGAGTCTGGCTCTTGGCATAGATGCGGTACGAGAGAGCACGCAGCCGCTTCTTCGCAGCGTCGGTAACCTTGCGAGAGTGTTGGCCCGGCACTTCTGCAAGCGGAAACTGCTGGCCGACGGTGTGCAAGTTTTCCACGTTTCGTAAGTAGAGTGTGTCACCTCTTTCATAAGTTGAGCTAATGCCAATGATGAAGTCAGTTGGCTTAGGCTTGTGCGAGAAGACAGGGGCACGATAGAGCCCATTCTGAATAGTAGGTACAGTCTCTCCTTTGTCAACATGTCCGAAGTTGGCGAAAGGGCTCTTGTCTTGCGGGAGGAGGACCTGAGCTTCGCCGATAGGTTCCTTGGGGCGGGTCTGATCATCAGCATCGAGTTTTCGGTAGTAGTTTATGAAGCGGTTGCCCATGCCAAAATTAGACAAGGTCATCGGAGCTTCTTCAGAGTATTCAAGGAGCAAAATCGACGCCGAATCACCCAGTGACAGGTCTTCAGCTTTCGCAAAGACTTCCTTGGCTTCCTTGCCACGCACGTTCTTCTTCTTGATGTGTTTAGGCTTCGTGAAACGGAAGTCTGTATTGAGCTTCTTCGTGAGCGCCAAGGATGGTCGATGGAAGGCACGCTTTGCCTTGTTGTCAAGAGCCACTCGATAGAACGGATATTGAAGCTTGACTGCTGGAAAGCTGTGCTCAACAGCCATGCTGCCGAGTGTGCTGCGGACCTTGTGCTGATGATTCTCCTTTAGCAGATCGTAGGCCTCATCGTTGCTGATGTTATAGCGCTTGGCAATGTCTCTGCTGAGAGCGCTGTCTCGCTTGAGTTCACCAGGCATGCGTTTCAGCTTCTTCTTCTGCCGAGGTGCATGTTCGTCGATGAGCAGATGTGGGTCGTTCAAGTCCAAAGCCACAGATTTTGCCAGCTTGGCAGCTGTATGCTCTGGGTCTTCGAAAGACAAATCGAAGTCGCGCAGAGACATTGGCACTTCAGTATTCAGTATGTCAGTCTTACGCTTCTTAGCTGGCCGAGCCTGCTCAAGCGTATCATAGTCTTCCTCAGAACCAGCATCCTGAGGCTCCAGCAAGTCAGAAGTGATGCTCGGAATGTCCCAATCCTGGCAGATGAGTGCAAGGTCATGCATGGAAACCCCGCCAACCATTTCATGCTCATCAAAATCGCTTTCGGCAAGATCTTCATCACTTTCTTCTTGAGCGGTATTCCCACTGCCAAGGAACACGAAGCTGTTCTTGAATGTGCTGTCCTGACCAGCCTTGTTGTTAGCAGCTAGAGCTTTAAAGCTGCGCTCCTGGTCCTGAAGAAGGTCAAGCGAGAGCTTTGTGGGGAGCACAACTTTGGGAGGCTTGAGCGGTGCCTTCCCTTTGTACTCCACGTTGCGCGGAGGAAACAGCTCGGTAAATCGTGGTGCGTAATAACGTTCATAGCCGGGGTAAAGGTGATGGAAAAGTGCCATGTCAGTGTCCACGGCGCCATTAACCACGTCTTCACCCTTCGCCCTCGCCGCCGATGCCTTGAAAAGGCGACGCTGAAGGGCCACCTGAGGATCGAGATCGTCCTCGTCGTCCTCGGTCATGCTCGTGGGTGACATAGCAGAGTAGTCAGGATCCTGGAAGGAAGGCGGGCTCATCGACGTCGATCCAGGTTGCGAGCTTCGACGCTGGGGTTGGCTGTAAGCGTTTGAAAGTGTGGGAAGCGCGAGACTGGACTTCGAGGGCAGTGCTAGCGCACCAGGCCGCTGCTGTGGAGGCGCATGTTGAGGATGTCGCTCTTCTTCTGGGGAAGAGAAGCGCTCGCCGAAGAGATCGTTACTCTCGTCGCCTTCCGCAAACAGGCCATCTGAGCTTTCGTCGGGGCCATGGAAGCCGTTCGTGGCGGGCTGCACTTGGAGACCTCCGATGCTCCCTGGTACCTGGCTGTACATTTCCTGGCCGAGCCCGTCTTCCTCCTGGCCGTCCTCGCAATGCGTAGCTTCCTCCTCGTCTGGTAAGTCGTCATCGTCGCTGATGTCTTCATAGTCGACCGCATCGTCGGCTTTGCCAGCCTGGTCGAACTCCTGATCCTGTCCTGCTGCATCACCCATTCCAAGGCCACCGCCTAGAAAGCGGGCGATGTCATCCGCCTCATTGAAAGAGTCGCCCATGGTCTCATCCTCGATCGCGTGCGGCATGGCGCCGGCGCCGGCGCGATGTAGACGTGGAAGGGGCGGGCGATGCTCAGTCTCGTGGCGCGAGTCTGGTGTTTATTCGTGAAGTTGTGGCATCGCAGGAACTCGGCGGCTAGAAGTCTGCGCCGAGTGAGATTGCGGGGCGGACTGTGGTATTTATACTCGAGCGGCGGTGAAGCTGCAGCCTGGCGCATGTGAGGAGCTGTGCGCTAAGATATCAGGAATGCAGTCGCTTTGAGTGAAGTTGACAGTGACGCTCAAGTCGGCTGTCGGCACATGCGCGTCGAAGGGCCGATATTGCGGAAGAAAGTAGGGCCGCAGCCGCGCATTGCTGCCTTTGAGCCCCATCAGCATCAGCCTACAAGCCATCTGAAAGCAGTATTTGCAAAACACCGAGCTTTGACTTTGCGAGGGTATCTGGACCATCTTTCACCACCCATGGTTGGGGTAGCGCTATTCGATGGAGCCTCACCTCCATCACGTCAAGCAGACTTTCCCATCCATGCCCAACCGGCCGAATGCGAGCAGTCTCATCACAAGTAGCTGAGTGGTAATAGCCGGCTACCTTGCTGCACTAGGGACCTCTATAGCCGGCTCCAATGAACGCAGGATCAACTCTAACCTTGTTGCCCTCTATCCGTCTATCTACTGGCTGCACGAATAATAGCCGTGCACAGTAGTTATTGTTATCCGCTATCGTCACCGCTCTTCCGACGCTTGCGGCTGGGAAATGGCTGCCCGTGGGTGCGCACTCTATCGACATTGACCCATGAACCCCGGCGCATGCCCGGCCTTGCGAGAAGTAAATCAGATTATTATTATCAGAGGCGCTCTTCCTTCCTACTAGGTTTATAGTCATGGACTTTGAGCAAAATTCTGCCGGTCGTTATACAATGTACGCATTATGATGTTGCCTGCTCCGGTACTGGCGACGAAGCGAAATGACGATAGCGCGCGGGCAAATCCGTCTGGCACGAGTCGTCTACAGTCTCGCTCGTCATCAACTCTTGTCTCGTACCTCGTACGCGAAACACTCGTGGATGGGTGGTGGGTCTGGCATATCTGCTGCGTATTGTAGTGTCGGTGCTTTCTCACTCTGCCCAGGCGCCACTTCGGCCAACCACTGTGGCACTGTCCGCGAGGCCTACAGCGTCTTCGCGCATCGGAAGGCTATCAATTTTGCCCCATTCTGGGCTAGCAAGGGTTTGGGCCAATTGGAAACTCGGCTTCACTGTTAAGCGTGAAAGTAATAGCCCTCCGATGCGCGAAGCCGCTGTAGTATGCTGCAATGTTTGCCCGAATCATCCTATTGCAAGCAGTCGAGGCGGGCGGCGGGCCGTGCTGGTGGGCAAATGATTTTAGTGACGGGTTTCAACTTTCGTATAATAACTTAGCTGTCACACGAGCCAAATGCGATCCCGGCACGTCGGTCCCCAATCGAGCGCAGCTGGCCCAAGCCCAATCCCAATCCCAATTCCAATCTCAGATGATGCAGCTGCAAGTTGCCAGCAAGCACCGGCGAGCGGGCAGGCATGCTCGCTCAATGAACTCGCACTCCCTTCGCCGGCACGGTACGGTACGTCCAAGTCGACCTAGGAGGGCATTTCTCAGCATCCTCCACGATCATGGATCACAGCACACGCACTAACCAGCATTCCTTATGCAGCCTCGCCGTTCCTGGCGTTCCATTGATCACTGAATAATAGTATCAATGGTCTAACGGCTTTCTGGCATGGCTCGAACGATTGCAGAAACTCCAAATTGCGCGGTGCAAAAGTTGGCCACGGCCGCTGAACTCTGTTCTACATTAATAAGTGGGTAGCCGACTCCTATATGCACATTAAGGCCCTGCATCGCAATTCTCCACTAGTAATCTATTCCTTTAGCTTTGCGTCTGCTGGCCCGAAAACATATACCTAAGAAAGTACCTCTGGTACCTTCTTCGCGCTTGTCGCTTGTCCTGCTCGCACATGTTTCTCGGCTTTGCCTGCCTCCGCGCATCCAATCACTGATATCTCTTGGGTACATGTATGTCTCGCGCGTGCAGACGCTCCCGTCCTGCATCGTTTCTTTCCTGTGCATTATTGCCTTGCCTTGCCCTGCCTGCTTCTCTGCTGCACCGCCGCTGCTCTATTTGCCCGGCCTCTGCTGCGACAGTACATCTCCCGGGCTGACCTGAATGCAGACATCATCTCCATTTTTATTGATCGCCGACTCGGGACCGTTGAGAGACGTCGTGGGATGCTGGTGATGCGATAGACCATTACACAGCGTTTCGGTTCGTCGGTGTCGGCTGGGAGGATGGACATGGAGAAGTCGGCTGAGAGTAGTGCGCATCGTTCGCGAGCAGCATCAATGACCCACGACATTGCTATCCGCGACGCCGTGCCACCGCTGAATCGATCGGCAATCGAACAGCCGTGTGCTCCTACTTTCCATTCTAACGGTCCAGACCGGACATCCAACGATGTCTGGGCGAGCGCCATATCTCGCCTGCAAGCTCAAGTATCCTACAATACTGGAATGCTGGAGACCCATCGACGTCAATTCGCCGAAATCGAGAGTGCAGTGAGTCGGCTGCATCAGCACATGAACGAGGTTGTGCAGGCTCTCCACGATATTCGAACCGAAGTGCAGCAGCGTCCTGCTGCCGCTGATCATCATCCAAGACACGATTCGAATGATTTTGAAGTTCTTGCTGGCCAAGTGCAGAGACTGACCAGCAGAGTCAATGAGATCGATGGATTGAGCATGCAGCTCGAGTTGATGAAGAATCGTGTGAAACGAATTGAGGAGGGTGCTTCTATCCCTCCTTCCCTTCCTGTTGGGCCGCCTACCTCAGGACAGAGAGAACCGCTTGTTCGTGAGCCTACTTCTATTTCTGGAGCCCTACATCTTCATTCTGCGCCGTCGCATGCTCCGCTCCCTTCATTTGCAGGACCGAAGCACCAACCACTCCCACCGATGCGCACGGGGTCGATCTCTTCCCCGGGCACAACCCGTTCCGGTGTTGTAGATTCTACGATGATGGAGGCTCAATCCGCGCATCCTTTCAGGTCATCAACGGAGTCTCGTTCGTTTTCAGGCGAGCCAAGTGCTCAGCCTGCCGGATCTTTCAGAGCAGCAGAAGCTCTGCCGCCTCCATCTACCTTGTCTGGCTGGCGACCGGCTGACTCGTTTCCTCCACACGGCGCATCTCCACAGCACGGTACACTTGGCGTGAGACCATCTACCATGGAGCCTGAGGCTCACGGGGCTCCAGGCGGTATGACGAGTGGGTGGGCTGCAGTCAATTCCAATCCAGCGATTAAACGGCCGCCAGAGGACAGAGTGTCTCCTTACGACTCGCCCTCAACAGATGGCTCGAAGAGACCTCGATTGGCTCCCTTGATGCCGAGCATGCCAGGTGCACCTAGGGCTGGCTTCGCTGAAGAGTCGTACGTTCCATCACAATCCGCATTTTCTTCCACAGCGCCATCGTCAGAGGCACCTTTCCATGTGCGTAGTCGTGCTCCTTCGGAGGGTTCTCTGCATCCATCCCAACCGCCTCCGCCCGTAGCTCCTTTAGCTGGACAGCACAACTTTCGCTTCATTACGTCTACGCAGCAGTCAGAACCTCAGGATTCCATGCCATGGAGGCCAGAGTCTGAAAAGCCGTCGCCTCCACATTGTCACCCCAATGGTGGACGTGGAGGCAGGGGTCGAGGCAGAGGCCGCGGTCGTGGGAGAGGTCGAGGTGCACACGGTCATCGTCATCACGATGGGCAAGAGCATGGCACGTCAGAGTGGGAGAAAGCAGAACATGGTGGTAGCCTCCTATCCCAAAATGGATATCACGGCTCAATCCCATCTCACTCACCAGTGATCAGACGTGGCAGTCAAGGACCACACACCCACCATGAGTTCCCAGCAACTCCTGTCAGTAATACCGGAAATCACGATGGATATGGCGCTCATGGTGATGCAAATTCTGCCAGCGGAGGCAAGAAAACACGGACGAAACCGATCAGGAATGCTGAAGGCATCTTGATCCGCAAAGATGGAAGGCCAGACATGCGAAGCGTGAGCTCGGCAAACAACTTACGTAAGGTGCATGCTAAGAAAGAAGCAGAATGTGCTGGGGAGGTGGAAGGTACGTTTATCATTCGAGCAACTCCTGACCGAACACTTTCTAACAAGTCTTTCAGAAGACGGCGAAGGCATAACAGGACCAGGCACGCCAAACAGCATGGGAGCAGGAGGCGACGGCGAAGGATCCGAGGAACCGACCAGCGACACCCAAGAGCGACATCGAGAGCTAATGAACAGGATCTTCGTAAACAATCACGAAGGCGATACCAGGAGAAGCGGCGAGCAATATTTTCCGCGAAACGAAGAACTGACACCTGTACCATCAACTTTGAAAAAGGAATCCGGAGGCCTGAAGGAGGAAAGCCAACCCGCGCCTGCGCCTGCGCCTGCTCTTGCACTTGCACTTGCACCTGCACCTGCACCTGCTGCCCCTATTACCAAGCCCACTGCACAGCCGGACGTGGTAATGAAAGAGACTGGAGAGTCGCAAGGCGAGGAACGAGCCCGTGAACAAGACGCGCAAAGCGTGGTTCAAGAGCAACGTGTAGAGGGAAGTGGCATGCAGCAACAACCTACCGCTGCAGCCGCGTAATATGTTATCGTGTGTGCGAAAGCGCTCGATCTGATTGCATTGCGATGTGAAGTGGGTATCTGATTGCATATATATTCGACCAGCGATACCCCAGAGCGAAGCTAAAAACCGCTTGCTATTATTCCCGCAGAAACGAGCCTGCTCATGCTGATGGCAGCATCAAAACCCCCCTACACGATGCGAATGCTGCATGTACTCATTCTCAGCATCACGCGCGAAATTCGCGCCGATGCAAGACTACTTGATGCCCATGAAAGCGATGCCTTTGCGAGCGGTATCGCAAGCTCTTCTCAGCTTCTGCTCTTCGACGTCAGTCCACTGGACGCTGAGCTGGTCCCACTTCTTCACTTTGTACTCCTCTTTAAACTTGTGATTCAAGGCCTGCATCTGCCGAAGAGCTGTCGGATCACCCGAGCCGCTGTAGACAACAAATGCCGTGCATGGCGTGAGGGCTTCATAAATTTCCCGAATGCGTTCGCAAGTCTGCTTCACAACAGCAGCAAGCGACAATCCAGAAACGCGATCAACTGTGGATGCACGAAGCGCATCACTGTCGACCAGTTTCGACTGATCCCACCATCCGCAACGAGCTTCAAGTTCCCTAAAGCGAGCCCAGACAAAATCGCATCCCCCTTTTGGTACTTTTGGGTCTTGGTAACCCTCGGCATCTAGAGCACGCTTGATACCAATAACCACATCTGCATCACTTTCACAGCCAAAGGTGACCTTGGCTTGTTGACCGTAGCCGCGTGAAGGCTCGCCCCAGTCAACGACAGCGGATACCTTAGGCTCATCATCTCCAGCAGCATTAACCTTGTCCCGCTTGGGCCGTATCGAGCGAGATAAACGTTTAAAGATGCTTTCGCTACCTGCCTCTGGCGTACCCCAGACTTTGCCCTTCTCGGTCTTCAGTTTCACAAGGTCTAGGACTGCCTTTGCATCTTCCACGCTGCTATGACCAGTAGAGCCATGTCCCTTTTGGATCTCCCTGGAAAGGTACTTCTGGCATAGCCATTTCAGAGATGACTTCAGCGGTGGACCTCGAGGATGTGGGTATAAGAGAGCGGTATCGATGATGTACGGATGCGTGATTTGCAAGGCGTTCAAGTCACTGTTGAGGGAATGGCCGACCAAAATGGTTTGTGGAGTGATGATGCTGGAAAGCTCCTTCTGGATGTCTCCCAGGGTAGTCGTGACGTTCTCCAAAATTGTCGGCGTAATACCTGAGTAGGCAGTCAAGTAGTCTGTAATGGGATTCTCGGGTTTGACAAGCTCGTCAAGTACCACCTGGCCGTCCCAATCAACCAGCGACACCCGAGTGAGACTGAACACTTGCGGCGTCACGCCCTTGGGTGATGTGATGCACATTTCACAGTCCATGGCTAGCACCTTTCTGCCGACAGTGACAGAGCCTTGCTGTATTTCACCTTCTGCTACGGCGCCTGCTTCGAGATTTGGAATGTTCGGGATGTCGACCCATCCATGATCTGTGCTGGTGTTTGCAGCGACACGGCGCGCAACTTCTGATGCTGCCGAAGACGGATCGACATAATGCGCGGGATGCAATGTGTAGCCTTCTTCCTCGAGTTCTTCTGTCGTGGCCAATAATTCTGTTACTGGTGTCCGCCGGTTCTGCCAGGTCTTGCTTGCTGCAGGTGGCCGTGGACCTTTGGATCGCTTGTCTTCCTTCGGCTTGACGATAGTGGTGATCAACATAGCGGCAAGAGGAGAATGCAGCTTTGCATATTTATCGTCGCCCGGGGTCTTGACCGGCCAAACGTGCTCGAATACCTCTGTCAACGGCTGCAAGGGACTGGGCAGGCGGTTCTGATCGAGCTTGGTGGGATAGAAGTCGTCTGGCGAGCCTCTGCTTCTGCCATGATTGACTTGCGTCCAATCATCGGTACCATCGTTCTGGGATGCCTCTTGCTGGTCGCTGCTTGTTCCAGTCGTCTCGTCGGAAGGTCCCTCTGTGCTCAATGGCAAACTGCCATCAAAATGACCCGACTCGAGCCCAGGAACCATAAGGGCGACGACCTTCTTGACCGAAGCATGATTCTTGATGGAACACCACTGCGGAGCTGTTCCATCTGCAAGCAAATACAGGACCAGGTTCTGAAGATCATTGATTTTGACATATGAGTTTAGGCGAGCGTGAGGTGAGTGCGAGATGGAGGGATACTGGTTCTCCTCCTTCTTCTTGCGCTTTCTCGATCTGCTGCTTTCGACCTTCCGCCACTCTTCGCTGTCGCCGTCGCCTTGGCTGGTTTGTTGGCCATCAGGCTGTTCTGGCGAGCTTGGCAGGTTCTGGGCTCCTCCGTCGGGGCCTCGAAGTAGCGCAACCGTGTCGCCGATGCCCATTAGATTGTCTCCCTCGAACTCGTCACGCGAGCGTTTCCGGCGGTCCATCTTGCTTTGACGCGACCGACGCGAGAGTGGTATTGTGGCGGCCGTCAATTGAAGACGAACCTGCATGGATTTGAAATATCGGGAAAGAACTCCAGCCACATCTGCAGCCGCGGGTCTGTGCATTGCAGGGGTCACAAAAACTAAAACTTGCTGCGCCATACCGTACATTCAGCATTCAAGACATTCCGTGAGCTCACCACCGCATCTTCGGCAGTCAAGACGCGACCGGAAGTCTTGTACAGCATTGTATCGACTGTCGGCGGTCTAAGCATTCAGTGCTGCGATCGCGTCCTCGTGTCCGCTGAAGACCTCTCCCTCCTAGGGCCTAGAGCCTGGGAGCACCATCTTGGACAAGGCTCTCTCTGGAGATGGCATCTCTTGGCTGGAAGCGCTGGACTGGAGCTATAGCATTGGGATCTACTGCACCTTTCCTGTTCGCATTTGTGCCATTGAGCCCGGAAGAGCGAGCAGCCAAACGACAAAGATTATTCGACGGTGTCAGATCAAGTTTTCAAGACTATCCACTTCTTCAAGAAGGAAGCTTAAGCCTACGTTCGACCCAGGCGAAGCCTTTCTCGAACTTACCGGATGAGACATCACGAGCTCTTATTAAGCCATTCGGGTCTCCATTTGGGGGAGACAGTGGCGGATCTAGTCCTGGCAAGAAGCACCCTGGTATGGTCAAATCGACCACACACGACCCCAATGACCCGCATGGCATTGTCAAAATTGGTCCTCACCTTGGTCATAAGCTACCTGGGGAGAGTGAGCCAATTCCGATTGCGAATACAAATTACGCCTGGAAGTCAGATAAGCCGATAGAAGACCTAGAGCAGCACCTTTCCATGCTCAGGGAACGACGTGGCAAACTTGCGCTTGAAGCGGAATTGATATGGGTAAGGGTCTGACTCAACCCCGTATATCATTAAAAGCCCCTGCTAACCTGGAGCGAAATTCGCAGTCATGGCTCTCTGAGAAAGAACTTGATTATTACAACTCCCCTGGCACATCAGAAGACTCTCCCGACAAAGCCGCGAAACTGAGATATTTAGAAATGTTAGGCAGCGTGCACACCAAGACCTGGCTAGAAGCAAGTTCCTGCGACTGGATGATCGCAGACTCGAAGAAGCGCATCGAACAGCTTCGTTCTGCCGCCACGAACAGCGGCAAAGTCAGCTGGCGAGCTGGATGTTCTGATCTCGCCGCGAAAACGTCCCCGAACCATGCGCTCAAGATCCTCAGGCTCAATGCTCAAGGCATGAAGCAGCGCCAAGAGCAACTGGAACAGATCAGGCAGTCTATGGCGCTGAGCATGGTGGATCCGGACTTCGATCAAGGAGATCAACAAGTCTTCGATCCTATCCAAAATAAAATGGTTAGCGAGAAGGAACTGTTCATGAACGCCAAGAATAAACTCGAGGAGCTCTTGAAGGCGACGAATGTCTATCAGGAGACTGTGGAACAAGTCATCGCCGACGGAGAGAAGAGACAAAAGTAGACCAACTCATGGACACCGCAGCATCGGAATGTGTGTATTGGGTAGAGGAAACCCATGGCGGGAGATCATCATTGTATCATGGGCGTGGATCAGAGACAGAGTGATTGTGACAGCAGTGCTCAATGAATCATGAGTTTCACAGACTACCACCCAACGCCTGCGCTAATGTCCGCTACCGGGTATCATACTGGATTTTGTGGTCTGTACCATGAACGCCCTCTTGAACCTCAAGCTCAGTCCTCAACCAATCTCAACCGTTGCAGTATCGTAGTAAGCACCCATTCGTGTTGTGTTTTCGCGTATCGAGGGTCCAGCTGCACACCTGCAGACAGAGCCTGTCAGCCGCAAAATGCTCATTTCCTCGAAGCAATGCGCAGCAGCTTGCTAAATTGTGTAAAGAAGCTCTTGTCCTTTGCGCATTTTACCATTCCCCGGCGAAGGTCCTTCTCGTCATCTCTTGATGTTTTCGATATCCTGCGGACCTCCCTAAGCCCTTCTAGGACAGCAGAGCGCGGCTCAAATATCAAGTAACGAAAGTATCACAAGAACTCACTGCTCTCTTGTGCGCTGCGTCTCAGCTTGCGATTGTACACCTTTCGCTTGTCATCACCTCCCCAATACTGTTCGAAGATTTCCGGATTGACCATGGCTCTCGGGTCGAATGTTGATTCCTTGTCCTCAATAGCGGCGGCAATAGCTTCGAGATGAGATGAGATCTCATCTGGTTTCTGCGGAAAATAGCACAGTGTGCCATTGGAGCTGACACGATGATGATAGATTGGCGTCTCCACAGTGACACGTGGTTGAGTCTCTGGGAAGTCCGGCGGAATGTAGAGTTTGAGGTTAAAAATGCCTCCGTCGAGATTGGTCATAGGCTGCCCAAAGAGCGTGAACTGCCACACGAAGGGGTTCTTGGGATTAGGAAGGGAGATCTCCATGCGCCCAGCGTTCTCGCCTTCGTTCCACTTGAATTGCAGTTGCTTAAACTGGAACGCAAGCATAACGGCTAGCTGTGTACCGTCCATGACTTGTTGCGCACCGGATTGTTCCCATGAGAGTTTCTCCTCGTTGAGCTTCGCCAGAATTGCTTTCATTCGTGAATGCAGATTCTTGTAGGTGAAGTGACCCTCCATGCTGTTCGGTGGATACTCGAACTCCATTCGCTTGAATGCCGTGCCATCTCGCTGTTCCTTTTCGAAGGTCTCAATGGCTCGCATATAAGCATCGTAGTACCACAAGAAACGTCGCTTAATGAGATCTGCAAACGGATCCCACTGTGCTGCGTCGAGTGAGTTGAAGACGGCTTCTGCGTCATACTCGTGCACTGAGGATGGTGTTGAGGTGCCATCTGAGGCAGTCGCTAGCGCTGATGCCAGTGGAGACTCTGGGGGGGAAGCAGTTGCCTTACTCTTGATCTTCTTAAGAACAGGCTCGAGTTTGTCCGGCTGTAGTTGCAAAATGTTCTCAAGACACTGAATGACGCTGATCCGGAGTGTCTCGTGTCGTATCTTGGCAATGTAAGCGGCCGGTTTCGGCTCCTCCTTCTTGTGAGTTTCGTAGCCGGGCTCGTTCTCATACGGATTGGCTGACATAAGACTCTGTATGCTGAGCAGGACGCTCTCGAGACCTTGAGCGCTGCTCCATTCCTCGCCAGGATTTCCGCGCCAGGTACCCAGTATGGAAAGGCATACTTTGCCCTCAGCGTAGATGTTAGGGTTGAAACGAGTTCTCCCACCATTGGTCGTGATACCTAGAGGCGAGACATCGCGGTCAGTGGTTATGGCAGATGTTGCTTCGCGGACACATGTACTTCCTCAAACGCGCATACTGCAAACTCTGGCAGTCGCGGCAAGTCACCCAAATCCACACCGAGAAGCCTTTAGGGATGCGATACTTACACCGTACGGTTGGAGATTTGATCGGATAGTCCTTAGAGAACTTCATGTCGAACTCAAAAAAGCCAAATTCATATGGCGCTGTTCCAGTCAGCAACCACCATTGCATCGGAAACACGTGCTGCACTCACTCTCAGGCGGCCCGATGATGAGAGCACGAACATGTCGAACGTCGCTGTCGCGGCATGCAACAGCAATAGAAAGATCGGTGCCCTTTTGTGCACTTGCTATCTCACGAGTGATTCTCTGGATCGACCCAGCCGTGTTGGAGTTCGACATGGCGGCGTTGGCTCGAGTGTTGGCTGGGGGAGTTCAGTTGCTTATTGGTTGCAGGATGCAGGAGAACATGAGTGGTCGCTCATGGCCAAACTCGAGAGGCGTCTGACCGTGAGCTTGAAGTGTTTCTGTTCAACGATCGCGCGTGTGACGAAGTGAGGTTGTGAATTGAGGAGAAGGAGCAAGTCCTTGGAGTTGCTGGACCAGCTCACAGCGACAAGGATCGAGCTGCAGGTTAAGTGGGTCCACCCTTCGCGTCGAGTCGGCAGGCGCGCCTGAAGCGCGATTGCCTCAGGCCGAGTGACAGGTGTCTGTATTCTGGCAACGCGCTAATTCTCGGGTGGCGCATTCCGTAGAGATCCACAATTGAATAACGTTTTGTGTGCCCTACTAAGACTATAAAATTCGTATATATTCGCGTTATAATTTTAGGAATTTCGAAATTACTACTACCTTATTACCTCTATTATCGCTATAATAGAGGATCTACCGGTTGTCGCTATACCTAATAGCAATAGCGATGCGCTTAGCAATCTTAGCGTCCTTCGCGATAGGCTCTTCCTTATCGATAAGGATATACCGCTATCCTATACTAAATAGATTGTTACTATTAAACTAATATCTAATATATATAGCTATACTCGTATAATAGTCCCTAAAGTAGACCGCAATAGTAGCATCGTTTCTAGGTCCTATTATAAGTGTATTAAGGCTAAGCGGATAGAAGCGGCGGAAGCAAAGAAGAAGAAGGTTAAGGATACTATTTCTAGTCGCCTAAAGCTAGAATATATACCCTTCGAGCCTTATAGGCTTAATCTTATTATATTACGGTACTACGATACTATCGATAGTAAGTCTACGAAGGTTCTTATCTAGCGTACCGATTATCGACAAAAATATACCTATACCTTATAGTATAGCGACGCTCGGCGGACTAACGTATACCTAAAAGAGATAGGTTAAGAGAAGCTAGATAGATTACTACGGGTTAGTTATACGAGAGACTTTTTAAAGGATAACTATAGCAACATTAGTAGCTACGCTATCTAGTATTAGACGTTGTATAACCTAGTAAGAAGCTTACTATACTACAATCGAGATAAGCGCTATATTGTCCCTAGTAAAAGCGCTATTCTACGGCAAATTAAAGAGGCGAGAGAGCGTACGATTAAGCGTAGTTATTATTGCTAGGTCTTCTAGATACAGACGTCTAAAGGCCTTAAATAGGGCATTGTATATACTACTAAGAAGGGTATTAAGCTACTTAAGAGGTATAGCGAGTTCTTATCGTAAGACGCTACCTACGATACTAATAATGCTAGCTTCTTCCTCGTTAACCTATTCGTACGAGACGAGAATAACTTCTAATACCCTATCGCTTATATACTTATCGAGAGCTAGCATACTATTGTTCTTACGACTAGCTTCTAGCACTTGTCTTCGTAGACCGATTATAAGAAGCCTAGTAGCTAGCACCTTAGATAGACGATTGTTAATAACTCTATAAGCGAATAGGCTGCCTTCCGGCTAGCTTTTAATAATAAAGTTATAGTATATCTATACTAGCGATACGTTGTCGAGATTATTAGAAAGAAGTTTAGTATTAAGCGTAGTTATAAGAAGATATAATAGGCTCTATTTAGTGCGCTATATTTTGTAGAAGACCGGACCTAGGCTCTTTAATATATATAGCTTATAGAAGCCTTGCTACTAGGTAGTTAGTAGGATCTATTAGCCGCCTACTTTAAATAAGAGTAGACAATCGAGTACGCCGAGCTCTAGTACGTATACGCTCGACGGGGCAATCTACGCGTTTTATAGGTAAATATAGCTGTTTCTTCCTAATCGCGTACTATAGTTAGAGCTAACTTTCCTCGTAGACGCGCACTACTAGCTATATTAAAGGCTATTATGCCTATTTTAAGCGTAGCAACGAGACGACAATCTATAACTAGTTACTCGTAGGCGCCCTTATATACTCTCTAGATATTAACGACTACTAGTATAACAAAGCCGACGTTACTAAAGCTTCTATACTGCAATTGCTACTTTTCCGCTCCCTTAGATACTCGAGGCTTTAAGAATTGCTATACTATTTATAGACGAAGATTAGCAAGTAGTATAAGATTGCACGTTTACGGTACGAGCGAGGTGCTATTACCTAGTCTCGTTTTAAACCTACTTTTAACAAAGAGACACCTTCTAAGTACCCTTACCTATTCTTCCTTAGTTAGTACTAGCCTTGCTACTATATACTGTTTAATAGCGAGTTTAAGGATAACTAGTTGTCTTAGAAGCAGGTAGACGAGTATATAGACCGCTAGAAGGCAATAGATAGTAGATAAGGCTTAAATAACGCCTCGACGGTCTACGAGGAGTAGTCTAATAGCAATTATATACTAATCGACGACCTAGCTACGGTAGAAGCCTTACTAGAAGGAGCTGCTAGCAACGGCGTACTAGAGCGTAATTACTATATTTTTCTTTATTATATTATCGACAACTTTAAGAAAGACTTCTATCGCCTAGCGAGGGCTACTTAGTTAATAAACAACCTCTTAAAGAAGGACTATAACGACTATATTTAGTATCTTTATAAGCACTATTCGAAGGTTATTAGCGAGGCGATCTACTAACTATTAATAGACTAGTAGCTCGAGAAGGTAAAGTTAGATAACGACTTCTAGTATCAAATTAGCTAGACTTGCGATAACTTTATTAATAACGATATAGTAGATAGCGACAACAGCGACGACGACAATATCGATAACTAGGTCCTTAGTATAATAGCTAATCTAGAAGACGCGACTTATATTAGTAAGATATGGCTTAGTTAATAGGCGCCGCCGCCGCTATCGTTCTCGTTATAACCCTTCTTTCCGACTTAATATACTACGCGCGTATTAAACGACTTCTAATCTACCGCCGGCGGTAATAACATATAGTATAGCAGCAATAGCGAGAGCGGCTACTTACTAACTCGCTACCTAGCGGAAATGCTACCTTCTATGCCCTTCGTACCTACTACGCCGAGCCGTTTACGCTATTTAACTACTACTACCGCCGCTGCCGCCGATAGCGACCTTAGTTAGACCGAGAACCTTCTATAAAATATACTAATCCGACCGCCGCCAAACGCAGACATATAATAGTAGAACAGGTAGTTTAAGCTATACTATAATCTATAGATAGGCGCTATAAAGCGATATAAGACACTACTATAATAGGCAATAAATAAGGAGGTCCTAGAAGAGTAGGTAGAGCGAGTGCGATAGTAGCGATAGCGAGGTAGATAGATAGCTAATTAAGGCAAGAGCGCGATAATAACACCTCTATTTTGCTATACTATTAATAGCTTACTAACACTTTAGCTTTATCTATCGCTGTTACTAGCGACGGCGAGGTATTGCTAGCGACAGCGAGGTATTGCTAGCGACGGCGAGGTATTGCTAGCGTTGCTAGCGTTGCTAGCATCTTACCCGGTTCCCAGCAATATATTGCTATAACGTAGGTTTTGCGTCATTTTGTGGGACTCGCGTACTTCCGGAGGTACGTGCGCTGCCAAGCGTTGCCAGAATACAGACACCCCGAGTGACATCTATCAACCAGGACTATCCAGTCATTTCCAGTTCAATTGACAGCACAGCCTGTGGGCCTGAAACACGCGTCGGCATAACAGGTCTTCCTACGCGTCCGTCTCTGCCTCGCGATCGTACACGATATGGTTGTCTTCGCGTTACTCATAATCAACAAAGCTGGTACCACAAATCCACAGATCAATCTCCTGGACTTTGAATGCTGACCCCAATCCATAGGTGGTCTCATATACAACCGGACATTTGCTCCCGGATTACAAAAGCTGGACTCGAATGACTACCTGATCCTCGCCGGTACCTTCCATGGAATACACGCAATATCACGGAGCATTAATCCGGCTCCGCCAGTTCAGCCGTTACCTGGAAATAGGAGACCTTTCACTACCGGAATCGAGAGTCTAGAGAGCAGTCATTTCAGACTGACGTGTTTCCAAACTCCGACAGGTGTCAAGTTCCTGCTTTTTACGAGCCCGGAGCAGCCGAATACCGACTTGGTTGTGCGGCGCTGCTATGAGATCTATGGCGACTTTGTTATGAAGAATCCATTCTATAGCATGGAGATGCCCATCCGTGTGGACAAGTTCGATCGGGCATTGGGTGGCTATCTGGTCAGGCCGTCATGAAGCATGTCGCCCAGAGACATGAATTTGAGCTTTCGAGACGCCATCCATCCGCCAGGGTCAAATAGGTCACGGTTGAGAGCAGCACACTGCCTGAGACGAAGGCACTGCGTAGCAATAGCGCATGTTCTGCGAGGTCACAACGGCCGACACGGTTACAGCTATCAAACAGCAGCTATCGAGCAAAGATACGCAAAGCTCAGCTTCAAGTCACGAAGACTGACGAAGAAAGGGGTCCTTGCGGCGCGTCGCATTTGATGGCATAGTATTGGAACGCCTGTTTCTAACGAGACATGCATTATGGTTTCGGAACTGTCGCAATGACCTGCATATACACATCCAAAGACTCGGTATGAAATCGCTTGTGTGTGCGTGTCGTGTCCATATCCTCCAATTCATGACGTCTTCAAATGTCCTTGGGTATCCAACATCGTCTCCAACCGCTTAGTTGTCCTCCAGCCTCATGCTTAGCAGCAATCCATACAGCACTCACAGCAGTCCGCGCAGCACTCGCATCCCTCCTCACAAACGAAGCAACAGCAGAGCGTCGCAAGACAGGCGGCTAGGCATCCGCGGTCTTTGCTCTGTTTCTGTTGTGGTGGTGGAGCTTGAGGTGGGTAGCCGTAGTTCATTTGACCTGGTGGTGGACCGTAGCCTTGCTGTGGTGGACCGCCGCTGTGAAGAGCTGTCAGCTTCTGTCTCCGCTCGAGGTGGCTTGCGCACTGCTTCGCGCTTCGCGTCATCGATAGCGGGAACTTACTATGACTGTGGAGGATACTGAGGACCGCCATATTGTGGTTGTTGACCGTAGTAACCCTGGTTGCTCATGATTGCCTTCTTCCTTACTAGTCAGTCAGGGAGTACTGGGAGCGCCAAGTCAAACAGACAGCTTGGCGAGTGCGCAATGTGAGGCTTACATACAGTTGTCGCAGACTGTAGAGATGGGGCCTTTATGGAGGTTCGCGCGATGAGCGACGGGGTGTGGTTTATAGGATCGGATTGTCTAGGCGGTTAGGTTCGAAGGTTTGAGATGGCGGAGGTCTAGAAGAAACAGCTGGCGAGGCGGCTCGAGCTGAGAGCGAGTCTGGTGACGTTTTGACTTGCAGCTTGGTTTCAGTCGAACTAACGGAGACAATCCCAGCAACACGAAAAAGTCGCAAGGCAATTGCGATTGAATATATTCAAATCGAAGATGACGAAGGATGTAGGTAGGATGTCTTCTTTTGAGATTGTGATTGTGGCAGAGTTCGGATCATTGCGTTGCGCGACTTCCGCTGAACATGGATGACTTCTTCACAGCCACCTCTCGTCCAAAGGCGCAGCGGCTTTTGCTTTTCGATTACGACGCGCCAGCAAATTCGCGCCACAGGAACTGCAAATTTGCATGCCCACTTGTTGTGGCTACTGCTTTCTCACTGGCCAGCAATACGACGGAACGACAAGGAGTAGCCGTTACTAGGAGGTAGGCCGAGGCCGCCCTATGAAGCCAAGACTGCTGTAACGACTTTGTCAAGGCTAAAAAAGCTTGTCGCAATGCCGAGATATTGAAAGCTTTCCTTGGCGAGTCTCCGCAGATCGTGTGTGGCGTAGAAATATAGGTACCTTGTATGAAGTCTGTATCTACCTATATTATCGTATAATCCTTGGTGGACGCTGGCCTTGGTATTCATTATCTCTTGCTTACATAATACGTATTTTAAGAGTTACTCTATATAGGAGTATTGAAATTTACTTAGTCTTTTACGCGTTATAGCTAGGCTTAGCGTGCTAATATAAAAGCGCTATATTACCGAAGTATTTATATACTCTATCCGCCCGTTTGTATTAGGCTATTAACTCTGCCCCTAGAGAAGAACTTTACCTAGGTTATATAGAGCCTTAGTATATATTAGATCCTAGAGAAGAGTAAGATCTAGTATAGGTAAACTAGAGAACTAGGCGTACTTCGGAGAACGGGCAAGTATAGGTAGGTAAGAGTATACTACTTTGTATATTTACTCTACTAGGTATACTATATTTACCCGCTACTACCCGCCTACCTACTACTTACTCGCTACTACTCGATTTACTAGGTCCTAATTTAATTTATTTACTCGCGCTCGTATAGAAATAGCTACGATCTAAGCTAGATATAGTTTAAATTAGTATTAGATAGAATTTCATAGAAAACATTTATATTATAAAGCTAAATACTAAATACCCTATTATATTTAAATTTTAAATTTTCTACTATTTTAGTATTATTAAATTTTAATACGAGCTAGATATTAAGAAACCTAGAATTCTAAAGTTCGAATACCTTTGTTACCTTGCTTTTTATTACTATTTATTCCCCTACCTATCCTACCTAGTAGTATATACTCTAGTTTTAGCGAGATTCTTAGAATATTAAAAATTTCAATTTAAAGAACTAGTTTGGTATCTAGCTCAAATTTAGTAATAGATTATAGTGGTAAAGGGTTAGCATTATGACTTCACTCTTAGACTACTGTAGGCATTCGCTGTCAAAGATAAATCGCGGTGCCTTGGCATTCTGGGCTCTGAGACTGTCCAAGCCTCGAAACGAGCGGCACGGGCGGGCCGGCGTTGTGAAGAGGTAGTTGTTTCTCGACGACTTCAGTATCACTGTCTTGTATGATATGAATTCGAGAGCAGAGCATGTGCTATTTCTGTGGATTAGTCAGGGAGCTGCTGCCAGCAAAAAGAATTGGCCTGCGGAAGTAATGTCTAGATATCAGCGCTGACCGCATACGGACCTGGCCTGTCCCGGAATATTGAAGAGCGAGAGATTGAGAACGAGGGCCCAACTTCTTCATTTCCAAGTTGAGCGCACGGAGTTCGCGCAGAGAAGCTAGCTATGCTATGAAGCCAATCAATATGCCGTCCCAATGATGCCAGTCATCGCCTCCATGCAGCCTTCGCTATGCAACTACAATATGGCCAAACAATGCCTCCAAGGTGGTATCACTAGTCATCCTGATCCATCATGCTTAGAACTTCCAATTCCCTTTGCACAACACGCTGAAATTCAGCTCGATCCATTCCCGACGCCTTTGCCAGACGGTACAAACTCTTCACGTCTGTACTTATATGCTGTTTGACCGCAAGCTGTGCTGTATCATTCGACGGGGAGCTCATCTCTGCGGCTCGCTCTTCCAGTCTTTCTACGCTTGAATGGGAATAAGTCGGCGAAATAGGTCGAGGCATTGATAAATGCTCGTGGGCCTTCTCTGGACTTCGCTCTGTTGCAGATGCGTGCGCTGAATCATGCATCTGTTGGTCCGGTTTCCAGCTCGCGTGCGGCTGGAGAGAAGCGTAATAGTCCGCAGAATCTGTTCGAGGTGGAGGAGCTTGCACCAGCGAGTCACCACGCAGACTGCTCTGTCCGAGCTCTGGCTGCTCCTCGTCTGGATCGTGGGCATCCATCGCCGGCTGTACCTCTTGTCCATATCTTGCATAGTAGTCTGCTTCCGCATCCCCGCTCACTGCGTTGCGGTTGGTCATAGAAGGCGGCGCGGGCGATCGTTGTGCAGGTGTATGGCCCTGGGTTTGGTCATAAAGTCCCCAGTAGTCATCGTTCGCATCGTCATACTCTTCTTCAATATGCTGTGGTCGTGCAGAAGCACCATTTGTTGGCGCCGAGGGAGTGATTCTTGGGTTCGCCGCATCGTTGGCCTCGAGTGGTGAATCATACCACTCTGTGCCATCTTCAAGATCGTCCACAGTCCTGAGCTCTGAAAGCTTCCAGCCTGGCTCTGTGCCGCCATGTTCGTCCTTTTCACACCAAACAAAAATTGGCAGTAGATTAAATTGGTCCACCTCAAGCCTGGATTGAAGGGTCTCCTCATCCAGCCGCCTGTACTTTGCGGGACTGACCTCGTCCAGCTCGAGCTCTCCAGATACAGGATGTGGCTCCAAGTTCATGTTCTCGACCGTCGCTGGCAGTCGTGCGCCGCGCTTTGCGTCCCATGACAGCAACGGAAGCCAGCCATCGCTTGGAGCTGTGCTGCTAGCCAGGAAGTTCACGCGCTGTCTGAGGATGGGTGAAAGTAGAGGTAACAATGCTGGCGGCGGTCTGGACGAAACGAAGGATGTCGGGAGACAAGCGAGCAGCGGCGGGAGAAGGTCTCTTGGATTGGGAGGTGGAGCGAGATGCATATTGTGGAGGTGAGTGAAGTCTTGGTTTGTCGGTCTTATGAAACAGTGGCAGAGTTACCACTGCTATTTGGGACGGTGAGGACGAAGGATTCGCGGAAGAGGATGAGGAGTTGTTGTATGTAGCAGACAGTGCCTGTGACGGATAACAACTTAGCTTGGTAGTGGCAGAGCGTAGTCATCAAGAGCGTAGGATATCCGCCGAGAAGCGCTCCAAAGGAGCTTTTCCGGCTATATTGAGAGAATACAGGTGATGGTATGGGCCGGCCGATGATAGCTCTGGATGGACTGCATCAGGAATGTTCCCTCTGGCCGAGACCAATTGGGTAAAGTTGGAGTTGCCGCCCGCCGCCCCACGTGCCAGACAGCCAAAGCGTTCACATGGCGGCAGATTTGAATCGCGTAACTTCACCGTCCTTCGCCGCATCTCCCTCTCGAGTCTCACATTAGGCCCTGTATACTTCTATAGATTGTAGGTTGTAGATTATAGGTTAATAACCTGTCGCTATAATCTGTAGATTATACGGTTATTAAGTAAACGGTTTTATAGTAGATTATAGGTTATTACGGCTCTATTAGGTTGTTAGTCTTAGCTCTTCTACGGACGTGTCCTATCGCGTTGCTAGCACTATAGATTGCCTTGTCTACCTCTTAGTTATTCAATTTAAGCTCTTGTAATAGCTCCGAAGCGTAAACGTCGTCTAGTAAAGAAGAATAAAGCCTTAAAGGTAACAAAGTATCTAGAGCTTAAGCGCTATACGAATAAGCATCTCTAGTTCTATCTCGACTAGTTAATTAAGATTAAGGCGAAGCAGACCGATAGTAGAAACTTCCGGTTAAAGGACCTCCGGCCTATTATAGCGACAATAAGTAAGAAGTTTTAGCTCTAGTTTAAAGACATAGCTCTTAAAAATAAATAGGCTATAATAAAGCGAGAATAGGGTTTCTAGGTTATCTATTTAACTTATATTAGCGGCTAGAATAGATAGCCTCCTCGAGGGACTACTAAAGCCGAAGATACTTATAATAAGGCGTATCTAGAGTATACTATCTTTCTCGAGTAGAAGCTAGCGTAGAAGATAGAAATAGAGGCGCTCGTAGGCGTAGATATCGCGATAGATAATAGCGCTAAGACGGCGGCTTCGTTAGCGGAAGATAAGCTAACTAATTCGATAGGCGGTCGAGGGTCGGATAAAGAGGATAAGGACTCGAGCGATAGTAGTAGCGATAGTAGCGAAGAATCTAAGGACGACGATTAGCTAAGCGAGTACAAACGATAGGTTATTAGGGCTAAAGAGGCTATACGTAATTAGCATGTAACTAGGCTAAGTAAAGCTAGGGTCTTAGTACCTTAGGTAGGGCTTGGCGCTTAGTAATAGGCTAACTTGCCTACCTTTCTCCCTTTCTTTCTAGCTCCTTATCGAATACTACTCGTACCTACTACTACCCTATCTACCTGCTAATATACCCTTCTTATATAGTATTCGATCTACCCTTTAAGGGCAGTAGCTAGATAGTCCTTATTTTAAGCTTTTAGCGGTATAGCTACGGAAACTATCGATTTAACTATATTACGCCTAAAGGACGGGACCTATACGTACTATTCTATCGAAACAACCGTACTAATTATTAAGCAAGGCCTTCTATATAGCCTATTACACTAAGTTAAGCATACTAGACCGATATCTACTAATTCCGCTATATCCGTATCTTAGGGGCTAACAATATATTATTAGTGCTACCCCTTATTATAATAGCCGGCTTATTACGAAACAACAATCGCGGCGCCGCTAGCAGCGCTAGCAACGACAATGCTAGTAGCATAGTGCCTGCTAAAGTGCCTACTAAAGTGCCTACTAGAGCACCTACTAAAGTACCTCCTACTAAAGAGCCTACTAGAGAGCCTGCTAAAGAAAAACCTATAATTCTAGGTAACGACCTAGAGTTGCCTATTAACGACATTCTTAACAATATTGTTAATCAACGATATAGCTAACTAGCCTTTAGCCCTTAACTATTAGGGAGACTTTAAGAAGCTACTTAAAACAGGCTTACTACCCTACGTTAAGAATAACAGCTAAAGGATAATCTCCTCGAGCTCCGTCGCCTTTAGGAAGCCCCGATAACTAAACTAATAGCGGGACCTTCTTTACTACCTATCTAAAAGAAGGACGCTAAACTTAAGGACTATACTATGTTTAACGGATCTAGTCGAAAGCAGTATAACGACTATATTCGTAACTATAAACTTAACTAGCGCAACGCACTAAGAGCGCTACTAGACGACTATTCCTTAGTCGTATATACTATATAGTATATTAATAGCGACCTAAAGCGCATATAGGATAACTATTTCGATTCCCTCGATAATTAAACCGCTATTTAGTAGCAAACCTATAAAACTATTATACTAGACACCCTTAGAAACCCTATACTAAGGCAATAATATACTTAGGACCTATATCTTCGAGCTAAACAGAAGACTAATTAATCGGCTCGCTTATTCGAGGCCTATTTAAAAACCCTTAAAGACGACCTTCCGCCTAAGACTAATTCTATATAGATCTCCGAGATATGCCTAAAACTTAGATAGGAGCTTATTCTCGAATTAGACCGTCGCCGTATATTTAAATAGGCTAACCTAATATATATTCAATTTATAGTCGAGGTAGAAACAGCTAAACGAGCTGTCTAGCTTTAATAACGACTAGAATCGAGGATCCGGCTAGCTAGTACTAACCGCGGCAATCGTAGTAGCCGCGGAGGAAACTAAGGTTCCTACTAAGACAATAATGCTAATAGTAGGAATAGTAACAACGACTGTAGAAGGGGCCGTAGCCGGCGACTATATAGAGGAGGCCGCGATAGGGGCCGTAGAAGGGGCTCGTATCCTTATAACGCTAACCGCTTAACTAATAATAACAGCTACGGCAGTGTTAGGACTAAAGAGGTTATACGTGATTAGCATATGACTAGGCTCGAGTGAAGCTAGGGTCTTAATGCCTTAGGCAGGGCTTGGCGCTTAGCGTTAGGCTAACTAGCCTGCCTTCCTCCCTCTCCTCTTAGATCTCTATCGAATACTACCTGTACCTACTACTACCCTATCTACCTGCTAATATAACCCTTCTTATACAGTATTCGATCTACCCTTTAAGGGCAGTAGCTAGATAGTCCTTATTTCAAGCTTTTAGCGGTATAGCTACGAATAAGACTAATCTAACTATATTGCGCCCGAAGAACGGGACCTACATATACTACTCTATCGAAGCAACCGTACCAATTATCAAGCAAGGCCTTCTATACGGCCTACTACACTAAGTCAATCGTACTAGACCGATATCTACTAATTCCGCTACATCCGCATCTTAGGGGCTAACAATATATTATTAGTATTACCCCCTATTACAATAGCCGGTTTATTACGAAACAACAACCGTGCTGCCGCTAGCAGCGCTAGCAACGACAACGCTAGTAGCACAGCGCCTACTAAAGTGCCTACTAAGGTTCCTACTAAAGTGCCTCCTACTAAAGGGCCTGCTACTAAGCCTGCTAAAGAAGAACCTATAATTCTAGGTAACGATCTAGAATTGCCTGTTAACGACATTCTTAACAACATTGTTAATCGACGATATAGCTAGCTAGCCTTTAGGCCCTAGCTAGTAGCGAGACTTCAAGAAGCTACCTAAAATAGGCTTACTGCCTTACGCCGAGAACAATAGCTAAAGGATAATCTCCTCGAAATTCGTCGCCTGCAAGAAGCCCTAGCAACTAATACTAAACTAACAGTAGGGCCTTCCTCTCTATCTATTTCAGTCTAAAAGAAGGATGCTAAACTTAAGGACTATACCGTATTTAATAGCTCTAGTCGGAAACAATACAACGACTATATCCGTAACTGTAAGCTTAACTAACGAAATGCACTAAGGGCCCTGCTAGACGACTATTCGCTAGTCGTCTATACTATGCAATACATTAATGGAGACCTAAAGCGTACCTAGGATAACTACTTTAACTCCCTTACTAATTAGACCGCTATTTAGTAGCAAACCTACAAAACTATTATGCTAGACACCCTTAGAAACCCTATACTAAGGCAACAATACGCTTAGGACTAGTACCTTCGGGCCAAGCAAAAGACTAATTAATTAGCCCGTTTATTTAAGGCCTATTTAAAGACCCTCGAAGACGATTTGCTAGCTAAGACCGACTCTATCTAGATTTCCGAATTACGCCCTAAATTACGATAGGAATTGGTCCTTAAATTGGACCGCCGTCGCGTGTTCGAACAGACCAATCTTATACGTATTCAATTCATAGTCGAAGTCGAAACTACTAAACGAGCTGTCTAGCTCTAGTAACGACTAGAATTAAGGATCCGACCTACTAACAACCGTAGCAACCGTAGCCGCGGAGGAAACTAAGGTTCCTACTAAGATAACAATGCTAACAATAGGAATAGTAACAACGACCGTAGCAGAAGCCGTAGCCGGCGGCTATACAGAGGAGGCCGTAATAGGGGCCGTAGAAGGGGCTCGTATCCCTATAGTACTAATCGCTCGGCTAATAATAGCGGCAACAGCTATAGCAATCCTCTAACCGGACTAAAGTGCTTCAATTATAATAGCACTAGCTATCTACTAGGCTAATGCGACAAACCTAAGGACTAGGCCCGAATCGACCGTGCTACCGCTAAATACCGAAAGCACCTTTTAGTAGCTAACGCTACCCCTATAGGCTAACCTTCGAAAAAAGAGTAAGCGCCGCACTAACTGTTAGCCTCGTGCGGCGTAAGACTATCGACATTGTGCTAGCTATCACACGTACCTATCTTATATCTAGGCCCGATACTAACTATAAGGCAAAGGTTATACTAGACCCCGGAAATTCAGTTAGTGCCCTTATTAGCTATCGCCTAGCTAAGCAATTAGACCTTCGACAACTGCCTAGGACTAACCTGCTAACCCTTGCTTAGTTTAATAACGCTCGGCACTTGACCTATAGGGCCTACTATGTCTATATAGCCCTAAAGGACGACCTCGGCAATAAGCGCCTACTAAACTTTACTGCCTACGCGGTAGACATAGACAGCCTCCTATCTAAGATTGTTATTAGCAACCCTGTTCTTAAGTACTATGCTATAGTTATAGACTTAGGCAGTTAACAATAGCGATTTGGAATCGCTAGGAAAGAGGACATTAAATACATTAATGTTAGCGAGTGCCCTAATAATATTAGGGTCCTATTTATTAGCAACCTAACTCTAGCCGATCCGACGGCCGACCTGCTCGGTAGTAATAACGATGAACCTGTACCCCCTAATAATCCTGATTAGCTTGCTCGCATACTAGAGCCTATCCGAGAGACCTACATTAATGTGTTTAAACACTACTTAGCATCGACATTGCCTATGTTCAAAGAGACGGATTATAAGATTGACATTATAGAGGGCAAAGAGGTTCCTTTTAGTCCCCTCTACAACCTTAGTAAACGAGAGCTTGCTATATTGCGTAAGTACCTAGAGGAAAACCTAGCTAATAGTCGTATTCGATATAGTAACAGCCCTGCTAGTGCACCTATCCTCTTCGTGCTAAAGAAGGATAGTAGCCTACGCCTCTATGTCGATTATCGTAGGCTTAACGCTGTTACTATTAAAGATCGCTGTCCACTTCCTCTTATTAATAAGACCCTCGATCGCCTTTCTAGTGCCTATTACTATACTATATTAGATATTAAGGACGCCTATTACCGCATTTGTATTCGCAAGGGCGATAAATAGAAGACAGCCTTTCGCACTCGTTATAGGTATTTCGAGTACTTAGTTATACTATTCGGCTTGGCCAATGCCTCTATAACGTTCTAGTCCTACATCAATCGGGCCCTTTCGGGCCTATTAGATCACCTTTGTATAGTTTACCTAGATAATATCCTAGTTTATATATACTCTCCTAACATTGCGGAATACTAGGCTATAGTCCGTAAGGTACTCGATCGCCTAAGGGCCTATAGCTTATACTGCAAACCCTCTAAATGCACCTTTGCTACTAAAGAGGTGTCCTTCCTTAGCTTCCTCGTATTAACCGAGGGTGTTAAGGCTAATCCTAATCGGATTAAAACCATTACTAAATGGCCTATTCCTACGTCAATTAAGGAGCTATAGTCGTTCCTCGGTTTTGCCAACTTCTATCGCCGATTTATTAAGGGCTATTCGAGGCATATAATGCTACTAACTAAGCTTACTAAAACTAAGGCCAACCCGACTAGAGAGTTCAAATAGACTAACAGAGCACAAGCCGCTTTTAACGGTCTAAAGCAGCGCTTCACTAAGGTCCCCTTATTGCACTATTTTGTACTAAGTAAGCAGATCCGTATTGAGACTAACGCTTTACAGTTTGCTATATTAGCTATTATGTTACAATAGGCTAATAACAATTACTAGCACCCGATTGCCTTCTTCTCGAGGAAGATAATTAACGCTAAGCGTCGCTACGAGACCTACGAGTAAGAGCTCCTAGCTATTGTCGAGGCCTTTAAGCACTAGAGGCACTACCTCGATAGGGCTTAATATATAATATAGGTCTATATAGACTATAACAACCTCCGTAGCATCACTAAGGTTACTAGGGTTATAGGTCGACAGGCTAGATAGGCCGTCTACCTCGCCGGGTTTAATTTTAATATATTATACCGGCTAGGCGTAAGTAACCCTACCGATAGCCTATCGAGGCGACCTGATTACGATAGCGAGACCTAACACATTAATTCTTTGTTTCTAACCCTACAGTATAAGATTGCTATAGCCCGTATTGTTAATAAGCAAGCGCAGGATAAGCGGCTTACCGGACTCCGCGACGGCTTGAAGTATATTAATACTCTTGCTATATTAACAGTGCGTATTAAGGCAAGAGCTAAGGATATAGACAGGAGAAGTTATAATAACTCCCTAGTCGACATCGCAATATATAGTAATAGCGATAGTACTAATGCAGTTAATCCGGCTGCTAGTGCTATTAGATATATATAATGCGTACCTCGTTTAATAGCGAGGGTGCTATTAAATAACCTTGTAAATAGGGATAGTCAATCGTTTATAGATAAGCTATTACGGGCTCAGTAGAGGGACGCCTTTGCTGCTAAACGTATAGATAAGCTTGTAAGTAGGCGAAAGACTCGATCTAGTAAGAGTAATTAGTCGATCGACGACAAAGGTCACTTAAGGTTCAAGGGCAGATACTATATCCCCGCTAAACATTCGATCCGATAAGAGCTTCTTAAGCGACACTATAATAGTAAGCTTGCCGGTCACTATAGTACAGAGAGGTCGTACGAGCTACTATCGCGTATATACTACTAGCTAAATAGTAAGCGGGATATAAAGGACTACGTAAACACGTATGCCGTATGTTAACGAGTTAAAGTACTAAAGCACTTACTATTTAGCGAGTTGTCTTTACTCCCTATTCTAAAGAAGCTATTTGTAGAGCTTACAATAGACTTTATTATAGGCCTTCTACCTACTAAACGTAGGGGCAGTAAGGACATCTTCGATACTATCTTTGTTATAGTAGATCGGTTTACTAAAGGCGCTCGATACATCCCGGCACGGAAGGACTAGACTGCTATTAATATAGCAGAGGCTCTATAGAGCAACATCTTCTATACCTATTAGGGGACCCCTAAGGGGATAGTCTCTAACCGGGGTACGATATTCACATCCTATTATTAGAGCGAGATATGCCTATAGCTAAGACTAAAGTATCGGCTATTAACAGCCTTCTATCTATAGACTAACGGTTAAATAGAGAGGCAGAATGCTACCCTATAGCAGTACCTACGCAGTTACATTAACGAGAACCCTAGCGACTAGGTTAACCTCCTGTAGCCTGCAGAATTCGTGTATAACAATAGTGTACACTTATCCACTAAGGTTTTACTATATATAGCTATAATAGGCTAGAACGCCGCCTTACTATAAGATCTATTCACCTCGCTCGAGGCCGAGCGTAAGGAAAGGGAAGCGCGTCAAGTACCCGAAATACTAGCGGCTATTAAGAGGGTTTAGAAGATGCGAGAAATCTATACTAAGATAGCCGAGAAGTTAATAAAGGCTTAAGAGTACTAAAAGACCTACTACGACAAGCACTATACGCTAATAACCTTTAAACAAGGCGACATAGTTATGCTAAGCACTAAGAACCTCCGTATCCGCAAACACCTATTACCTAATAGTAAAACAAGGCCCAAGCTCGCACTAAGATATATTAGCCTATTTCGCATCCGAGAACCGAAGGGCAGTAGCTAGGCCTATTAGTTATAGCTTCTACCTTATTATACTATCTACGATACCTTCTATGTATCCCTCCTTAAGCCGTACTACCTACGCGAAGGGGATGAAGCCCCTATAGAATACGAAGATATACTAGCGGACGGTAAAGAGCTATAGTCTATAGAACGTATCTTGCAGTACCGGACTAGGTAAGGCAAGAAGGAGTACCTGCTGAGATAGCAAGGCTATCTACCTAAATAGGACTCGTAGGAAGCTAAAGGTTCCTTTAAAGACATAACCGAGTTGTTAGATAAGTATTGGACTAGTATAAAGAACAAGAAGAAGGCTAAGGGCCTATAATGTCGCCTAGGAACAATGCTACCCCCGGGGTACTATTAGCTAACTAATTAGAGGCCGGCAAACTAGGACAATAAGACTATACTACTATAGTGAACGCGCGCCGAGTGTTAATAAGCGCGCTATAACGCGTTAACTATCTACTGCTCTTTTAGGAAACCGCCTCTCTACTAACGCGCCCTATAAGGCCCTTCTCCTAGTGTTTAGGTCCCCTCTCTTGTTCCCTTATTCTATCGAGGCCTCGAGGCCTAGGCAATCGGCGAGGACGGCGCGGCCGGCGCGGCTATATTAGTAACGGTGTTACGGAGTGTATTGTTAACCGAAGAAGGAAATCGAAAGCAAGGTAAAGTTAGCGCTAAGACGACTAGCGCCGCTATTGTTAATATTACTTGCTGTTGTCGCTACGCCTATAGACACAACCTTACCTGCACTACGAGCCTAAGGCACCTTAATCAAACTTTGATCAAAACTTTGATTAAAACTTTAAGCCGCTTAAAGGATTGAGCGACTAATAGACTAGCTAACTAAGGGCAAAACTATAGAGCTAAGCTAGCCGGGGTCGATCTTGCGGACAATAGGTTACTCCTCGATTTATCTAACCCTTTAAGCGAGGCGAACCTCTACTACTACACTTACAATAGCCTTTACCTATAGAAACTAGACGAGCTGTGTTTTTTAAAAAGATAAGATAAGATTAACACTTAAAGGCTACCAAACCTAACTAATTAGGGCTAGCGAAACTACGAACAATAATAGCCCTCGTAACAATAAGAACAAACCCTCGGAGCGGACATTTCTAGGTCTTTTAAGAGTAGACGCAAAGAACTCGGTACGACATTACTTAGAGCGGAGGCAGGGCTACAATACCTCGTACGTCTACCTATTATAGTAGGGAAGACGCGCTCGTATCGTAATTAGTCGATAGCCCTTAATTCTTATAGCTTTATGTCCCTTTACTTTATTATATGTAAGGATAGCGCAGTTAGAGTTAGACGTTATATTAGAAAGTAAGGTTTGATATAGTTATATAATTAGGTAGTTGAGTGTTTAATTTAGCGCGGACTAAGAAGCTTGCCGGACCTGCTAAGTTAGCAGCGACAGAGGTTGAGAATGGAATATAGACCGGCTACGAGGGCGCGGCCTTTAGAAGGGAAGCGTATGTTAGGACTAAAGAGGTTATACGTGATTGGCATGTAACTAGGCTCGAGTAAAGCTAGGGTCTTGATGCCTTAGGCAGGGCTTGGCGCTTGGCGTTAGGCCAACTAGCCTGCCTTCCTCCCTCTCCTCTTAGATCTCTATCGAATACTACCTGTACCTACTACTACCCTATCTACCTACTGATATAACCCTTCTTACAGGCAGTCTACTAACCGGATTGAAGTACTTTAATTGTAATAGTACTAGCTATCTACTAGGCTAATGCGACAAACCTAAGGACTAGGCCCGAATTAACCGTGCTTCCGCTAAATACCGAAAGCACCTCTTAGCGGCTAACGCTACCCCTATAGGCTAACCTTCGAAAAAAGAGTAAGCGCCGCACTAACTATTAGCCTCGTACGGCGTAAAACTATCGACATTATACTAGCTATTATACGTACCTGTCTTATATAGGACATATATAGAGATAGCTATAAGACTAAGGTTATACTAGATCTAGGAAATTCGGTTAGTGCCCTTATTAGCTATCGCCTAGTTAAGCAATTAGACCTCCGACAATTGCCTAGAACTAATATACTAACCCTTGCTTAGTTTAATAACGCTCGGCACTTAACCTATAAGGCCTACTATATTCCTATAGTTCTAAAGGACGACCTCGGAAATAAACGCCTACTAGACTTTACTACCTACGCGGTAGATATAGACAGCCTCCCCTCCGATATTGTTATTAGCAACCCTATTCTTAAGTACTACGCTATAGTTATAGACCTAGGCCTTTAATAGTAGCGATTTGGAATCGCTAGGAAAGAGGATATTAAACATATCGATATTAGCGAGTGTCCTAATAATATTAGGGTCCTGTTTATTAGCAACCTAATACCTACCTTAGCTAATCCGACAGCTAATCTTCTCGGTAGAGATAACGATAAACCTATACCCCCTAATAGTATAGACCCTAATTAGCTCTCTCGTATACTAGTGCCTATTCGAGAAACCTATATTAATATATTCAAACACTACTTAGCATCGATATTGCCTATATTTAAAGAGACGGATTATAAGATTAATATTATAGAGGGCAAGGAGGTTCCTTTTAGACTACTCTATAACCTTAGTAAACGAGAGCTTACTATATTACGTAAGTACCTAGAGGAAAACTTAGCTAATAGTCGAATTCGGTATAGTAACAGCCCTACTAGTACACCTATCCTGTTCGTGCTAAAGAAGGATAGTAGCCTACGTTTATATATTAATTACCGTAGACTTAATACTGTTACTATTAAAGACCGCTATCTACTCCCTCTTATTAATAAGACCTTCGATCGCCTTTCTAGGGCTTACTACTATACTATATTAGATATTAAGGATGCATACTATCGCATCCGCATCCGTAAGGGTAATAAATAGAAAACAGCCTTCCGTACCCGCTATAGCTATTTCGAGTATTTAGTTATACTATTTAGGCTAGCGAACGCCCCTACAACATTCTAATCCTATATTAATCGGGCCCTGTTAGGCCTATTAGATTACCTCTGTATAGTTTACCTAGATAACATCCTAGTTTATATATACTTACCTAATATTGCGGAGTACTAGGCTATAGTCCGTAAGGTCCTCGACCGCCTACGGGCCTACAGACTGTATTACAAGCCTTCTAAATGCACCTTCGCTACTAAGGAGGTAGCCTTCCTTAGTTTTATCGTATTAACTAATAGTATTAAGGCTAATCCTAATCGGATTAAAACAATTACTAAATAGCCTGTTCCTACGTCTATTAAGGAGCTTTAATCGTTCCTAGGTTTTGCTAACTTCTACCGTCGGTTTATTAAGGGTTATTCGAGGCATGTAATGCTACTAACTAAGCTTACTAAAACTAAGGTCAATCTATCTAGAGAGTTTAGATAGACTAATAAGACACAAGCCGCTTTTAACGGTCTAAAGCAACGCTTTACTAAAGTCCCTTTATTGCACTATTTCGTACTAAGCAAGTAGATCCGAATTAAGACTAACGCTTTACAGTTCGCTATATCAGCTATTATGTTATAATAGGCTAATAACACCTATTAGCACCTAATTGCCTTCTTTTTACGAAAGATAATCAATATAGAGCGTCGCTACGAGACCTACGAGTAAGAGCTCCTAGCTATTATCGAGGCCTTTAAATATTAGAGGCACTATCTCGATAGTGTACAGTACACTATTTAGGTCTATACGGACTATAACAACCTCCGTAGAATTACGAAGGTTACTAGGGTTATAGGTCGATAGGCTAGATAGGCCGTCTACCTCGCTAGGTTCGATTTTGATATATTATATTAGCTAGGCGTAAGCAACCCTACTAATAGCCTATCGAGGCGGCCTAATTACGATAGCGAGACTTAGCAATCTATTAATTTATTGTTTCTAACCCTATAGTATAAGATTGCTATAGCCCGTATTGTTAATAAGCAAGCGTAGGATAAGCGGACTTCCGGACCCCGCGGCGGTAACAAATACTATAGCGGAGTTGTCGTTCTTCTAGTATACGTTAAAAGAAAGGACGTAGATCGCTCGAGCTATAATAACTCGATTAAGGACATTACTATCTATAGTAATAGTCTATATAGCGATAGCACTATAGAAGAGGTTGTAGTAGTTCCGGCTACTAGTACTATTAGATATATATAATACGTACCTCGTTCGATAGCGAGGGTACTATTAAATAACCTTATAAATAGGGATAGTTAATCGTTTATAGATAAGCTATTGCGTGCTTAGTAGAGGGACGCCTTTGCTGTCGAGCGTATTAATAGGCTTATAAGTAGACGGGCGACTCGATCTAGTAAGAGTAATAATAATTAGTCGATCGACGATAAGGGTTACTTAAAGTTTAAGGGCAGATACTATGTCCCCGCTAAACAATCAATTAGACAAGAGCTTTTAAAGAGGCACTATAATAGTAAGCTCGCTAGTTACTATAGTATAGAGAGGTCGCACGAGCTACTATCGCGTATATACTACTAGCTAAATAGTAAGCGGCATATAAAGGAGTATATATAGACCTATATAGTATACTAGCGAGTTAAAGCACTAAAGCACTTACTATTTAGCGAGTTGTCTTTACTTCCTATTCCTAGGAAGCCGTTTGCTAAGCTTATAATAGACTTTATTATAGGCCTTCCTCCTACTAAGCGTAGGGGTAGCAAGGATGTATATAATGCTATCCTTGTTATAGTAGATCGATTTACTAAAGGCGCTCGATATATCCCGGCGCGCAAGGATTAGACTGCTATTAATATAGTAGAGGCGCTATAGACTAATATCTTCTATACCTATTAGGGAACCCCTAAGGGGATCGTATCCGATCGTAGATCGATACTAATATCTTACTATTAGAGCGAGATTTGCTTACAGCTAAGACTAAAGCATCGGCTATTAATAGCCTTCTATCTACAGACTAACGGTTAAATAGAGAGGCAGAATGCTACCCTATAGCAGTACCTACGCAGTTACATTAACGAGAACCCTAACGACTAGGTCAACCTCCTATAACTAGCTAAATTCGTATACAATAATAGTGTCTACTTATCGACTAAGGTGTTACTATATATAGCTATAATAGGCTAGAATGCTGCTATGCTATAAGACCTACTATCGCTCGAGGCCGAGCGTAAGGAAAGGGAAGCGCGTTAAGTACTAGAGATACTAGTAGCTATTAAGAGGGTTCAAAAGATGCGAGAAATTCACGCTAAGATAGCTAACAAACTAGCAAAGGCCTAGGCCTATTAGAAGGCCTACTATAAGAAATACTATACGCTAATAACCTTTAAGCAAGGCGATATAGTTATGCTAAGTACGAAGAACCTCCGTATCCGTAAACACCTATTACCTAATAGCAAAATAAGGCCTAAGCTCGCACTAAGATACATTAGCCTATTCCGCATTCGAGAAGTTAAGGGCTCCTCCGTATAGGCCTATTAGTTGTAGCTTCTACCTTATTACACTATCTATAATACCTTCTACGTATCCCTCCTTAAACTATACTACTAGCGCGAAGGCGATAAAGCGCCTACTAAGTTAGAAGAAGTCTTAGCTAATAGTAAAGAGCTGTAGTCTATAGAACGTATCCTAAAGCACCGGACTAGGCAAGGCAAGAAGGAGTACCTACTAAGATAGCAGGGCTATTTACTAGAATAGGACTTATAGGAGGCTAAAGACTCTTTTAAGGATATAACTGAGTTGTTAGACGAGTATTAGGCTAGTGTAAAGGACAAGAAGAAGGCTAAGAGGCTATAATGTTACTATTAGGGCCTAGGAACAATACTACCCCCGGGGTGCTATTAAGCTAACTAATTAGAGGCAAGCAATTGTTAGCAAAGGACAACAAGACTACACTACGATAATAGATACGTACCGAGCGTTAATAAACGCGCTATAACTGTTAACTAATCGACTACTCTTTTGAGGATTCTACCTCTTTACTAATACGCTCTATAGGTCCCCCTTTTGTTCTTTATTCTATCGAGGCCTCGAGACCTAAGCGTTCGATAAGGGCGATGTACGCGCGTATACGAATAATAGTAATAAAGGTAATAGTGTCGCGCTACGAGCTAGTAGTACGCTAGCGGCTAACGCGGCTATATTAGTAACGGTATTGCGGAGTATATTGTTAGTCGAAGAAGGAACTCGAAAAGCAAGGTAAAGTTAGCGCTAAGACGACTAGCGCCGCTATTGTTAACATTACTTACTATTGTTACTGCGCCTATAGATATAACCTTACCTACACTACGAGCCTAAGGCACCTTTAATTAAAACTTTAATCAAAACTTTAAGCCGCCTAAAAGATTAAGCGACTAATAGACTAACTAAGGGCAAAACTATAGAGCTAAGCTAGCCGAGGTCGATCTTACGGATAATAGGTTACTCCCCGATCTATCTAACCCTTTAAGCGAGGCGAACCTCTACTACTACACTTATAATAGCCTTTACTTATAGAAACTAGACGAGCTGTGTTTTTTCTAAAAAGATAAGATAAGATTGACAATTAAAGGCTACT